GGCCCCTCGGACCCCCCAAGCGAGCATCATGAACATCAGCGAGGCCCTCATGAGCATCAGCGAGGCTCCGGAGCCGGGACCCGAGGGCCCCGGAGAAATGAAGGGCTCATGATGCTCACCCGTGGGTGCGTATCGCGAGGGTCGGCTGACCCCCCCGAAGCCTCGGGTATCAATGATGCTCACCGTGGAGGCGCGGCAGTGCTCCGAAAGGAGGTGTGTCGAAACACGCGAAAAACACGGTATTTACGGTGTTTTCTGGCTTTATTGAGGCGCCCGGGCCTTCCCGTGGCCCCGTGGGCGGGTCGCTGATGCTCATGATGCTCGCCCCTGTTGGGGGGCCCCCAAAACTTGAGGTATAAGGTCTTTTTTCGCATGTTCGCCCAAGGTCAAAAAGCAGGGTCGATGATGCGCGCCGGGTCACGCATCATGAGGCCTCCAGGGCGTTTGGCGGCCCTCCAAAAAAGCAACTTCCACGCATGCGCGTTTGGGACCCCGCTCGGAGCCCTCCCGGAGCCTCATGCAAGGAGACATGCCATCTTCACGGCGGGTCGGCGGCACGGGCGGCGCCCGCATAAAGGCACGCCTTTAAGCTAGCCGTGCTCCGCATTGGACCACGACGGCCAGGCCGGATTTTAAGGGGCTGCGCCCATGGGCGGGCAGCGCAGGCAGAAGCGCGGGGCGAGCAGTTTCTAAGCATTTTGAGGCCCCTAAACTCCCTTAAAATCTCTAAGCGTTTGAGGCTCCTCAACCCCCTTAAAGTTTCTAAGCATTTTCACGCCCCTAAACTCCCTTCAAATCTCTAAGCGTTTGAGGCTCCTCAACCCCCTTAAAGTTTCTAAGCACTTTATAAGGCCCCTAAACTCCCTTTTTCCTAGCCCCGGGCTTAGACACGTCGCTTATGCCCGCCCTTTGGGGGGCATCATGCTCCTGATGCGCCCCCGGCTTCCCGCCCCGGGAGCCGCCTGATGCTCCTGATGCGCGCCTGGGGGACATGGGGCCATGACGGTCATGGGGCATGGTGGTATGGAACCATGGAACCATGGGGGGCATGGGCCATGGCCCCATGACCTCATGGGGCCACGGCGCAGCGGCCCCATGGGTCATCATGATGCGGGCGGAGCCCTGGCGGGGTGGGTGGAGCGGGCGGAGCAGGCGGGCATGAGGCAATGGGGTCATGGGGCCATGAAGACATGGGGGCCATGGCGGCCATGTATCCAGAACACCAAGGGGGGGGGGGGGGGCATGAGCCATGGCCCCAGGATCCCGGGATGGTCGGTTTTGGGGGCATGGCCCCATTGCCCCATGCCCGCCCGCTCGCCGTGCCCCCATGCTCATGGCCCTATGGCCCCATAGTTTCATGGGACCGGGCCTCCCGCTCCAACCCACTCAGCGAGTCAGGGGGCCATGGCTCATGGCCCCCATGGCGTCATGAGAACATGGGGCCATGACGGCCATTGGGGCTGGGGTGGGCGGAGCGGGCGGGGAGGGCGGGGAGGGAGTGGGCGGGCATGCACTGTATCCGCCTACATGATGAGTGGTGATTGATCGAAGCCTTGAGCAAGCGGATATGTTACGTTTTACATCTTTTTGATGGTGTTAAGCCGAGCGCGTCGGATGAAATGGTTCGGTTCGTTGCGGCGCCTTTGCCCGTTTTGGTTGTCGTTCGACTTTCGGTGGGATTGACGGGATTGCGGAGATGTGTCGCACCAAGTGCTTTTTCGATCTCCTGTTGTCTGCCATGGTTCTGTACATCACTCATTTGTCAGCCATCGCATCACTCCGATTGTCGGAGCCCATGAAGCGATATGGAATCTTGCTAAGCCACCGGTCAGCCTAGATCTCCTGTTGTCTGCCATGGTTCTGTACATCAATCATTTGTCAGCCATCGCATCACTCCGATTATCGGAGTACATGGAATGGCGGGATTCTTGCTTAGGCACTGGACAGCCTAGAGCATGGAACAAAAGCTTTACATTGTACACACCATTCAGGGCCAAAATGCCCAACGTGCCGTTTAGACGCCTCCGAATGGCACTCGCTCTGTGCTTCACAATGGCTTGCCTGCGCAAGCAAATATGGAACCCGAGCCAGCAAAAGATGCGCTAGAATTGCCCAGCTTCATCCTCTCCTGGCTACCTGTCCTAGACAAGATCACGAGCATCGGACTCGTGAACGATCCGCTGTACGTACTCGTGCTGCGAAAAGCGGCAGCTCTACAGGTCTTGCAAGTTCAGATATGAATTCATTGCTAAATAGCTCTCGACTTCAGCACCTGCAGCACTTTGCTGGGAATGATGTCCTGGCGGGAGTCGCAGCTACTTAGCCATATTTGCTTTGGGAGCTGTCCCCGATTTTGGAATCCTGGCTTTCGAGCAAGTTGTAATGCTCGTGGTCGAGGACTGGCCTTGGTCCATCTGTCTGTCATGTTCACAGCACGAGCACCTGATCGCCACCACGACCGTTGCCATAAACTGCTTGCAGGCAGCACTACGTCCAGCTCTGCATAGAACTGCTTGTTGACCTGCTCATTCATCTTGGAGCGCAAGGGTAACATTTCGGCACGTTGTTGTAGCTCTGTGCTCATGAGTCACACGGCGGTACGTTGCCCGGTTCATCTCTATGTAACCAGATCCGCGCATTGGTTTCACAAGGCCCGAAAAGACTTTTCTAGCTTAGCTTGCGCTGAGGTTCCTTGCGTCCTTCCCTCAACGACTGAAAGATTCAGGGGCAAACGGCGACTGATGCCCCCACTGGGTTGTGGACTCTCGCAAGATTTAGTCATGTTTCGAAGCAAAAGTCTGCTGGTTGAATAACATTACTCCCGATGGCTCTAGTAGAGTTAGCTCGGACTGGTGTGGATTGCACTTCGGCGCGTGTTAAAGGAAAACTTGCGATGCGTTGAAGCACTGCGACTATGCCTTTCAGTCAGCATGCCTCCACACAGCACGAGAACTCTTTGCTGTTGGAGACGAACAACGTTGCTGCCGGGAGCTTGCCAGGTTGATAAGTGTGCCAATCGTAGAAGCTCTCGCCATCTTCATGCCTGCATTCCCATGCTATTCTACGTCTCATCCATCGACTCGGTGACAGGGTCCGAGCCAGCCTACAAGCACAGTCACTTCCTGCCAAGGCACCGGGAGCCAATTGCCTTGGAGCTCTCCATCACAAGCTTTTCATGAAAACCTTGGTTCAGAGAGTTCAACAGGTGCATTGCTGTGCCACCTCCTTCAGATCTGTTCAGAGCTGTATGTTCATGCATGTCATGTTTTATCTAGTCCGCCTGGCACAGACACCCTGCTCCGCTTTCCCCACAGCTGGGACCTGGCCTAAAACTTCTGGTTCATCATGCTTAGTCAGGACCCCACATGTGGGATGGCTTCCCCCATCTCTGTCCCATGTCGACTGCAAGAATCTCTTCCACAAAAACTTGCTTTTTGCCTGTACCATTCAGGGTTTCTTCAACACGCCACGTCCTGGCCCGCTAAAGTGGCTACTTTTTCGGGTTCAGATGCTGCTGACGGCTCAGGGTCTGAACAGATTGCTGTGTCCAAGCGCAAATTGTTGAACGGACATTCAAACACCCACATTTGACTCAAATGTGTGCTCTGGATCTGTCCGACAATGCTTCTCACGTATCCGTATCCGTACAGAGGCGCCCATGTTCGCCGCGAACTCATTGATCATGGCGAAGTATGTCTCCATTGGCATGTTGCTTGGTCGAGCCTCGAATCGCAAGGACCAGTATTGAAGGATGAGTCTATGTGCCTACCCTGAACTTAAACAACCGTAAAGGCCCTAAGCGGCAAGGTCACTCTCTCTCTCTCTCTGCTATGAATATGCTTTCTGGGACCATGCCATGCTGTTTAAAGGTTCCAACACAGATTGCCCATGGCATCGTCGCAGTGCCCTTCGATGAGCGAGGACAGGAAGGACCCAGTCTGCGGCTTGCCGAGGAACTTTGGTGAGAACAAAGCCTTTAAGCTCGTGCTCCCGCCTGAACATGGGGAAACACAGAGAGGCATGTCAAGCCACTCTAAGATCTTGCTAATAGCAGTTCGCCTCGGCTTCCTGCCGAGAAGCGTCTGGAACAAGCACACCCGGATCGGGCCTCCTTCCCCCTAACCCAACCCTCCCCCCCACCCGCCCCCCACCCCCACCACTCCCCCCACACCCCCCCCACCACATCACCCCTCCCCCCCCCCCCCCCCCGCCCACCCCCCACCCACGCCCCCCCCCCCCCACACCCCCCCCCCCCCCCCACCCCCCCCCACACCCCACCCACCCCCCACCCCCCCCCCCCCCACCCCCCCCCACCCCCGCCCCCCACCCCCCCCCCCCCACCCCACCAACCCCCCGCCCCACCCCCCCCCCCCCCCCCCCACCAACCCCCCCCCCCCACCCGCTCTAAACCCTCTTTCCTCCTTTCCTGTCCTGGGGTCGGCCCGGCTGCCGAGGCGGCGCGCGCAAGCGTTTACAATTACTCACACAACAGTTGCCACAGATCGTCAATGTTACAAGCTGACAGAAGTCTCAGGTCTTCATCCACAATGCATGTGAAAATGGTGTCTGCCGAAGGTTGCGAGCCTTTGTGGATCGGCGACCTCTTTCAACAATGTCCTTCCCACACGGATGCCCCAAGTCTGCAATTTCTCTCTGCAAGAAACGCGTGATTGCAAACTGTCAGTTGTGTTGCCCTGTGTTGCCCTGTCCTGCAGTACTGCGCATCCTCCCTGTGCGCAAACATGTGTCTCCTTCCGCGGCTCTGGGCAAGGGAAAGTAACGTCGGCATTGCAAAAGCGCCTGACTGGCATACTAGCGAACTGGCTTACATTAAGCAATGATGACTACGATCCCAGCTCCTCAGCAAGATTTTGTACGCCTTGGACGTGCAAGGCTGGATCATCGACTCAACCAACGGCGGGGTTGGGGGTTGGGGGGTGGATGTGGTGCTGTAAATACCTGCTACAGATATTATCGAAAGTTGTGTTTCGTTCTTTCCCAGTAAGTCTTTGGTGCTCCTCCTTGCCGAAAAAACATAGCTACGTTAGGTTGTTTCTCTGGATATCCAACGTGGAAGTCTACGACTTCTGCTGAACAACATGTTCTTGTCGAGAAAGAGCAAGAAGCCTGAAAGCTTCACGCCCGAAAGCCACAAGCCGAGAAGCCACAAAACCCACAGTTAAGAAGCCAGAAAAACCCCCAAACCAAGAAAGCCGACTGTGGCGTAGTTTCTGTAGACAGGGCGAACGCTTCTTCTGGCCTCACTTCACTGACGAAGAGGCTCACTTACATTGCATGCATTATCCACCGAAGTGCCATTGCAAATCCTCCCATGATTGTGAAGCCCTTCCGAGAGCTCCAGTTAGGGGAGGTTTCCAGGGGAAAGCAAAAACAATACGGCTCTCAAGCTGGCCAGAACACCTCCATCTCTGGGCCTTCCCAGCTGCCCATGCGGCAGCGGTCTGTAAATTCATCCATATCTGGGCTCTCCATGAAGCGCTCTGGTGGGTACGCCACCTGAATGGACACAGCTGCATCTCACGACTTTTCAGCAATGTTCTCCTCAGAGCCGCCTCGAAGTCACCCAGAAAGAGGGTCACGGCGACTCCTGGAGACACGGCATAGGGAAGGCCTACGCAGAGATCAACCGCAACACTCCTGCAAATCGTCTTTGCATCTTCGCCTTGGACCCAGAAAGCCTGAAAACTTCCCGCTTCAGACCGCCAAGCTTTCTGGACACGGGTTTCATGTAACGTCCTTCACAAACGAATTTACGAAACGAGAGGCCCCAACAAATTTTCCAAGGGCAGCCCACGAGCGGCACTCGTGGACTTGAGTGTATTGTTCCGGATTCCTCCGGAGCCCTAAGGAGGGAATATCAAGCATGTGGAAGATTAGAAGGCCCGGAACCCTGCAGCCTTGGGGCCTGAAGTTTCGAGGCCTCATCAGGGCCCAGCCCTAACAGCTCAACGTCTGAAGCACGGGCCCCCAAACGCTATGCAACACATGTGCAATAGAGCATGCAATCTGGACAGAAGGGTGTCTAGATGATTCCAGATGTGTCAGGAGTGTCTTCGTTGCCGCAAACCAGAACAAAAGTCTTCAAGTTGCATCGTTGCATACCGCCGACAGCTGCGCAGCATCGAATCAGTGCTAGGCAACCCGCGTCATGTCCTCTCAGTTCAAGCAGCTCGGCCATCTTGTGGGCAACCATAGCCCCGAAGGAATGCCCATAGATATTGTAAGAGCTGTATCCGAATCCTGGACACAAGCGGGCGGAAACCACTTGGCAGCAGATTGTCAGCACAAACAGACACAATGCGAGTAGTCGCTGTTCCTACTGCCACAACGATACTGTTTTACTCATTGTCACTGAGCTCTCTAGTTGAGATTTGTAGATGTACCCGCGGCCACTGCTGCCTAGCGATAGGAAGCGCGCGTTCCTAGCATCATATTCAAGAGCATGACGATGCACGACGGGGCTCATGTCAAATGTGTGCGGTCGCTGACACATCGGCTTTTGAAGCCCGCGTCATCTTAAGTGCTCGTAGCTTTTCCGCAGAGAATCGAGCCACCAACGTCTCGACGTGAATTTTGGCAAGATCTTCGAGGTTTGAACAAGTCCCGCGGACCAGTGGCGTCACCTCATGGCATCTCAACTATCAATGGCAACTCACCAAGGCAAGCGCAATTTAATCGGCAGGCTTTTGGCCCTACAGTAGCGCACATCGTTGCCTGAGAAAAACTCTGCCTATCGGCATTGAGAGTTAGCTTCCTCGCATGAGCAATAACAATCATTTGACTCTCCAAGGCCTTGAGTGCATACATTGCCACTTCGCCAGACAGCCTGACCAGGAACCACATTGTCTCGAGGCAGGCGTATGTGTTGTAGCACTGTAGCGTGGTAGTTTGTGCGTGTGCAATAGCACAAGCGACGTTTACAAAGTTCACATGCTTACGAAACTCGATGAAATCAAATTTGCATTGCCTGCCTCATAGCCAGGGTCTTGAACTGCAATGACATGGGGTCACCCTCCTTGGAGCGAAGCTTCGTGCGGTGAGGATTGAAGGCATTCGGCAAATAGCAAAGGCTTTACAAGCCGGTGTACAAGCCTACATGCAAAACCCTAACCCTAAACACGCCCTGCAAGCCCTAAACCAACGCTTCTGCCACGGCCGACGCAAAGTCGCAGGACGCTGCCTCCGTTCAGAGTTTAAGGTTTATGTAGGCCTTCCCCAGTCATGGAAAAACGGTGGAAATTTCTCAAAGAACTCAAGATCATAAGTAGCACTTCGGAGGGAGTGCAAAGCTGAAACTGGAGTTCTTTCATAATTCCCTAAACCTCAAACTCTCAACGGAGGCAGCGACCTGCGGCTGCTGCAGCTGACCGTGTGTCAGCTGTGGCTGAAAACAGCTCAGAGCTGGCTTACAGGGCTTGTAGGGTTAGGGGGTTAGGGGCTTCCAGGGTTCGGCGTGCACGGCTTGTACACCGGCTTGTAAGCCTCGTTACTTTCCCCTTGCGCGCCTGCTGCGCAGGCAGCGCAGTGCTTGTCGTGGCTGGAGATGCATGGAGGCGTTGTCAGGAAGCCCCCTAAACCCTGGCAGAGCCAACCCAGAAACCTCCGCCCAGTGTGTGAAGTTGTCTGAATGCCCATGATGATCTTTGCATGTGCTGCCAGGCGTCAATGCCATGCACCCCAATCAGCGTGTTGGATGGAGTCTCCTTCTCCAGCGACGTGAGCGCCTGCAGCGTCTCCGCCTCTGCCGCCTCCTACAAGCCATCAGAAATTCACAAAATGTCTCCGCCTTATGCAGAAGTGGAAATGCGTGTGTTAAGCGACTGTCGTCCTGGGGAACGCAGGCACTCGTCTGTGGTGTTTTTTGCAACTGCTGCGCGATCATCGCGACTGTCGCCTGAGTATCCGAGAACACATGGACACGCCTCCTTGACATACCTCTCGCATCTTGCTGTCACTTTGTCTCAGACTCCACGGCCCCAAAACAGTCAGGCAGCATCCATGGCAATGTCACGCAACCGGAATCGTGAGCGAAGCAGGCTGGTGAAGGTTGCCCACTGCAGCGAATCAAGCTCCTTCACACATGGAAAGGCGGTTATGCACGGCTACAGTCATGCATTCGCTTGACAGACTCTCATTCGCGAGAGAAAGTCTAGCAAAGCGCGCCTGGAATGGAATGGTGGAAGGCCCAAATTCTGCTTCGTTGTAGTCAACCTGCACAAGCATCTGCTCTCGAATGCATTCCACAGTAGGGGCACAAGACGACACTGAAGCCTCCTGGAGGAGTTTCTCCACGAGACGCAGTTCCTTGGGAAATACGAAGTCACTACGAGTATGTGCCTCACGTTGTGCTGCACTCTCGAACCGCCCATTTGAAACTCGTGTGCATTGACACAGGCAACTTCTTGCTGCTCGACCTACCGGTTGTGGATCACCGAACTTCGATCGGAACTGACAAGCAGCGCTCGGGGTAACACGGGCGAGTACAAGGCGGACTCAGCGAGCTCGAATGGGAGACTGGAGAAGCTGCTCGAGAGATCTCATCCGCGTCACTGCGAACATGTACATGTGTGGCAGTAGCCGAACAGAAAGACCTGCGGCCCTCGATTTGTCACTACTACCAGTAACCCGCTTTCGTCGAACCATGATGCGTGTTAAAAGAATATCTGCCTCTCCTGGATTCTTGCGGCCAAGGGGCATATCCACCCTCAACTTCCTGCAGAGCAGGCTCTACGGCCATGGGCGGAGTGATGGCACTTAGCTGGCCTAGCTTCTGTCTACCCTGTGGGCAACCCTCATCTGTGGCGACTGCTATGGGTTGAGAAACAAACTCCAGCATCAATTGGCAACACTAGTGCGATGCTCGACTGTCTTGCTGCATGTGCTACATGTGCTATTTCGTAGCAGAGTGCTGTTCATCCATTAGACTCAGACATCTGCAAAGCACGAGCCCGATCCTGGGTCTCATGGGTCTGAGGCCCACCAGTGTCGCCGAGGGCAGAGAGGTCAAAGACAAGGCTTCGGCATACTTGTCCAATGCTTGCAAAAAGCTCGGGAGCTGCCCTTGCACCTGGTCAACGCATGCATACATGAAGCATTTGCCCTGGGCACTGGCGCTCTGGAGCTTCAACTGTGGCTTCAATTGTGGCTTCAATTGGCTTGCAGGAGGAGAGTGATACACTCCTCTGGAACGAGCCTGGCACAACTTTGGCTCCCGAGTTGACCGCTTGGATGCAGCGGACTGCATCCTGGAAAGGCCTGGCTGGTATCTTGGGGTTGGCATCTGCAAAAGAAGCAACCTCCAGTCTACGTCACTACAGATGGGCCTTAAGGGTTTCTGACATAGTGCTGTTGCCTTGTGCCCGCTGCTTCCAGGACGACTGCCATGTCAAATTGGGCCTCAGCCAGCCGGCACCTTAGATAAACCGCATTCTTCCAGCCTCAACCCTCTTTGCCTACAATTACGAGAGCCTTGCGAAACCATGGTGCCTTCAAGATCATGGATCTGGCAAAGCTCCATAACTAGTCAGCGATGCATCCGATCACTCTAGTCGGAATTTCACAGAACCAGGCCACCTGGATTCCCCCAACTCCTGCTCGCAGAGTGTCCTGTCGAAGGAAGGAATGACCATGACTCTTGGAGGCTCACTTGAGGGGGCAGTTGTAGTCCAATCTGTCCCAAGATGAATTCTGCCAAAAGAATTGGGAGTTTCTCGTAACATGGGGAAGCTCTTACATCGGCGACTCTCAGGAGCGGTTTAAAGATCGCAGCACCTCCAAGGCTCTGGTACTTCACGAAGGCCCGTTGACGTCGCCACAGCTAAGGCATCCTTCGCACATTCTCCCGTCTCGACATTGCAGACCCCGTGTTTCAGCGACAACTTTTGCACTGACTTCATATCTGCAACGTGCTCTCACGACTAGGTGCTGCCGAAGAGCCGGCTGCACGCCATGAACTTTCCAAAGCGATGCCAGGCAAAGCTGAAAAACAGCACATGCAGTGGACTTGAGTTGCTCTGGGCACTCACCCTGCCCCAGCAGAACTTTCGTCAAGGCAATGGCGTCAACGGCCACGGGCATGTTCTTCACCAAGCGCTGGACCACAGCCGGATAGGATGCAGATTGAAGCAGTGAGCGGCAGCCTTCCTTCTCTTCAAGGAGCTTTGGTAGATCGGCGCTCAGCGCAAACACAAACGCAATACGATGACGGACTTGCCGTGTGACGCTTGGCGGCTCCTTAGCAGAATGGGGGATGCACTCGCTTCGGCTGATGCCCCCCATGCAGCTTGATAGTGACTGATAGTGCTTGCAAGGGCAAGGGTGCGTTGGGACTTGAGGCTGCGCGCAGGCTTGACCGGAGCATCGAACACTGCGCATCTCCGAGCCTCCGAGGAGTCCGGGGAGGCCAGAACGGCGGTACCAATCGTCCCAGCAAAGCCGAAGGAGTTGCAGCAAGCGGTCACGCGGGACTGCAGCGCACAACTTCACATGAGACATGAGCCAGGCAAAAGATTGTCAGTGCACAAGCTGACGCTAGTACATCCCGCTAGTACTGCGAACAGCTGTGCACCCTGCAACCTTTCAGGCGCACTTGATTTCGCTGATTTGAGGGGCCGCTTCCTGTGTCAACGGCGTCGTGTGGATCGGAAACTCCAGGCCAATAACGTCACCAGCCCCTGCAAAACAGAAACAGGAATCTCAACAAGTGATAGTTGTTTGGAGCATTTTTTGTCACTGCCCCCAATTCAAGCCATCTGAAACCGTAACCTCATCAGAAAGAATAGAGCGGAAACTGCTTCCAAGACAGCCCAGCGAGGGAGTGCCTGCGACGAAGGGGCTCAGCTGCCTCAGCTCCGCATTGCCCGCCGCCGCGCGGCGCCGGAACACCGCCAGCACCTCGGCTCAGGCCGTTGCGTCGTTGTGCTCTTCAAGGGCTCTCAAAGGTTCTGATCCAAATCGCACTGGTGCGGAGTGCACGCAAAGGCATGCGCAGGCATGTGCAGGCCGTGGCGCTGCAAGGAGACCTGCCATCCCTGCAGAGGCTTCGAGGTGGCCCACGTTGGCCTCTCCAAGTATGCTCTCGCACATGCCTGCTCTAGCTTTCTGAAGACCTTCTGGAGACCTTGGACAACAACTTGTCGACTGTTTCCCTGAACTTCAGCCTTCACCGATCCGACGAGGACGGGGTTGGACTTCCGCTTGCGCCACATACCAAACACATCCTACACGGGCGTTGTAGTGTGATGCATGCTTGTGAAGCTTCGTGATGGAATGAATCACGACTGCTATCGTCTGCTACAGGTAGCAGGAGGCAGAGACAGACGAACCTTCAGTCGAAATCAGTCCCTCACGTAAAGGAATGAATTGCTGCATGGGGGGATCCTGCAAAGCATGCGCTTCCGTTGCATCGCCAATTGTCGTACCCGTGCCATGTGCTTCCACCTTAGCTCGTGCTCTGTTTGGATCCATATCCCAGGTGCTAGGCTTCCGCCGCTGCCACCAAGCTGCATAGTTGATCTCGCCGAAGGCAACATTCGAAGCGTCGATGCACTGGTACATGAGGTCGGCTTCTGCTTTACGCTCCGGGAACCTCATTGGTCAGGGATCTCTTACATTGAGAGCCGAGCGTACACGACACAGCCACCTTGATCTGGACTTCTTTCGGTACAAGTTATGAGTCTTGCAGGACAAGGAGCGTTAAATGTGAGGTTTTTCCATTGTGTTTCACCATGGTGTTGCAAACCTCACCTTGCTTGTGCTGGATTGCATAGACATATGCACTGCACAGCACTGCACATCCCTGCACATCACAAGGTCGGTCAAGTAAGTGCACATGCGTCCGAGGTTCCCAGAGAATTCTCAGCATCAGACGCCTGCATCTAGCTGAGTCTAGAGTCTGGCCCCCATTGAAATCCAGATTCATGCTGTGACAGCACGGCTATGAAGTTGACCTTCTTAAAAGGAATCCTGAAGCATCCTGAAGCATCCTGAAGCATCTTGAGACTCTTGGGGCGGCTATGATAGGTTGTTGGCCGAGTGACCAAGAAGAGCGAGGCTGAGCCTTCCCCTCGCACGAAACCTTTTGAGGTCCAAAGGGGAACAAAAGGGGAGCGCGCACACACACACACACACACACACCTAGAAGTGTTTTGGTTTTGTACTCTTATTTGGGAGGCTTTCCAGTATCGCTTTCTGCGTCATGCTCGCTGCTGTGTTCATCGAAGCAGCCATCAGCTGCAACATCCCAGGTGTGGCATCGGCCGGTCTTCGAGAGGAGACCACTTGGTGCCTCAGAGACGTATTCTATTGTCTCCGGTCGTCAGGAAGATAAGACAGTGAGTGGACGTGTGAAGAAAACGGATGCTTGGTAGAAAGCTTCTGGAACCATCAATGTACCAAGATGTGCCAGGTTACCATGGAGAGACTGACGTTCATGCTGGTCAAGTGATTCACTGAGGTGGCAATCGCTGACTTGCACCGGCTCCTTCGCAGTACGTGGAAAGACCTGCACCACAGACTAGCGCAGGGGCTGTTGAACAGTTGCTGGTCCACAGACATGCATCTCGAACCATCTTCACGTAAGATCTCCAACAGGCAAGAAGCTCGTGCACTGCCACCATGGAGGAGGCACATGCAGCGTCGACGCAGAAAGTTGATCCCCGCAGGTCCAGAAGCTGGCTCACTCTCCTCGGCAAGTTACCAGAAGGATTCAGAGGGCCTATGGATGACTATGGCATCTATGGGACATGTCGGAAGATTCTGCAGGGCACGACTCACGAGGCGGCGAAGTCTCCCAGCAGTTGCGGATAAAGCTTTGTACGCTCTGATGTGGGGGGGAACGCCGCTGACTTCATGGAATTGTCGGTAGAAGTCAATCTCTGCGTCGGCATGGTTGACGGCAACCACGACAGGCACATCCTGGAAGTAAGCACCGCTCTATGATGCTTGCCGCCTACAGTATGCTACAGTATGTTGCAGTATGCTACATGTACATACGTATGTTAAAGTCTGTTATCAGCCTCACAAAATGCTCGTGAGGAAGGGGTTCCAGGCAGATGCTCTGTTCGGGAGTCCTTGCCAGCCAAACTTCCCACCTTCACACCAGAGTTGGTGACAGCCTCATAGGCACCTTCAACAGCGAGTGGTCTGAAGATGCACAGACATCACAGACACCTCTGCCGCAGTGGAAGGCAGAGACTTGTTATCGAAATCCATCAGAATCAGTTGAGATGTCTTAAGACCAGGGGATTCCAGACTTCTGGACCTTGCCTTCCAGAACGGCCAGTTGTTGAGGATCCATCTCCCCAGCTTCGAGTGGGGACAGCCCGAACAAGGCTCTGTCCTCAAGAGTTTCGCCCGAACTCAGAAAACAGTTCAGCACAGCCATTGGTTTCGCAGCTCCATACTGGCAACTGTGGCTCCACGAGCTCTTTGCCTTCGATGAACCCCGCATAGGCGATCTCCGGATGCCTGGCGCGCATCGCATGCTCCCCTCTGTAGTCACTGTAGTATCCCTCACTATCCTTCAAGTTAGGATCTCTCATGGCCATGGTCTCGTGCCTTTCGCAGTCCCAGTCCATTCTATGCGTGATTCCACAACGCTTGTCAGCCAAGAGCTGGGCAAGAGCGTCCTTGAGCAAGACTCAGAGGGAACATGAAGCACAATCTCCACAGCAGCTTACTGCGGCTTACTGCAGCTTACTGCGATCTATGCAACACTGAAGTACGAGAACACAGGACCGCAGGCCGGATTTCTCAATGAGTGTCCAAGTGGTTGCAGTGACCCGGAAGGCGGCACGAGACTCCCACGATGTGCACAGGATCCTGGCAAGTTTCTGGTCACATCACGCCGCACTCAAAAGCCACTCCCTCTTGCAAAGCGGTTTGGGGATGTTTCTGCCTCCGCACTTACTCGGATGGAAGCTCCCCTGCCTGAGGCACAATGTTGGATACGCAGCTGTCTTTGTCACATTGTGCCATGCACAGCAGGAGCCCTAGCTGTCAGATGACGTCAGCCAATGAATTGCTAGCCTCCAGCAGTCTTGGCCCTTGTGATTCGCCTGTCATGGCACGTACGAACACCCAGGTGACAGTTTAACATTTCCTGATCTTGCCGGCCTCCTAGGTTGTGTGGGCAGGCTTCGCCAAGACGTTGTTGCCACAAAACTATCCACGAGCTCCTGCTATCCTATACTGTACATGTCTGAACGAAGGCATGGAACAAGCATCCTGTCAACCACTGAGTCATGGCAAACACTGCAAATCCTCCAGTGTCTGCGCATGCAGGACAGTACTGATGAGCACCCTGGTATTCAAGAATTCCGAGGTGTAGATGCTCATCATGTTTGTGAAAGCCATGACCTGGCAACACACCGCTAGCAACAGCCTTCAACTCGACGGCAGATACGGCACCTGCAGAGAGGTGAGCCCCAGAGTAGCCACCGAAGTCGTTGCGTCCAGATCATCGACCCCGAGTGCGTGCAGAAGTTTCCTCTGTTTCGACACGGTAGAGCTCTAGTGGCCCTGGCTTCTAGGGCAGGGGAAGATACTGTAGCAGGCCAGTGACAGTGCATAAGGAGGCCTTCATGAACAACCCCGACTTAAACCGCACTCGCTCTCGTGCAAGGCAAATCGAAAGTGCATAGTGTGATTCGCTAGTCACAGAGTCGGGGGGTGGACGTGAGAACATGATCCGTGAACTGTCCAACCCCTGCTGAATACAACAGTTTCGCAACTTGCAACGTTCATGCCCGACGCCCCGAACCAATTATATGGCGCACTAGGTGGAGGACTGTTTGCGTGCCAGCTTCGTGGCCAGAGCAATCCACCAATCACGGGGCCTGGAATGTTGAGGAATGCTCAGAACGAGAAGAACCATGAGTGAACAGCTATGCTGGGCGACACCTGTCTTTGAGGCACCAGCTTTCGATCATCCAACGGCTCGCCACCAAAGAGGGCCAAATCAAGAACCTGTGCGAACAAGCGCTTGCAGCAACGAGCCAGCCACAGCAAGAAACAACCAACGACCACCGTGCACGGACCAGCAGAAACCCCCCCATTGATAGCCCGTTTGATAGACCGTGAAACGTTGAAGGACAAGAAAGAAGTCTGGGAAGAGGAGACTAGCTCATAACGATCATAAAGATATCTGTATGTTGGAAGGCCGGAATCGAACAAGGAGCGTGATGCTGAGCCAGGCAGTCTGCATGTTGAGCCAATGCTGCTGCCAGCTTCCGATCGACCTTGCTGCTGGACTTGGTCGTCATTCTCTGCCTGGAGGAGTCCATTGATTACTTCAAGGTTGGCAAGCTCTGATAAGCTTTGCTAGGTGAAGCCGTAAGCTCAGCCAAACCTTGGAGAAGATGTCACACCAAAAGGAAACACCAGCATAAAACATCCAGAAATCTCGGTTCTTGTCTGGTCTCTCCGAGAAGCTCCGGGCTGACCAGGTGAGCGGTTTTGGGGAGCGGGAAGGACACGCCGAATCGCGCAATGGCGGCAACTTCATGGCAGATGGCGACCATGCTCACATCTTCACTTTCGGAATGCCGCTTCTGGACCATCAATGTCAAGGAATCCGCACCATTTTCGTCTGAAAGGCCCACCAGCACGAACCGCAGGCTGGGGAACTTCTTCTCGAGCTCTTGTTCCATGCGCTCAGGGAACACCTTGTAGCCGTTAATCTTCATCCTTGGAGATTGCTTTTAAAAGCGCAGCGCACACGCAGCAACAGTGCAAGAGAACTGCTGCATTTCAACAGCCCGACCCGGGCTGCGGATGAGCGTCATGTTGTTCATGCGGCCAACCTGACAGCACTTCCCTGCAGACAGCATGGCACCACACCTTTGCCATTGCGTAGCGCTGAGTTACAGGCAATGAAGACATAACCATCAGGATCTTGTGTGCCAACGTCGCCGGTCCGGTACCAGCGTGTACCATCTGAGTCTGTGAAGAAGACCCGTCCGTTCACCTGTGCAGACGGCACCATCCACAGCACATATGCCGATTGTCATAGCAGATTGGGCGATGAAACGCACCTCCACATACCCGTAAAGAAGGAGCCCTACTCGTTATCACCATGGGTCACCGATTGCCCACACGCCTCTTCCACCCCGGGGCCCCAATAGCCGGCAAACATAGACGGCCTAAGCGCCGCGAACAAGCGAAATTTCGGCAACCGCTAGAATCTACTAGAAGCTCTCCAGGATTCTCCAGGCGCCCCGCCCAGCCAAACAAATCTCCTCAGCTGTGCAGATTCGTGAAGTCTGATGCTCCGAAAACACTGGTTGCTCGGCTTTATGTTCGCAGCTTGATTCCAAGTTGTCACTTAATTAGGCCTCGGCACACCTTGGACGCCGTGAGCAACTGCGCGGAGGTTCTCGTCGAAGATGCGCAGGCAAATGTGTTTGGCAGGCTTCCCAACCTCGGAAGGCTGAAGATCGCAATAGGTATGCCAGGTATGCCTCTAGCGCGCGAGGCTGCTGAATGGCTGAAAGGGTTGAACAAATGATGAAACTGAAGAGCTCTCAACATTCTTTCCTCACGGTTCCTGCAGCCGAAGGCACGGAGTTCTTCCTTGGAGCTCCAACAGGATTAGCGCACACCAGCTGCGTTGCCTGCACCAGGACGGTGGTGTCATATATAGGCTGCGCAAATGCCAAAACGAGCCAACACACATCAGCACTTCCCCGGCACACCGTAGTTGCTCTCAATCAGTATCCGCCGGGCCGTAGGTTCCGCCCAGACAGCCACGCGCCCCCCCGCCCTAGGGAGCTGTAGGCGACCGGAGGAGCAATTGCAGGGGGGATATGTTGGTATCTTTCTCTGCAGATTTCTGCAGATCCTTTGATTTTTATGCCATTCCACAGCAGTATGCCGCATGGGCATCGAAGGTTATCGAAAATTGGCTTCATCGCTCTGCAGGTCTGACACTCCAGGGCCTGGAAACTCTGCAATAAATGTTGATTGCAAGGTTTTTAAGGGAGCGGGGGCCCAAAACCTAAGTAGCATTGGGGAACGTTGGGTTGCCTACCCCCACCTTCAGAATCCTTAAAAAGCACACATGCTACATTGGTGACAGCTGTGACAGCGAACGACTGGAAGCACCCGAGCTTTGAGTGCTCAAAGTTACACCGATGCCACTTGATGCCACTTGCCCACCCCCCAACCCCACCCCCCACACAATCAAGGAGCAATGTTCTCGACAGGCACATGGCGACAACCCAGAACCCGACACAGTGTTCCTGGAATAGAGCTGCACTCCTACCTCGGTCATGCCATAGGCCACGACGACTTGTGTATTGAAGAGGCGGGTCATCTGATCCACGAACTCCTGGCATTTTCCACGCTCACTCGAGAGCGGAATGGAGCGAAGCTTGCAATGCACTGCTAGCTGCGCTAGGACTTGTAATTTGCAGCGTGCACGCATCTCCTGTGGCAGGCAACCGCTGCCATTGCGGATAAATCGCACGGAATGCTGGCAGCGCTGTAGAACCTGTCCGACGACCAACAGACTTGAGCACGAGTGCGCAGTCTAACGTGTGATGTTTTCCGTGTCCGAACTCCCTTGCAGCCTGTCCATTCTGCTGTTCAAGAATCTGCTTGTGCATCTCGGGCACGGCCGTGTACCTTCCACCCAGGTTGAAGCCACTTGCGTGAGGACTGATATTCTTCGTCGCACGACACGAAGTGGACACCTGCGATAAGCTGTGGATGTGTGGCTTCAGAAAGGCAAACACAAGGCATCAACAATTACAGTCAACGTGATGATTACGGAATGCACTTCGCGTGCATACAGTTAGGATATCATGAAACTTGTTTAGCGAAAAAGCCCGAAATCTCCAGGTGCCCAACAACATGAAATGTCCGGCTCATCGGAGACGTAAGTGTTGGTCCATCGCTTGAGCGCACGAAGTTTCAAGTGCAAGTTCAAACTCTGTCAAGGTACCAGGTGACGCCGTGCTTTAGCACAATCTTCCAGTGATTTGCCGCGTTGAACTTCGAGAAGACGACGGTACCTGCAGCTTTGACTCCACAAACACGACGACCGGTTTAGTTCGACTGAGCGGGGGTCGGGTGAGGTACCTAGGGCTGGCAAATGCTGACAGGATCTGGCAGGGCACCGCCACTGGCAAGAGTGGACAGCAATGGTGTCACCAAACCACCAACTGTGACCATAGGCTGTGAGATGTAAGTCCTGAAAACATGGTGGTGTCAGCAGCAACGGCAGCGGCCGCGTACAGTCTTCAACATTTGAACTGCTTGAGGCATGTGTGTGTGTCTAGGCACAGCGGAATCTGAGACTTCGGCACATCCTGATTTGTCAGGATATAAGCATCAACGACAGATTTTATGGCTGCCGCGACATTGGTCCTGTGCAGGGTGGGGTTTCGCCCTTGCTCAGTCAGATTCGGAGCTCAGGGTTCTCGGATGTTACCGCACAACTGGGTACTACGGGTACTGTTGCCATCCCTTACAGTTTCCGTTGCCTTGTGAGTGGGATGGACTTCGGTTTGCCGGTGCTGCCGCTGGTTCGCAGCAGAAGCACGGTGTCCTGCCGAGCATGCCCGAGCCCTCCAAATTCCAAACAGCCTTCAATATGATTTCAACTTCTAAACAAGACCTGCACCCTTGATATGCTTGCAACATCTTACAACAGTAGCTGAATTCAAACCAGACAAGCGTGGTGACTCTGACTGAGAGCTACAGTGCTTCAAGTAGCGGACACTCATGCGGTGTCCTCTGGAAGCGCGGCCTCTGATGCTTGAACGGGCTGGTCCTGAGTTGCTGTCGACCATTGCAAGACGGGGCACACGACCAAAATGCCAGGTCCAACATGGACAATGTCTGAGTCCGTAGACCCCGCAGACCCTTTTGGTAGCCCGCATGGCCTTGCTTCGCAGCAGCTTCACCGCTGCATTGCAAGACTGGTCTGTGAAGGAAAGGGAGAGCTTCCAAATCGGAACGCCTGATCAGGGCAGCTGTTGTGCAAGTCAGGTGGTGATGGTTCCCTGCGATGCAGCGACTGGCGACCAGGATGGTCACAGCAAGGCCTCGTGTTGCTGCCACTGCAAGAAAGGCGCCGACCTGACAACGACAGCCCAGTTTTCCGAGGCTGCTTACATCTTTGCTGCCCTTTGGAGAGGTGTGTGCAGCTTTGCTTGGCCGAAACATCCACGCTCTGACTGCCTTCCTTCTTTCCTTGGGGCATAGGGGTGAACCCACCCCTCTCGCTCACTCACTCACTCACTCTCTCCCGTCCTTCCTTCCTTCCTTTCCTCCCTCCCCTCCTTCCTTCCTCGCTCTATGTCTGCTAAATTTATCGCTCCTGCTTTACTCAGGTACGTGTCTTACGACACGACATGTTTATGGTCCCTTCCATTTCCTTGTCTTGCTCGACTCCGATTTTTTTGCAAAAACACATTCAGCATCCCCTGGCCTGAAAAGCAACCTGGAGCCGGTTTGGACGCTCGAATCGTGAAAAAGTCAAACTTTGCTTTCTCCAAAGCACGCGCCCTCCCATGCCCTTGCCCCCCTCGGCTATCTGACACGGCTCCCAGTCTTTTCCTCTACTCTAAACGGGTTAACGTCCGAGTGGTGCACGGCTTCCCGGCTTTGAGCATCCATGGGAAAGTTCATCTCCACTTCAGGAAACAGCGCCACCTCCACCTCAGAAAGATGGGAGAATCGCGCATTGCTCGATAGCGTAAAGGCCATAAAGGCCATAAGCCAAGGCAGGGGCAAGCTCTAAGGCGTCGCTCAGCTCTTCGTCTGAAAGGAACTGGGCATGAATGTTCAGCGGCATGGCAACACAGCGCCTGCAGAGCTCGATTTAACATGCCTTTGCAATTGCGTGACTATGGCGACTATGGCATGGACTATGGGCAAGGAGCATCCTCAACATACTCCAAGCGACGAGCCATGCTTCATGGCTGCGAGCAGCGCAACCAAGTAATGGATCGGAGTACCAAGTGGGAAACACAGGCCAACGCGCAAAAGAGAGCCATGCCTTGGCGCATGTCTTGGTTCTTACATGATGCGGACCCGGGTCGTCCGCACAAGCTTGGGACACTTGCACGGAGGCACTGACAATGAAGCGGATGTAGAAGAGTGTGATGCAAAACACGAGGTTGAGGAAGAAATCAGGGCAATGTGCCCGTTCCCATCCAACCCTTCTCTGAGGAAAAACGGCCGTCTCCTGGTCAGTCTACCATCATTCACTACTTTACACGCAATTGCCACATCGCCCTTCCAGCGAAAAACAGACAGCATGCGCCAGATGTGGTTTTTCAGAGCCAAGATACCAGATTACGCTCAGATGCTGCACGCTAATATCGCGCTTTGTGCGACTTTGTGCGACTTCGTGGCGCAGGCCCCGAACTCACGGGGTCCGTGCATTCAGCCCCCAACGCCATCCCCGCCGCCAAACGCTTTCTGAACAACATGTCATCGATGCGGTGCCGGGAGGATAACATGACGTGGAGTAAGTGCTCAAGAGATACTTACTGGTAGTCAACTCGAACAATGTGCACGCCAAGGCTGCTTGATCTGCGTCTGGAGCGACTCAGACAGTTCTTTGGCAAGTCCATCCTCAACTTCAAGGTGCCCCACCAGGCGGCAACAAGAAGGGCAAGGGCACACCGTGAGGAAAATATCTTGATGGAGATCTTGCGCCAACAAGCTGCTACTGATGCTTTGAGCTGGCTGTACGAGATGCTGGAGAGCACTTGCCCTGTCTGCTGGTCAACGTGAACGAAGCACCGCTTCCTTGGCTTCGAGGACTGTATTGTGACCCATGTACTGAGATTTGCAGTCGAAACTGCACTGACTATTGGGGCCATGTCGTCAGCAGTACCACAACAAGCATAAACGCAATCAGCCCTGCGAGCAAGAACCGGGAAAATCATGGGACTCGATCTTTGGATATAAATGGCAGGTAAGTCGCTCCTCGCTTTCGCTGTGCAGGACATCATCAGATATTATTCTGAACACGTCCATGACGAGGCCACTCCGCGACAATTCGGAAAACAAGTCGTTTGGACGAAAGAGAGCTTGGGAACCAACAGCACCAGCGAAGCCCACCAAACATGCACTACCACAACCGGAGCATCGAAACTGGTGACAACTGCTGGGAATGGCAACATTACGTGCCAGTTGTCAAGTTGTTTCCCCTTCGCCGGTATTGTAGAGAGTGCTTCCTTACTGAAGCCAGACACTGTCAAGTCTAAGATATAGCGGTAAGTATATCATTGGCATGATTCAGCCTCGTAGAAACCAGTCAGCCTCTTTGAGAGGCTGTGATGCATTTGATTGCATGTGCTGTATGCCAGCAGTGGGAAAATGGATCGAGGCCAGTGCCGGCATGGCCTTCTTCTGTACAAGAGACAGAGCAGATGTGCTACTTGCAAAATGGCTACATGATGCTAGATGCAGTCACTGACGTTGAAGGAAAACACATCGCTCTACATGCTAAGGCTTTGAACTACGATGCGGCCTAAACAGCTCAATCATCGCTGGTTCCAGCCTCCTTTACCGGCTTTAGCCTGGCAGAGTCTGAGATAAGGTATCTGAGTATCACGGATGTGCTCAATGAATTGCTTGCAGAAGCAATCAATGCAGACGTGAACACTCCACAGGGCAGACAGAGCTCTCAGAGTCACAGGGGCGCTGCGTACTCGAGGCTGTGCCCTCCTCTTCACCCCTCCCACACAATTCCCCCCTCACTAAGTTCGTGTGGCTGGGGGTCGCATTCGGACGACACAGTGTACACTCAGACTCAGAATCAGAAACAAAGTCGAAACCATCTATGCAACTCTGCCTCGCAACTCAACATATCGCCCCAGATATCTTTTCCGACCCCCCAGTGTTCCAAAACAAGTCCGGTACTGTCCCGGCAATAGATGGCTCCCACACCCACTCATCCCCTGCTGATTTTTTAAAGGAGGAACAGGCCGATTTGAACACATCACGTCTTCGATCACGTCTCACGCATAATCTCGCGTTGAAGCACCTTGCAAGTCGGGCTTTGGCGGAGGCGAAGGCCGCAGCCACCTGCGGAAGTGGCTCGAAATTCATCACAGACGAGGCCTTAAGCTAACACGAGCACACGGCAAGCATGCTGCACAACAACAAGCATACATGCATGCAGGCAGACTGTACCGGTCTAGACGGACGGGCGGCCAGCGATATGAAGGGATGCCCTTCTGCAGTGCATGACCTCCTCCCGTGTAAATTCGTTGATTTAAGATCTCCCGCCTCCTTGGAAGCCACCAAGGCGCTACTGTACGATCCGCTGTCTGAACGCGACTCTGAAGGCTCCTCTGCCTCCAAAGGCCAAGTCAACTGCCAACCAGGACGTCTTTCTGAGTTGTGATTCCAAATTCTTCACAACTCCTCGACACCCCTCAAAAAAGTGGCATCCGCCGACTTAGGCTCCAAAAAACTCGCCCTTCACATCCCGTCGCTGTAGTTCAGGACAAAAGCAAGCAGAGGTACTGTGCAGTCCAGCCTCATTGCCGTGCTGTGGATTGGGCCTGCAAGGCTCAGTTCAACAACATCTGGAGGAATGAACACCCTTCTCCACACACCGTGCTCACACAACGGGGCTTTAAGACTTCGGGGGTTGATGCTCAAGAAAAAGACCCAACATGACAAGATCAATGTGCGACAGTGGGCATGTTGTCCTGAACCTCTAACCCCAAACCCTGTTGAAAATGGGCGATAGTGAAAGCGAAAATATTTGACACATGAAGTATCATGAAGTCGACAGCTTTCGTTCGCGCTTTCCAAGAGGTGAAGAAACTGTCTTGCAGGATTCTTTTGTGCACAACAAGTTGATTCGATTGAGGTCGCTTGTTTCAGGGAGAATTTCTCGGTCAGCCCCAAACTCATCCAAGCAAAACCTATTTTGGGGCTCTGCTCAGAACCATAGGGATCCATTCGTACAAGATGACAGAAGCATTCATGAACAATACTCTCAATATGCCCCTACGATACATGTAGCACAAGCGGCTCAGGATAGTTAAATCCAGAACGTCCGAATGACAATGAGCACCAAGCCATGTGGCTTTTTAGTGCTTTTGCACTGCATTCCAGACAAACACTCGTCTGATATCTTATCGAGCCTGGTAACACGCTCATACCGCCCAGAACCTCAGCACATGCGAAGGGGTGGCGAGATTGATACGTCTTCCAATCATTTGATGCTGCTGCTTGCCACGCACCGACCGAGAAGCCTAGTACCAAAGTCTGAGTGCACCACCAAGGCTCGAGGAGGAGGGTTCTTTCCTGCACAAGCCACGGCATTGCAGCTTCTGTCACAATCATGAAAACTGAAACCTTGCAGTGGCCAGAATCTGCCACGATGACTCATGCCCATGACAATCGCGCAACGTCACAGCCGTCTTGAGCCCGCTGGGAATTAGTCTTACTCTTTTCAACCTGCAAAGAGCCATCCAAGCCCCGCACTCTGGCATGGTCAGCTGCTGTGAATCTGTCAGGCAACTTTTCGAACATGTTGGGTGGGGGGGGGAGCGGGTTAGGGGGGGTCAGAGGGGCTGCGCGCTGGAGCGCCCGAGTCTAACGAGTCTACCCTTGCACCTTCGTCTTCACCACTGCGCGGCGACGCAGGAGACGCTCCTCACATTATGGTTGCACGATATGTCACTTCTTGCAGGGCAAAGCCGAAAGCAACCGTCTCCCATGATTACTCGTAATTTGCAGAAGTCTGCAGTGTCAGCGAGGCCTTTGGCAGCTCGCAGTGCTGCGAGTGCCGTCTCCGACTTTGAAGACTTTACGCCTGTAGCGCCTGCAGATGCACCGTCATCTCAACCTTCCTCACCCAATTGCGACCTCCGGCCGACGGGCGTCTGGAACAAGCCTTCACCCCACAACACACCAAAACACACCCTCCCATGCCCCCCTCTCCCCTCCTCTGTGGGCTGTAGCTGCTTGTAGTTGCCACATGGGGAGCTGCAATCCGATGTCGTGGCGCCAGCCCCCAACCCTACAGGACTCCCCGTTTTTCGGTTCCCTGCCCCCTCTGCTGCCCGAATGCTCTTTGCATGACACCTTGTGTATCCAGTTTCGATCATCGCCGCTTCTTGCAGAGAACGGACCGCAAATCCGGACTTTCTCTCTCCCCTGCCCTACAGTACCAAGCCACCCGAAACATTTACAGCCAGGCCACACGAAACATTTGATCGGTAATCTAAATTCCTTCATCCTGGAAAAATGTCGTCGGGGAAAAGAGAACTTTCGTGGAAGCACGGCGGTGCAGGTTCTTGCGATTAGCCCAATTCTCACACAGGCCAACAACTGCCTCAGATGAGTGCTGTGTCATTGGAATGGCTAACTTGACGTTCGCGCGGCTTTCGCGGAACTTACGCGGAACTTTAGCGAAATTGAAATGCCCGGCCCCGAGAACTGTTTCCGGCGCTGGTCTTGGGGTTCAAAATGGTTCAAAACTCCGGATGAAGGTGCTTCAGCCTCAGCGGCACTGCTCATGGCGAACCTTAAGATGGATTTATGGGTTTCGAGGTGTTTTGTGGCACATGCCGACTCATGCGACTTCATAGCAGGGCCGCGCCTGTGTTTCGGCGCCAAGTCTCCAGCGCGGAGGCATGATGGCCAACAGGTAGCATGCCTTTAAGCACTCTCCAGGTTTGGATACAAGTGGAGACTTTCCTCACCTATCAAAATCATCTGATCTCTTTGAGCTGGCCTCCAGGAACAGGTTCTGGAGCCTTTCCATCCTGGCTGCCCGTGTACCGCCGGACGATGCACAGTGCCTCTCGGAAGGCTGAGGAGCCAGCGCGTTGCGACGACCTGGAAAGCAATATCTACCGAAGCAAAGAATCGACGCGAGACGCTCAGGACAGAGCCGCTGTTCCCGCCGGACCTTGCCACTGCATCGTGCCCACAGAGCTCACGGCAAATACGGCAATCACATGAATCACACATCTATAGGCCAAGTGAAAGCAGATGGCATGGCAAAGGTCGGGCGCCACGGTCGCAACGGCTGAAGGAGCTCAACGTAGGGGTCGGCATCACAGCCAGGCGTCGAAGCGTACCCAAGACTCTCATACTAAGAGCCCAGCTGCTGAAGGCAGCACTGCTCTTGGAGGTTCACGTCCCATCTCTAAACCTTGGCCAATGTTTCGCCATGCTGGTCCTCCTTCCTCTCCCTTACTTCAAAAATCTTTGCCGTGGGCCTGTAAAAGTGGGCTTTTGCCGAGCAATACTTGGTAGAGCTCGGTCGATGGTCAACAAGGGCGGGCACGGGTCAGTTTCAAAGCTTCCGCCCCGAACATGAGCTATGCAGATGATGAAAGTGAAGGAGAATTATCCCACTACGCGCTTCATCCTCCAAAGGGCACAAAACATAAGAACTTAACATATAGCAACGACCCTTCCAACATCATCCAACAATTTAAACACATGCCGAGGCTGGCATGCTGACCGCATCCATTACACAGGCTAACACACAGTCTTTGCGCGGAACATTCGGCACCAGTTACTTAAGCATTCGATTGAGCCAATAGTAATTACCAAGCGCAAAAATGGAAAGAAACGCCTAGCCAGAGTTCAGACATGTTGCACTAGTTGTGTTCTTAGCGATCTTGGCGCACATTGTGAAAAAACACTTTAGTTTGGCCCTTTGTTGATGTTGGTGTCTGGACTCCAGGCAACAGCAACTAAAGTGCTGTTTTTGTCAGCTGTCAGCATGCATTGCAGAAACGACAGGAGCATGCTTCAACCTGAGTTTGCCACGCGGGCTTGCAAAGTGTAGGCCGGCTCTCCTTCAACAGAGTAGCAGTGTGTCACAGCTTTGCCAAGTCAGGCCGCAAGTTTCATTATAGCAGTGTGGTGGCTGCAGCTGCCATCTGTCCTGAGGTGAGGCGCCTTCCCCTGTGCCTCGATGCAAACACTCAAGGCTTAAGGGGAAGATGAAAAGCACTGTGTTGCCCCCAACAATGGCAGCTGCGAGCCTTGAACAAAACATGACGGAAAACCGTTCCACCGGCACAAAAGCTTCGACTCGCCGAGTTCTACCATAGTTTCAGGCGTCTGGGCCACAGATTCCAACTTATTTACCCAGCCATTTGCACTTTCAGATGAAGACGTTCAAACCGTTTCAGAAGAAGGGAGTGGGTAGAATAAAATGGCCACCCCTTGAGGGGGCAACAAGACGTTTCCATTCAAGGCTTCTCGCCACTGGCCTCAGCAAGGGCTTGCCCTGGATTTCGGGAAAGCCAGACCTGTTTAAACTGTTTTCTCCCAGCCGATGCCCCAAACTATGTCGAAGTACAGCCCCAAGAGGATTCGTCTAAACGAAAAAAGCGGCCCAACAGTAGTCAAAGAACGTCCTAGCGGAGCTGCAAAAAGGCTCAGAGACAGTGTATCCATAGGAGAACAGGGAAGGCTTGATCAAGCTGGCATGAAGCGTTCAGGCGACGGCTCTCGAGGGCGTTGATTGCAAGGAGGATGTTTGCAAGGAGGATGCGAACGAAGGGGACCTGGGAGCAGCCATTACAAGGACGGGCGAAGGGCGAAGCCTTGTCCAACCGTCCCAAAAACAAGGGAAATACAAGTCACCGTCGCCGAGGCGCAGGCGGAATAGTCGCAATATCGGGTGCCTCAAGGTGGAGCTGAGCGCTCTCCTCCAGCCGAGCTGACACCTCTGGCAAAGCTTTACTCTGAGGTGTAACGGACTAGGAATGATCATTTCTCTTCCGCTCTGTATATTCATTCGTATGGTGGCGTGGAGCGGCCTCCTCACGCGAAAGCCCGGACAGTCCACGTGCCTGCTCCAAAGATCCATCTGTCCAATAGCTGGATGTGGAATGGATGTGGAAGATGTGCAAGGAAAGCGGGGGTGCCTGGTTCTGAGCATCCTGGCCGTGGAATGACAAGTCGCCAAAATGTCTCTGACTCTGGTGGTCCAGGGATGCTCAAGCTCGGTGGCGCCTGAATCTGTCTCCACAGGCTGTCGGTCACCTTTCGCCCCAAGGTTGCTGCTGGCCATTACGCATAAAGCATGGAGTACGAGCAGAGAAATGAATGAAACAAAGCAGGACACGCCAGTTCGACTGTGTTTGGAACTGCAGGCCAGGCAGCGTTGCCTCTGTGTGCTCCGCACGACGTCTCTCCAGCTCCTGCAGGAACAGAGTCTCAGACGACTATGCCGGCAAGTCAGCGTGTGTCCTACTTGGCCACTTGCATATCAAACTACATTGTATGTTCGACCATCCTATGCAGCTGATCCCAATCGTGCAGCTTCTGCATGGAAGGGAAAAAATGCTCCAGAGCGAGTTGTGCCACTACGCGGGAACCTGCAGATATCCCTTCGAGGCGGAAGCACTCTGCCCTCGTTTTCTTCTAACTCGCTGCGCTTTCTTGCTTGCTCTAAAGCGAGAAAGAGAAAGAGAAACAGAAAGAGACAGAGAGAAGGAGACAGAGCGAAGGAACAAGAGAGATAAGGAAAGAAGGGAAAGAGAGAGAAAGGAAGAGAGAGAGAGAGAGTGGGACGGAGAGAGATCTCCCTTTCTTTTCTCTTAGCATTCTTCGCGTAGCCGGCAACCGGGGCTGCCCGAGGAGCACTTGGTATGTGAGCCCCTCCCTCTCCTGTCGATGTGCTGCCACATCTCGTTGACGGGCCTGAGAGCGTGGAAAACCATGGAAAATAAAGTAGGAATTTGAGTAGCATCCCAAACATCCTTCAATTGGCGAATTCGCGATGTCCAAGGCTTGTCTCGGCTTCTTGCGGTGAGTGACGTGACGGATGCCTCGAAGCGGCGCCTCCACACGTCCGCATCTTCCTCAGGGCTGAAGAGAGGCAGTCTTAAATTGATCTTAAATTGCGCGCCCTCGAGCTCACGTGAGCCTCAAATGAGTGAGTTGTTGAATCCGTGCAGGGCAGCCGGCCTGCCTCATTGTCCGTGTGATACTGCACGCCAATCGTGGTTTCAATTGCTGGAAACCGTATGCATGATAAATGTCTTGGGCCTTCATGGCTATCTTCACTAGAACCTCGTATGACCTTGTTAACGTCGGTTGCCTCCGCTGTGTCCATGCGTTCACGCGATGAGTTGGTTTACCTTGTCCTGTGGCTCGTCGTCGTTTGCCAAGCTCAGACGCGCTGCTTCTTATGCGTCGTCTTTCTGCGATGTGTTCGATCAGAGTTCAGCTTCATTCACTGGAGTCTTCTCCGAAAGAAGTGATGAAAGGGCCCGGTATGCGCCCATGCAATGTGGAGGTCGCATTTGTTCACGTCCACATCCCAAAACATAAGCTCATGCCGTTCAGTGTTCTGTTTCGCTGACAAAAAGATGTCAGGTTACACGATGCACGTCCGCAATGCACCCACGAGGATGCTACAGCTCGCAAGCCCTGCCGGGACTTGTTAACATTCTTGATGTTCGAGCATGCTTTCCCTACACATGTTTGTATTCCGATAGAAAAAGTACGCCTGTGTGGAAAGGCATACATCATGTGATGACTCATGGCCAAACAGCACCATCATTTTCCCCTTTGAGTCATATGCTGAGCAATGTGGAGCCGACTTACCGATTGCTACTTTAGCAGGCCACTGTTTAATAAACCGCGCCCGCAGTGTTGGACGGCACAAACTGACGCCAGAACCGGTGTTGGCCGCCACAGGCTTGACAATTGAAGCATGCCCAACACGGCAGATGACATCATAACATTTAGACAACAAGGGTTCTGCGGTTCTATTGAGAGTAGCAAGAGATTTGTCACAAACCGCAGGTACGCTTGTTCAAGTGTTCCAGGGATCTGTCAGTAAGGTCGCAGCTTCGGCCCCGGCAGACCGGACTGTTTCTGGTGATGACTCATCCTCCGTGCTGTCGCTGCACCGGGCCATGTGCCAACAATGGCTACGACGCCTCTTGCTTTTCTCTGTGAACCCTGTTCAGGCCTCCGGTGGCCGGCCAGACAACCTGTCAACCTGGCACACTCAAGAACTCTCCAGACTCAGTGCTCGAGTTCTGCCACAGCCCGGAAGGCCGAAGGCCTCGCGCTGTGCATCCTGCTCATCACACGCAAATTTATCCACGGACTATCGTAGGTCAGCCAGCCGAGAATCACAGCCTTGCCTTAATCTGTCTTAGCAGCTCGCTTTTCACCTGAATGCATCACCATGACACGCGGTTGAAGCAGACGAAGCACGAATCTCGCGGCCTACGTGTTTCGGGGAAGGGAAGATTGCTTCCAGCTTGCCTGCGCACGGTCTTTTCGGTGCTCCTCCTGTTCCTGACCAACACACAGTCTGTGAGATCTTGGGCAGGAAGTACATAGCTTCACACTTGATGGCTGTGGGATCCTGCCTGCAGCCGGTTGGCCACATGCCGTTTCAAGGCCTAATACGACGCTTGCGAAAGGCATCGAATGGCTTGCCCTGCGGTCAATAACTGCTGTGCTTGATGCATCCCCCCGACTGGGAGTCAAAGTCAACACAGGAAACTCATTAAACCAGCGCCTTCTCTGCAAGCCGGGAATGACACGGTATTCAGTTTCATGCTCGATGTCACCTCTCCTCTTGATCGTTTCTCTCTTGAGTCCTTTGGGCCTCTTAACGGTTGGGCGACTAACAGAGCGGACCGAGTCCGACAACAAACCAGCCGAGTCAGAAAGCAAGACACCCTAAACCCTAAATCTATAAACCAAAACCAGGGAGACTTTTTCGTTTTCGACATGGGTACATGTTTTGTTTCCGACTTTCTGACTTGAGCGACTCGCCAACGCTCATGTCCGTGTCGGTCGCTGTTGGCTTTTGCCAACATCTTGGCGACTGGCTGCCATCTAGCGAAGTCTAGCGCACGGCCCTGAGTGTAGCTGGGATCTGTGCGGTGAGCTGCTTCACAGCCTCGTGATACCGCAGCTGCCACAAGTCTGCATCATCCTCAGGAAATCTTGTGCTTGCTTTCTGTTGCCCACTAGTTGCGCCCTGTATCAGCTACGCTCAAAGGTCCACGCTTCCGCCCGTGCTGATTGCATGGTATCTGGCGTTGAGATACCCTGCAGAGTCCGGTCAGATCAGCGAAATCAAGCACGCAATTCGCCCATCTCAGCAGAAGGCCAGGATGGCTGGGAAGCATTTTAGGCAAGTCAGGTGTCGGCACTGCTGGCAATGCCTCAGCATCAATCTCCGCGTCGCTCGGTTGAAGGATGCTTTCGCCATTGAAAATCCCCTGCAAAGGGAAAACAGCGCATGCTGACACAAAGCTGGACAGGGACTGATCTGCCCCAAGTACAGTTGAAGTGCCATGCCTGAAGACACAAATCACCCTTGTAATTTGGGAACTCGGTGACCTGCCATCACAAAACGCAATGGGCAAAAGTGGGGCAAACAGCTCATCTTCTTGTTTGCACTTGTTCTCTCGCCGGAAAAACAGTAAAGGGCCACCCGATTGGGGCCACTCTCCCAATCCAATCCACCAGGCCTTAGTCGCAGGCTGAGAAGCTGATGGGAGAAGCCTTCCCTCTTCCTCGTTAGCCACTCTCAAGTCTGGTATCGACTGTGAGTCTAGCAAGCCTTCTCAGGTCAAGGCCTGATGCGCACGAATTTAAATTCCACGCGCTCGCAGGGGGAGATCGGAATGGGAGTCGGGGTCTCCTGCCATCGTCTTGGTCTCGCAGAAGCTTGCGAAAATTTGGCTAAAGAGGCAGGTGCACCCAGGCGCTACCTCTCCATTCCAGCCTGGCTGCATGGCAACTGGGAACAACGCCGAACCTATTCCAACCTCAACATCGTCAGCAGGGCTGCACCCCAGAGGTTAGGTTCCAGCCTCAGCTTTCAAACAACAAGATACAGCCATACAGCTGTGTGTGCGACGGAGCCCGGGACATCCAAACGCCTCGTGAGATCCGAGGACCTCAGGGCCATCAACCATCAATCAGGAAAAGTCCGGGTCGAGAAGCAAGACGCGCGCGCACAGAGACACACACATACACGTACGTACACACAACTGCTCAATCACGCCCCCAGCATCGAACCCGGTCTTCGATGATCGCTGGGCCTCCCACTGCGAACCGCTCTCCTGGGCCGGGGGCCTGCAGCTTCACATGGAGCCTGGAGCAAGGGTTTCCCGGCAGAGCAGGGATGAGGCGGCTCAGCTGAGAGTGAACTGTATTGCGAGTGACTTCTGAAGTCTTGTATGCGAAACATCATGGCACAGAAGTGGCTTCTGAGGCCGTTTTCTGCATCGCTAAGAAGCGTGCTTGAGCCGTTTGGCCTTGCAACATTCCCGAGGCTTCCGGAATCTTCCGGAGCTGTGATCAGCTACGCTTGGCCAAAGGCATATTACGCCTGACTCTGCATTGGCCACTTGCATGACAGTAAACTCTTGAAAGCAAGCAAAGGTCTGCACGAATCGATCTTGAACCGGCGACATTTGTTCTACCTTACGAAGACAAATAGAAGGCCGGGTTTTGCATGTTTTTGTACCTGAGGGTACCGGCACAGAGTTCTTGCACAGCTGCTACGCGTAAGATGTCTTCCGGGGCTCTGACTTTGGCCCGCATCCATGGCGAAGCTGGCTCATGAGTGTAAGCAAAGAACTCTCCCTTTCTAGGATAACTTAGTAACTTCGTAGACATGCTTACAAGACCTTGTCACGATCCTCTCAAGCCAGCAACTCCCTGGCTTGAAGTGCTTAGACTGCCCAGATCCAGTGTTGCGATGCCAACTCATTGACCATCGATGTGCATATACCTATATGTATATATATATATATACATATATGTATATGTATACTCAAGAAGATACCTTTACATATATAAATACAAGTGTGTGTAGTCGAGTCATACGGTTTCATTCTACGCAGACTTGGCGCTTGGCGGCGGCTGGAGCGCAGCGCGTTGGGCAAGGGCATGCCCAGAGACCCGAAGTAACGATTGGACGAAAACTGCAGGGATCCCAGAGGTTTTCTTCCTTCCAGTCCAGTTGTCGCCGACAGAATCTACTTGCTGGCAGCATCGCTGGCAGCAGCTGGTTTACAGTACCGACAGCTGCATGTTGCTTTGATGCAGTTGGCTCATTAGCTCTATTAGCTCTTGATGCTTATATCGGCTCTCCGGACAGCCGAACCATGGCATCCTGCAGGCTTCCACTTCAGAAAACTGAGTGTAACTCCGAAAGACTCCTAAGACAGCAAGAGAAAATGCAAGAACTGCTTGTGCTCCTCTTCGCTGAGGAACTTCTCTGGTAAGTGGGCCAGGGCCATGAAGGGCCACAATGATGTGTCAACCTTGTCTCCTGCAAGCTGATGCGGCTCTGAGACGCCACCAGCCTGACTGTTGGCAGTCTTCCAAGGCTGGGGACTGCATTTGGTCTTGAACCTTGAGGCTGCGTGGCTGCTGCCCCACTCCTTGTGCAAAGTCTTTGCGTCTTCGAGCGACGACCTGTCGCACACCGTCGTTCAAAAGCAGACCTTCTAAGCCTTATAAGCCTTACTGTAAGAGGCTTCTTCGATGTCACACCTCATCTCGGAGCTCCTGCCACGGCATTTCGCCACCGGCTTCTGCCAGCACAGCCTGCATGGAGTTGAACACGCCGCTTGCAGGGGCCTAGATCCTGCAGAGAGGCTTAACTATCACTTCGATTTGCGGCGGCGAGGGTCTGCAGGGTCTACGGGATCTAAGAGAATGACCAAGCCGCATGAGACCGAGATGGACAGATCATCATGCTGGGCGTATGATGGGCACGAAAAAAGAAGTCATGCACAGCATCTCGCCTCTGCGTGCCGCCGCCAAATGCCCTCCTCAGAAGCCTGGCCATTCTGTCAGCGCTACATCAATTTGTCAGGTGCGCTTGTCGCTCGCAAGCCGTCCAATGCGAGGGGTCAGCTGTGGGCAGGTGAGGGGGAGGCTGTAGCACCATGCACACTCGAAGCATGGCAAAACAAAGCGACCAAAGTCGGGCAAGAGCGCTTCAACAACGCCACTTTCTGAGGCTCTTCGTTTGGATCTTCTTCTTGATGCACAGTTTGTAAACCCTGTACAAAATCTGCACCTCGAATTGACACAAATTAAGTCTGCATTGCGTCTACATACACATTGTACACGAGCTGCATCAAGAGGAGAGAACTCTGACATTCACAATATATGCCTGGCTGAGAGGGTCTTCGAATTTCATCAATGAGTTCTCTCTCCAACGTTGCAGCCCCAGGGTTCTCAATCAAATTAATCCCGGCACTGTGCGCTGCCATGCGCTGCCCAGTCTGGTATTGGCGGGAATGCCTGGACTGGACCACGGCTCCACTGGTGCATCCGCACTCAGCAGATTCCTGTACATCGAAAACGATTGAAGAATCTAAGCAAGGCATGCAGCTAGCGATCAGATGCCCCCTCCTACACGCCGCCAAAACCCGAAGACATCTGCAAGGCTCAGTTTGCTTCTGTGTTGATGCTTTTCTTCAGAGTGCAGGCTTGATGCAGGCTTGAGGAACAAGGGGCTCAGCCAGTTTCACCAGATTGCTGGTAACCGCATGGGCTGAATCGAATTCAGTGGATCGGGGCAAAACCTGTACTGTACAGCATCTCAGGCCAGGTGCACGGCAGAGGCCATAGAAAGCATGGAAGACCTCATCCTCGCAAGTGCTCCAGAGACATCCTCTACAAAGGCTTGGGTCGCATAACGTGACTTCAAGGCCAGTCCAAGAAGCGACTGGAAGCTCATCTTCTGCATCATGTAAAGCAGCTTGGATTGACATTGCCGGGGGATTCGTGGCATCTCCGGCTCGGCTCCTGGAAGTAGGCCGGCCCTCTCTCGAAGAGCCTCCATCACTTCAAGCGCTTCGAAGGTAAAGCCGCCGAGCTTGGCTCGCGCCTGCAAGTTGATGAGCAGAAGGTTCATGAGCTCCACTTCGGAAAGATTCCCGACCAGCGCCCGCTGTCTTTTGTCCAGATGGGGTGTGCGAACGTCGTGTGGCAGGTGGCAGTACTCACATGCCGTTCCATTTGTGCAGTTGCCGGCGTTGAAGAACAAGCATGGACGGCGGCAAATGTCTGGGTGCCCCACACTGCCCGGCTGTCGCGGTGCTGGGCCTGTCATCGCAGGCAAGTCGAGGAAGGCCTCCAACTCGACCGCGGCAGGGATCGCTCTCCTTTGCGCCTTCGTTTGCGCATCATGGCCAAGGATGTCTTTCGGTAAGATCAGGAGAACCTCCTCATGCTGAGCGCACTCCGCAGCCACTTCGTCCGACATGCGGTGCTGAGCGACACTAGCGGCTGTGTCATCTTTCATGGCAGGCGGCGCTGACTTGCAGCGCCGGCGAGCCACCTGCACTTCTTCCTGCTCCGGCTCATCCAGCTCGAGGAAAGTGTTCTTCACTTTGGTCACGAAAGGAGTAGACAACCGAAGAGAGACGCTTCCGCCAGACACTGGCAGCATCGACGTCGTCGTGCAAGGCTGAGTTGGGAATGCTGTACCAAAGAAGGTTTGAAGCCCGAAGCACTGCAGTCGGAACCACAGAAACTGGTACTAGTAGCAGGAGTAGCAGACATAGCAGCAGTAGCAGCAGCAGCAGCAGTAGCAGCAGTAGTAGTATCGGTATTCACATGGGAAACAATCTGAAGCTCGAATGTATGTGTGTGTCTGTCCGTGAGCACGAGCGTCAGCATGGTGAGTCAAACGATCGGGGCACCATCAAAGCACCAGTTAAGCAGTCCGGACCCATGCGCGCCAGTCTTGCTAGCTCATGTGTTTTCGAGCCACTTTTGTGAGTTTGCTGGGTGCCTTCGCATCGGCTCCCAAGACCGGGCCACGGGTAAATCGCTTGTAGAGCGGATCGCTCCCAGCGGGCTCCTAAGACTCGAAGAATGGAGCAAAGGGTCTTCTTCCAAGATGCGAAGCCTATGCGAAGCCTATGCGAAGCCTATGCGAAGCTTATGCGAAGCCTATGCGAAGCCTATGCGAAGCCTATGCGAAGCCCGTACTGTGGCCAGTCTCGGCGGCAAGGGTCTGAGGCTGAGGCCCACTTTGTCTTCGCTGACAGAAAGAAGCCCTGGCCTGGACTTTGAAGATTGTGGAGCATGCCGAAGGCTGCAGTGTTGTAAGTCATCCAAACTGAATCATTGATCAGTTGGTGCGAAAGGAAAGGAAGGGAAAGGAAAGGAAAGAGCCAGCCGTAACTAGCCGGAGTTGCCCCAGGGAGCTTGTTGCGCACCTTTGACGCGCCCTAGACCACCACGTACTCCACGAGCCTCCGACAGATGCGCACCAGCTTCACGGCGCATCAGAGCCGCACACTTTATCATGCTGGCACACTGAAAAGTAGCATCAGCATCCAAATCCAGAGCCAAACGGGGGAATGCGAAATACGCATTGAGATTGGCAGGTGTGCCTCCTTGCTTTCCTCCAGCCGATCATTCAAGGCCACCAAATCATCCTCCCCTGCCTCAGTTCAAGCGACATATGTTGATGCATGTATTTAGATATATGTATGTGTATATATATATATGTATGTATGCTGAGCCCAAGACCTACTTCTCGCATATATAGATACATACATATATATATATATATATATTTATTTGTGTATTTGTGTATATGTATATATATATATATATTGTACATCTGCTGGCTCATCCCCCCTCAACCGGCACTTGTCTCTCTGAACTTCTTTTTCCCCACCCTCGGTGTGGGGTTGTTAAATTTTTAACTCAACTCTTCTCCTCGCCCGGAACTCTTCTCGTCGCCCCGTCTACTCCTCGCTCATCCCCGGAGTGCCCAACCCCAAAGTGTCCCTGGAGTGCCCAACTCTAGAGTGTTCTTGGAGTGCCAACCCCAAGAGTCTCCCTGGAGTGCCCAACCCTGGAGTGCCCAACCCCAGAGTGTCTCCGGAGTGCCCAACCCCAGAGTCTCCATGGAGTGCCCAACCCCAGAGTGTCCCCAAATTCCCAGGCCCAGAGTCTCCAACCCAGAGTCTCCCTGGAGTGCCCAACCCCGGAGTGCCCAGCCCCAGAGTCTCCCTGGAGTGGAGTGCCCAACCCCAGAGTATCTCTACCAAGAGAGGGTGGGGATGTTCGAAGGAAATAATTTAAACCAATGCCCTTTCCATTTCTTTGGACTTGAACCGTTTCCGCTTTGCATGATATTTGCCCTACCCACATCCCGATAAAAAGGCATCATCTAGAGTGGAAAGGATATTGGTTGCAAAAAAAGTGGAAACTAGAAAGGGCGTAGGCCCAAAACAAAGTGGAAAGTGGTAATGGCAAAGGCCCAAAACAAAGTGGAAAGCGGAAGTAGCAATTTAAAGCTATATTGTTGGAGTGCATTGGAAAAAACGTATACCAACCCGGGCCGAGTTATTGGAATCAATTTGAGAAGCAGGGCTATCCAGAGTCTCTCAGATTCATTGAATTACAATACAGTAGCGTAGTCTGTAATGTAGCTTGCAAGCCACCCCATAGATAAAGCGAATAGAATAGAGCCCTTACTGGATGATGCCCTGGTTGCACTTCCCCCAGGCTTGGAATGTAAACGCTTGATTTAGGCTGATTGAATATAATTGGAGGTCAATTCAAAATGGAAGAGGTTCTACTGTACTACTGTTTAAAAGGTCCGGCACAGCTTTGCCGTTTAGAATTGTGGTCCTGATGAAATCCAAAAATAAGCATTGTGTTCACAATTAATAAGACAAATAACTCCATTCATATATGTCGCACCATTCATGTGAACGAAGTGTAAGGGAACAAGGAGCGACCTCCGCTCTCGAAGTTTTACACACCAATTCGTAAGACCAAATAGCACCGATATAGCACAGGTATAGCAGAGACATACCAACACCCCTCTGGTCGAAAGCACGATGGAATTCGATGTTTACGTAGGAGATAAGTGCCGGGTAAGTCACAGGGGGGTATGAGCACGCACACACGACTCTTTGGCTTGGCAAGGACTGACCTTGCATGAACCTGACAGAGACAAGAGGCGGAGAGAGAGAGAGAGAGGCGAGACAGAGAGAGAATGAAGAGGAACAAAACAAGGGGTCATGGATGCGTGAAAGGCTCATGAAGGTGAGGTGGGCATTTTTGTGCCAATATGTGCCAGACACCATGGCATGAGTGAAAACGACTGAGATGACGCCTTAGGGTTTAGGGCTTTTAGGGTTTTCAGGGTTTATAGGGCTTTAGGTTTAGGGTTGTAGTAGCCCAGTAGGGAAGCTTTCAACTTTTGGGGTCTAACAAGCCCCTACAACAAGGAATTCAGGATACTGGAGGGTGCCACTTTTCGTATTGTTAGGGTTTGGGGCTTAGGGCTTTTGAACAAGGGCTCTCGTCTATCGTCTTTTCTTCTTTTTTGGGGGGGGGGGGGGGGGGGGGGGGGGGGGCCAGGGGGCATGGTGGGAGGGTCTTGTTGCCGGTGCCCCTTGTGGGAAATACCAGTGAAATACCCATACCTCAATCCCTCAGCACCATCGGTAGATAGCGCTATGTTCAGGCGCTGGCACACACTCTCACACAGCATTCCTCTGGGCCCCTGTCTGCCATATGCACGTCAGCGCGACAATTGACACCACAGGAAAATGTGTCACCGCAGATATGCTTGAACAGCAGGATGCTAGCTGCTTACAGGCTGCTAGCAGGCAAAGGACTAGAGCCGCAGGGTATAGATGCTGTGGCAGTTCTGATCGTCCTATCTGCGACAATGTGCACTGCCATTCATTCTTTGGGAGCATGAATGCGTGATGTCCATGTTGTAAGAGGAGAGCGGAAATGGCTGGCACAGACATCAGGCTTCTGAACTGCTGACCGGCAGTGACTGGCAGCCTGGCAGCCTGGCAGTGCCATTTCACGCGCAGGGCTTCGGCTTATCCACGCGGCAGCTGTTTTGCAACGCTTGACCAACGTGGTCTAACTTTGGGCGTTAGCTTAAGCGACTCGACCAGATATGCTCAACACAGCCCTACCATTTTGCAGGGCCGTCTGTGCCTCTGGCCCTGTACTGAAGGTGTGTCTAGGCTTCACCAGTCAAGTGAAAACATCGGGAAGATTCTCTTCAGTAGCCTGATGCTGGCATTTCGCAAACATAAGGCAACAAGCTACAGAGTTGCATGCATGTCCCTTCCCTACGTTCCACCTGAGATAATGATGATCTGAGAGAATGATGATCTATTGATATACGGATACAGAATGCACAGTCGGCTGCGTCGTGCCGCAGCTTTCAGATTCATCGAAGCATCGCAAACACAGTGGCCGAAATTGAAGAAAGGCGCAGGCATTGGACAGTGGCAGATTAGGTGGATCTCACCTTCTTCTAAACATCCAGAAACATGCTTTGCAGGCTCGACTGAGATCGGAGCCAAGCCAACCGGCTTTGAAAGGGCTGGCCTCAGCGGATGTCGTGGCCAGAACTGTAAGGGCACGTCACCACAAGAAAGAGATTGTGTAAGATTGTGCAATTAACGATGTGTGGCAGTGAGGGTCTGGCCAGGGAAATGTTGAACACGCATGAACCGCTCGTCCCACGTTCTGGCGAAATGATGCAGCTCTGAGCTGGGCAGGCTCCAATCAAGCAGTGACCCCTTGTAGGTGCTGTCATTCATTACATCAGGTACATCAAGTACAACTAAGTAGTTACATACCTCCATTCACATTCATGCATGATCCCCATGACCCGAGTCTCGCAAGCAATAACAGCTCCTTTCAAGCACATCCGCCGCTGGCTTTGTACTAGCTTCAAGCCTCAAGCAATAAGCAATGATAGGACTCCGCACTTGGATCGCACCTAGAATCGACCAGACACATTGGCATCCTAAAGTTTCATGAGATCATGACTCCAAGCTGCTGCTCCAATCCCTATGAGCTCTGAAGACAAGTCTACGAAGGCAAATCTACGACAGGTAAGCCGATCTGTATGCCGAGAGCTTCAGTCTCAGCTTCTTGCGGGTGATTATGCTCCGCTGCACATTGGAAGGAAAGCAATCGCAATGGGTGAATTCTGGCCTGGTGCGCTAAGAGAAAGGAGATGGTGTGCTGAAAAAGAAGCAAAAAGTTGCCTCCTTGCTAAAGCCAGAAGAGACCCTAAACGATCACCTGGAATGACAGGCCATCGTTATGCATCCTTGGAGCCCTTGGCTACAACTCAAATGGCTCTAAAAAAACCTTTCTTGCCAGTTCGAAAATTGAACGCTACGTAGTAACTCTGTAGTAACTCTGGTTAGTACCTGCTTAACCAGGCCTCTGCGCAGTCTATCGCGCAGCGCGCGTCTGTCGGTCTGGATGCCTGTGGGCTCTGCAAATGGCGCAGCTACGTTGCTCACCATAGCTCAGCACCAGACACAAACCATAGCACACGGCGTCGTTGTGGTGGCGCCTTGTGACCGAGGGCATCTAAGGAATTTGAGGTATCTACTTGATGTCCAGAGAGTCATGTGGTACAATGCTGGGAGATTGACAGATAGCTTCCGTGCTGGAATGGGGATTTGACCTTCAGGTATCAACAACAAACGTGGGATGCACAAATTGTGCAGACACGTTTGCATGTTCTTTAAGCCCAAGACTTCGTCAAAGAATTGCAATTCTCTGTCCATATCGTTCCAGCCTACCACAGGCACAATGTGCGAAATTACGCTCAGAATATCTCAGCATGGAGGCTCAGTGTTGCTTGCAGTGGCTCACAGGCCGACAAAGCACCCAACCTCACTTGCCCATTCCGCTGCACCAGCCCTGCAGCGGTAGTCTAGGTTTCAGGTTTGTTTCCTGCAGCACTACGAAAGGGAGCTTCATGAGGAAGCGGAGGCAAAGATGACCGAGAGCCATACCATTTTCTCAGCGCGGATCCGCCAATCGAGCATCGGACTCCCCTACATTCCAAGCACCTGGCTCCAGGACATACCTTTTCCGATCATTCTTAACTTGGTGTTCACTGTGGATTTCTCGACAAACCACGCCAGCCACACACCTTCGTCACCGGCCCTGGCATCAAGCGGCTTTTGATATTGTACGCGCGTGCATCGACACGTGCATACATACCACATGAGAAAGCAAGCAGCTCAAGAACAAAGTGCGCAAATCGACTCTCATCCATGCCGAAAGTAAGCCTCTGGCCGTAAGGGCACGGACAATTCTTGTCCTCGGTTGATGGCCCTTGCCCCAAGGCCTCCGACAATGGGCACTCAGCACAAATCAGCACCATGCCAACAGAAAAAGGAAAGAATACAACATGCAAATAATTTTTGTAGCCTGTGGGGCTATTGTCAACCAAAAAGACTAACTAACAGCAGATTCTTGATTTTCAGCCTGATCTCTGTCGTTCCTCTGAATATTTCGACGGCCAACAATGCCCGTGGGCCCGTTGCTCTGCTCGGCGAGTTTGTGATTCGGGTGGCTTACAAGGGCCTGGAGGGCCAAGCAGTACTGTCTCCCGTAAGTTACTGAGAATACCACTGTGTGAGATGCAGGCTTTGGAGACTTGGGAGTGTGGTCGCTTCGAGGTTGGTGTGCGCATGTGTGTGTAGCCACAATGGCACTTGGGATCTGCCTGGGTGAGTGCTCACAACTGGGTCTGCACTATGTATACAGTATCTTTAGGAAGCCGCTGGGGCCCATCTGCCCTCATTCTGGTCTTCTTCTCTTCTAGGCCACCCTCCATCGGGTCGGAGCTTGCGTATGGCTAGCGCCTACCGTGGGAAGACGCTGGCATGTGGGATCTTCGCTTAAGGGTCAGAAGTGCCGAATGACTTGAGCACGGCGGGGCGCCTCCGTGAGGAAAATCGCCAGAACCACCCACGCCTGGGTAGGTGGCCGAGTCTCATGAAAAAGCTGTCAGAGACCTTTCAAAGCAATAGCTCTCAGATACTCTCTAAGACAGCAGCGCGACTTGCCATGGGCAAGGGCGCTTGGGCAAGTTTGGGCCACTTCTGCACTAGCTTCACTCTGCCGTGCTCACATCAGCCTTGTCTGCAGCAAATGGCTGCAAGGGGCATGTCTGAAAGAGCATGCTAAGACTGGCTGAGACTGCCAAAGCACACGTTAAAGCAGGCTGCAGGATCCCTGTTGTTCTGTGTGACCACATGCACTCCCCTTGAACATGCACATCCTCAGGAGGGCATGTTGTCGAAATCGACTACGTGCTGGTGACACGGTGGGAGTGTGAAACACGTGTTGCGAGCTGCGAGATACAAGCGAAGGCCCGTCATGGCCTGTCCTGGCCTGTCCTCACATCACGATAGATGGAGACACAACAGGGCCAGAATGAGCCAAGCCTGGCCAGGGGCTTAGCGACCCGACACTGGCACGGATTGCGCTACCAAAGCAGGACTTGTTCTGACAGCACTTGCCAGGTTGCTGTAGCGATACACACAGCAAAAATCATGCGAGGGCATCCAAACCATGCTGAAAAGCGCTGTTGCAGTCCACGTCGCAGTCCAGCACCGCAGCCTGCACATCAACACATCTGCCTATACAGCCCACAACAGCCCGCGCGGAAACGCTCGATTGCAATCTCAAACTGAGCACTGTTGAAACGATTTTCGTTGGTTGCAGGATGGGGCCTGCGCATCCAACCCGTCCGCACCGATAACTCCGGAGTCCTCTTTGCGAGGCATGGCCATTAGCAGGTTCCTTGGGGAACTGTCCACTTGATTCGTCTCATTTCGTCTCCTTGATGGTTGTCAGCGACCTACAGGACAGAGGTTGGAAAATGATTGGAAAGAGAGGTTGCATGTTTCTCAACAACGACCTGAATCGAGGACGGCACCTGCAATGCCCTCCCACGACTCCTAGGCATTCGTTCGACCACTGCCTCAGTCCGAACCACGTACCCTGCGTGTCCGAGACCATGTCACAGGGCACACTGAACGTGCCCATGTTCATCTGGGATCGTGGACTTTGCGCAATACACCTCAAGTTGTCATAAAGCTTTGAGTCAGAAGTGTTCAGAACATTGTAAAACAACCGATGTACAGACCAGTACCGTTGTCATGTACCTCTGGCCTCGCACTTGATCTGCTCGCAAGGGGTCAGCCTCTTGCCGCGCGAGGGCTCCTCGGCCTGCACCCAAGGTTCGTGAAGTTCCGAAGGGCGCTCGCTTGTGCCGAGTCTCGAAAATTCTACAGTAGAGACTGTAATTCAAGTAATGCTTCAGGCAGTGCAAGTGCAGGTGGCTTGACCAGAGTCTTCGGCCCCTCGAAACCGTCAAAGCCTTCGAAAGCAGTCCCTGAAAGGCAGAATCCTCAAAACAAGGGGGAATCCTTAGATCCTGCGCTCTCCCGGCATCTCCAGGCCTTGCAGCTTCGGATGCAGCGTTGAACAAACTCCTGCAAAGAGGAAGGGCGCAGCTCTTTCCTGTGTATGTATATATATATACATACATAGATATACATATTGTATAGATTTAGTGGCGCAAACTGAGTGCAAAAAGCGGAGAGTTTCTGAGATACGTCGAAACAATGCAGGAGAAGCTGAGATGCTTGTGATGCATCAGGAATCGTCAAGCTTGCGGGCTGAAGACGATTCGAGTATACTATCGACAAGCCTGAACTGCCGAGCAAGTCCACAACACGTCAGCATGAGCCATCATGTCTTATGTGTCAAGAGAGGTTGCTCCTCGTTGCAAACATGGGAGTAAGCTTCCACACATCTGTCACGGCGGAAACTCGCCTGCACCGCCAGTCTCAATAAGGAGTCAGCTTCTTATCTACCTTTTCTTGACTGCCTGCATTCCTGCAGCGCAGGACTCACAATCAGCTATCCGGGTCGACCCAGCACGGGAAACCTCGCATCGGGCACAGAATGTCATAGAACCAAAGAGGCGCTGCTCTTGCTATGCATGTGACGCGAGGCCCTTCGCGATTGGCTTGCGTGTTGTCCGGACACCTCAGCTTCGTCAATGTTTCTCAAGCATACGGGACGCAGGGACACAAGCACACGCACACACACACACAAGCAGAAGATGCGATACGGATCAAATCTAATTGAATCCCCCACACAAGCCAAGGTCCCAACTGTGAGAAGGTGTCACACCCATCACAATAGTCACCGGACTCGCACAGGATGCACTCGTAGATGCCGCGCCAAGACAACTGCCAATGCAGCAGAAGTATACAACACGTGAAGGGCTGCTCGCTTTCGAATTCGAATACAGTGATCAGAAGCATAATCTAACCTATCACAAACTGGAGATAAACTGTAGCAACATCAAGAAGGTGTCAGTACAATCTCACAAACACAGTAGACTCTAGGAGGACTCTTTGACCTGAGATTTGCATCCCGGTGCTGGTTAGTACCGTAGTTTACAAGCACTCGCCATGCTGACAGAACAGTCACACATGATCCCTCGAGTTTCGCCTGCAAGTCCTTCTTCAGTCCGTAGCACGGTGCTTCATAGCAGGTGGCACAGCACCTGCTCGAATTTCAAGCAGTCGGGCGAAAAAGCCTTTGGAGCATGACCTCGCCTAAAGTATCCAGGTGGGCACACTGGCTCGTAGCAAATGTCAGTGCCATAGATGGGGTCCTGCACAATTCGATCGAAAAGGACTGCCATGGACTCCTCTCATCTCCTTTACGACCCCATACACCGCTTCAGGCAACGCATAAGTGATATCCCAGCAGTCCGGACAAGCGCACGGTTGTGAATCGGTCGGTCTCGGTGCTGCGGGAACGACTGTTCCTGACGCACAGTTGCAGCGTGCTTGTTTCTGATTGTTGCTGCAGACGCATATGCACATGCAGGCTCGTGCAACGCTATGCAATGCCGCAGCGCCTATGGCAGGTTGAATCCAGTGGAGGACTATGAGCGCTGCCAAGCTGTTTCCAACAAGGCCCGCTGCTCCACAACTGGAGCTCTGGAAAGTGGCCATCGCCCTTGAGCGGCCTCGGCTGCCCGCATTTGCACGCACTTGAACGGGACCTTCTCTAGTTTCTCACGGTTCTCACGGAGCTCTCCAAGCAGTCTAACTTTGGACAGCTGGGAGGCACGCAGTCTATGGCCATCACATGTTCACCAGACCCTTGCACTCCATCTCTGCAGCATCTTTGGGCCACCGGTTGCAGCGACATGTCGTGGCAACTTGCTGTAGTCGGGCCTGCTGACGCACAGGAACTGTGAGTGTGAAGATTGAAATTGTCAAATTGTGAACTTGTGCATTCATGTGCATTCACCTGCATTCCGCAGTGAGTTGGACTTTGGTTTTGTGACACATTACCCGGTGCCGACCCTGCTGTGACAAACATCAAGCTGCCACCAGCCACCGTGCCGCACTGCGCGCAACTTCTTTTCGAATCAAGATATCCAAGCAAGCAGAAGCCGAAGACGTCAGTCTTGGCCCATCTTTGGCCGCTTGGAGGGCTCCTGCACGTGAAGCAGCTTTGGAGAACATGCGAGCAAGTGCCTGGGTTCTCGACTGCAGGCAGGAGGCGTTCATCCCATACACTGAGGCAAGCCTAAGTGGAGGCAATCAGCTGGCTAACGTGGCATTCTTCTGCAAAAGGAAGTGGGAACCTTCACCGGATTCTCCCGAACCCTGCGTTCCGGTGCATTTATTGAGACAGGGTTCTGTTGGTACAGCCGCAAGGCCACCCACACATCCATGGCTGCATACTCGACCTGTTTTGACACACCCGAGGAGAGGTCGATCGAATTCGAAGCTGACTGACTGCCCAAAGCAGCACGAGCCTGAGCAGCTGTTAGCTCTTGCCGGTTCCAGTTTGACGACCTGATGTCGGAGACACTGTCGACTCGCGTGTAGTGTTGTCTTGCAAACAGGACCGACAATCTTGGAATACAGCGCAATGGTTTTGCTCTTGTCCATTTCCTGTCACAACGAAATTTAGACTTCTTGGTAGATGCCAACAGGCGAATTGGGCCAGTTTTTCGAAACAATGACGACTGAAAACTGCATGCTACTGCACGCAGCAGACATCGGCAACTCTCACGCCAGGGTTGCGAAATCCAGCACGCAGGATGATGCACGCTTGAGGCCTCAAGCTGTAGGCAAAGCAAAAAGCAACCACATAAAGATGAGAGCGAATATTATCGCAGAGGTAACAAGTGACAGGCCGGGAGTCATAGTCACTTAGTCACTCGGCATGGGGGCCAGGCCGACCCTCCAACCCTGTAGAACGCTGGCATTCTCGCCCATTTCGGCCTCGCACCAGGGCTGCACCTCATGAAACAAGTGTGTCTGAGATGCCCAAGACTGTCCAAAGACACTATTTATTTGACTCAATGAACATCCTACACACTGGGGCCCAAACGTCGATGAGGGTGTCCTCATCCACCTCTTGTTGGGCCGTCAAGAGTGCAAACCGGAACCCTGCTTGCATCCCTACGTGTGATTTTGGCCTCATGTTTTAAATCCCTCCTGAAGGCGTAACGAGAAACCCCCTTGTAATTGCGCACTTTTTCCGGGCCGAGGCACCCGGTCAGCAGCTATTTCTTTTGCTCATGTCCAAACCTATAAACCTGTCTACCAGCCAAGCCGGTCAGGCCGGTCAGTCCACTCCTAATTACGGAGCCCCTTGCTTGCCTCCATGGGCGAGGGGTGCTTCATGTGAACTGAACGTCATTATGTAACGCAACCATCTCTGCATGCTCTGCCTGGACGCCTGAGATCTCGAGCTTGTGCACATCCGTTGCATTGGCAGCAAATCCGACCGCCAGCACGTCGGGGCCTTAGCGACTCGGGGGGCATCCTGACATGAACTCCTAAGGAGGTCTTCGAAAAACGAGGTGCACGTCGTGCGCGAAAGGCCGGCCCTCGTGTTCGCGTTATTGTCCAGGATGGAAAAATAGAAAGAAGCGAAAAGGCATGACGAACAGACAAAGACAAGTTAACTTTCTAGCTCACAACCCCCGCTTCAGTCAGCTCCACACGATACCTCGTCATGCCTTTTATCGGTCAAACCCACTGTTTCCAGCCTGTCGTCAGATGTCGGCCACTTTGTACGTGACAATGTAACGTGTATTTGCGGACCCGCGGACTCTACCACACAGCTGATGTCCGGTCGAAATTCTGAGAAAGCCATATGGACTCATGCACTTGAACAACGAGAGGCTGCATCAAGAGATCTTCTGCTGGGCACTCGGCTCCAGAAAAGCTGCTTTGCAGCGCTTGGAAAGCTCCCAAGGAGGGGCAGCTGCAGAACGTAGGCACTGCCTGGAATGGAAAGGGCAGGCAGCGAACATCTCCGCACTGCCAGCTCGTGTGGGGAAGCCTTGTGAATGCACGACCTCCAGGTACCAAGATCCCCAAGGTCTGAGTGATCGACCGGAGTCTGGGAATGCAAGCTGTAGAAGAGCCTCAGCTTAGCTTAGCGCTTGGAGAGGCACCCCCCCCCCCCCCCCCCCCCCCCCCCCCCCCCCCCTTCCCCCCCGGCAAGAAGGCCCCCGAATTGGACGTCCCCAACCACTGACTCTTGAGCAGCGTCGTCGCTGCCTCGCAGCCGGCCATGAAGGGAGCAGAGCCGATGCTTGGGCAACACCCGAGTAGTGCCGAGGCCCGAGACTTGATGGGGCTGAGCTTTTCGGCAGCGAAGGATATTGTTTTCGAAGACCTCCCTCTCATCTCTCAGCCATCCACATTCCCACCCCAAGGCTGTTGCAGAACCTTCCAGAGAAATCTCCGCCCCAGAACTCGAGGCGAGTAGTGGCAACGCAACAACAGTACCTGCTGTGTTCGGACGGCAGAGAAAGAGTTATAGAGCTGTCTACCCCGGGTTTTCAACTCGTGCACAGTGTTTACCATGCTGCTGATGTGTAACAATAATTACACCACTTTGAGCGCATCCAGGTACCATTTCGTACCACTTTGACTTCGGACTCCGAGAGATGTGATCACTGGAGTTCCAGGTCCAAGGGGCCACTGGATGGTCGTCGCCTTCTTCGAAGTCTGGAGTCCACTGAATGTCATACGCAACCTCAAAGAAGCTCACCATGGATGCGACCAGCTGGGAAAAACTGAGCAAAAGTGCTCTGAGGCTTACACCAGCCATGCCTGCGCCGCTTCTTCCACGAACTCCTGGTAGTGCCTGTCAGACTGTATCAGACTGTCAGAGCGCCACCACATGCTCCAGAAATCTCCAAGGAAATTATTGCAGCAACAACTGGGCACGCTGACACGGAAAGCCAGAAGACTACATCCATCCAAGGTCACACTCGCTCACCTCTCAACACCTTATGAGAACAATTGACAGTGATAGGTGAGGCTCGGTGACGTAGGGCTGCTCACGAGCTTCACCGCGGCCCTGAGTCTGAGTTGAGCTGCCATTGTCTCTACGACTTCTGTGCCAGTCTGTGCTGCCCAGCAACGGGTACTCTTCCAGCTCTGGGCCCTGTAGCCATTCCTGCAAGCCTCAAGTGAACAGCCGCTCGGAACGAACTTTCGGGGCTGGAGCCCAATCATGATTCAGTGGTCTATTCTGTACTCTCTTTTCATCTTCTGCTGCCACACGGAACCTGGCATCGGGGCTGCTCGCTTTGTCGAGGGCCGTTGCATGGTGGGCACCCAGCCAGTGAGCAACCATGCATCTGACACGCGAATGTCGCCGGGCCCTAATCGTGCAATCACTACATCCTGCATCCAGTGGCCAAGGAGTAAGCTATGGTGGTTGCAGTAGACTTCACAACCACAAGGCAATGTCTCGGCATGGATCATCATGGATCACTTCTTCGACGCAATCGTTAGATCCATCTCGCGGGCTGAGCTCAACATGTGTCGGCATGATGCTGGTTGCAACTTGTCACCTAGGGAGAAGATGTCTGACCTGCAGGTCATGCAACCCTTTGTCGTGTGCGATTCTGCCTGTGCAGGCTGAGATGAGCATCACACATCATGCTCTTGGGATCCGCACAAACATGCAAGATCAGAAGCAAGGTCATCAGGTTGCTGCTGCATTTTCAACCACCGCGCTTCTTCATCCGCTTCCGCCGCTCTTTTCTGCCGACTTTGCCTCGGCACAGCCCCCAATGGCCCCAAATGCAACCCGAGATTGAAGGCTGGAAAAAGACATCTGGAGAATCTGGAGTCCGCGGCGCTTACCACCCTTGGAGCCCTGCGTTGCGAATGTAACGACAGTGCGTCGGAATTTTCGGCTGTGTATGGCTGTGTAAAGTCCGCAGACCTTGGCCCGCTTGTTCTTCTTGGCAGGGCCTTTGTTCTTCGTGGAGAGCTTCTTCCTGAAATGCTGAGACACGTGCGGATGCCTCGCAGCAGAAACTTCTGCTGCGGTTAAGTCCAAGCAACGACACTGTCTTGTCCAGCGCCGCTTGACGACGGTTCTCTTCCTTCTCGCTTGAGATGAATCGCCTGGCACCAATGTCACACAGCTCGAGGTGGCAGATGGTGTAACAGCCCCAGGCCTCTTCGTCCTGGCTTTGGGATCTTCCTCGCAACGCTGCGAAGTGCTCGTGCTCGTGTAAGAGGCAAGATGAAAGTCACGGATGGTCGTGCCGTGCAAGGTGCGCATGTTAAATACCCACTACTCCAAGGATTCACGGACGTCGCCCGAAAGTTCGGCGAACCCACTTCACCACGTGGCACTTCAATTTGATAAGCCTAAAGCTTTCAGGATCTTGTCAGCAAGACGCCTCCTCACCCCCCATGTATGCGAAGGCTTACACAGCACTACCCGCCAGACCATGTCGTTCGAGATGACGCGTGGCGCATGCGACTGTGCCCAAAGCTCCTGCGGGATGCCGGTCAAGTCCCGGAGCAGTCCGGCCTGACCTGCACACCATCTGAGACGCAATCCATCAGACCATTCACACCACATCACACCACATCCGATACATCCCAATCCAACCCTCATCGCAGTTCGCCTCCAATCAAGGACAGCGCGCTGCCACTCTTCCCAATCAAGGCCAAAGGCAAATGCCTCTGCTCGGCGATTAGAGACGATTCACAGTCCAACAGTCCACCTGAGAACTGCACCCACCAGCCCCATCTGAGACCTTGCAGACGTTTCCATCGCACTTCGGAAGCATCGAGGAACTGGGTGCCATGGACGCGTGATGCGGGCAGAATTCCGAAACTTGGCGGCCCTGCTCCTGCTACAGTCGTTGTCACTTCGCAGTCGCCAAAAGGATCATCATCCTAGAACAGCCAAGAGCCACAGTCAAAGTCAACGCGCGCTTGCTTCAGAACTTCAGCTGCCTCTGCTTGGAAAGCCACGGTCACAGGAACCTGGAGCTGCATCTACTTCACGCAAGTACTGTCCCTGCCCTTTGCTTCGTTGAATCAGTCCTCTTCGTCCCTGATCTTCTCAGCTTGAAGGTCTCCCAACCAGCCAACTTCCTAACGGATGCTTGTGGTTTGACCTGCTTCTGTCTTGTGCTCTTGGTGGCAGATTGTGGCATCCGATCCATGCAGTTCCGGCTGCCTCATCCGGGCCCAGCAGCGCTTCCACTCGCTTCTCCGCCCGCTGCAAGTCCTGCTGTTGGTGATTCTTGGCATCCAAGGTTATATAAGGTTATCTTAGGCAAGCTTTGCCACTGAAAGAAACCTGCAGTGTCTAGGGATCTACAGGGTCCTTCCAGCGTTGCTTCACATCCTGCCGGTGGTCCTTCTTGGCTTCAATGCGGTCCTGCTCGTTGAATCTGTCATATGCTGTCCCCCAAGCTCTACATCAAACGTTCATGATATGATCAGTGCTGTGGATGTTGCTGCGCGTCCTTATGGGCTCTGAATTGCAAGCCGAGGTCTTCAGCTGCAAAAAGAGGAGTTTCACGAAGGGCTCACAACATGTGCAGAGGTCCTGTCGCTCTTTCTCGATGATCTCGCGAACAGCCCACTTTCTGCGATCCTGCCAATGTCATTGCCTTCAGTTCAAAAAACTCATCGAAAGGTTAATTAATCTTCACCAATCCATTCATGGACCTGAGGCGCACTGTCAGTCTGCCATGGTCCGAATGGTCTACCCGGTCTACCCATACCTGGCCCTGTGTCATCGAGGCAAGCGACTAGTGGCGCCCAACTGGCACTAAGAGGGTCCTGCTTTCTTTTTCGGAAGCCGGCAAGGAAGGACTCCCTGAAAACAGTGGCTCGCCGCACAGCGATCCCTAGAGCATGAGCTTTGCAGTTGCACCTGCTGGCAGGGTCGAAGGTCACGACCTGATCTTTGTCACGCTTTGCCCGCCTGACGTACAGCTACCGACAATGGTTTGCGAATCTGCAGCACCCGGCACGCATTGAAATATGTTGACAGACCATCGCCAGATGTTGTCAGCCTTTGCTTCACCATGACCTGCGAAAGGGGAAGGGGATCATGCCCGAGCACTGGATGCAGCAACTCACAGCAACCCGAGCGCACCAACCAAAGGCCTCAGCGCCAGAGCTTCGCTCGGCCAAGCTGTGCCATGTCACGATGGGATGGCGCCTCTTTCCTAGAAATCAAAAGATCCTGAAACTGAATGTCTCGAAGAGCAAGGCCACCATGCCACCAGCCCTTCCCTACCAGGCAAGGAGTTCAAGCAGTGCTGGCGAAGGATGTAAAGGTCAACGGTCAATGTCTCGGCATCTGTGATCCAGTTGGCCATCCTAGCAATGGTCTTATGCGGCGGCATTGGAATGAAATGCCACTCCGGCGATGTTGACGTGTTTCTTGTACCCGTTCTGGAGTCTTGCGGCTTTCTCTTCGCGCGGCTCCATCATGCAATCATGCATTCAACAGCAGACGCATAAGCCCAACAACTTGCAACTTCGCAGAGGCACCTGCGTCACGTGCAGGAAATTTTCGTATGCAAAGCTAAACATCATATCCATGACGAGCGCTGCGACAGGGCTTGACCCCACTAATGCAAGGGACGGTGGGACGAGTTGGCACCAGATAGCACCAGATGATGTGAAACTTCAAGGGATGCCGCCATCACGAACTTCCAACACTTTCCCACAGTCCGATGCAGGGCAGCGCACAGCCCGACGGAGCCGAGATTTGTCTCTTCTCCGTTCGTGCATCTCGGAAGAAGCCTATGAAATTGTGGGGAAGTGCAGTGCTGCACTAGCCCCTGAAAGACGTTTAGATGCTGTTCCTCACCTGATCAACTCATGGCAACCCAGACCACTGTCACCGCAGACCACTGGCAAAATGCTTCGCACGTGCTGAGGTGAGCACATAAGGACAGGAGTGGCTTGCATCCAGTTGATACTTCGGAGTCCTCAGTGGTGCTTTCTTCTCTCAAACCTATCACGACGCACAGTATACGACCACCTTAGTTGAAGCCGGCTTAGAAAGGGGCCTCTGCAACTAAAGAAGTCGATCTTGATGCTGGAGCCCTTGTCAAGCACGGACTTCAGCACGCAAAAAACAAGGTATGCTCTGAGGTCTCTGCCGGAATTCCTTCCGCAAGCCACGTGTTTTTCGCATTCCTCTGGTCATCCTTCGAAGGCCCCTGTGAGAAGCGGAGACTGCAGAGCGCAGACATGCGCAGAGATTCCCTGAACATCAACAGGAATGCAGAATGCGCTGACGCGTGGGCACATGAATTGGTGTGAGCTTTTGCGAGCACTTGTCCACGTCTGGATAGATCACCTTTTGAAACAATGGCTCGCATCAGCATCCACCAAACTGACAGGTCTAACCGTCTCACCTCGTCCTCGTTCCCGTTTCGCAAGACACGGAATTCCACCTGTCCGCTGCTTGGTACCTTGACCTTGGCATGGTTGTTGTGGCTCTTGAGATGTATATTGTTCATGTATTGTCCAAGTCATTTGTTCAAGCAATGACCGGCCCTCCCCCGCCGGCCCCTGAAAACCTTAAGTTTGGCTGGCTGGCTCCCTGTCTCTGCTCTCTGTTTCTCCTCTTCCAGAGTGTTAACATTTTCCTCAAGCGGCAATGGGGGGGGGGGTCGGAGGCCAGTTTAATATTTTCTGTTTCGGCAACATTTCGCCTACCACCAACCACAAGTGAACATTTTGCTCAAGCCACGAAGCAAAAGAGAGCAATTGGGACCCAGAGACTCCAAAACCCATCAAAACCCCTTAATTAAGGAATATCCCTTAGATTATCATCGACACCCGAATATGATTTAAGGTGTGTTCCTTCATTTGAAGTGGTTTTGGAGTCTCTGGGGGGGTCATCGGCAACCCGATGACCACTGGGTCCCCGACGGTGATGGTCCACAGCCCCGGGACCGGTCCGTCCTGGGACCCCACATCCCGCTGTGCCAAGGCACACTTCTCAAAACGTGCCATGCCGTGGTATCGCTTATTTTTATTTGTTTTTGACATTTTGGGGCATCTGTGTCCTCCATTTGCTCAAGGTCCCATTCGTTGAAAGGGCCTCTAGTCGGACGGATGAATTCACAGGACGAAGCCGTGTCGAGTGAGCTTGTGCGACTTGCGAGTCTGCCTGTGATGCAATAAGCTTCATCTTCGCCTTCATCAAATTCCACTCCCGTGTCCTTCACAAAACAGCAAGCAAGTCAACAATAGCAAGTACGTACTCAGAAGAATGTCCTCCTTGAACCACCTCTGAGGAGCATTGGGCGGGTCGTCAGGGTTCATTTCGATAGAGTACTTGTCCCCGGGCAGAATCACCTTTCCATGTTCCGTCATGTTTGTGCTCTCAGCCTCAGTGCGTCTCAGCCTCACAGAGCTCGCTGGCCCGGCCTGATCTGGGCCATCCCAGTCCCACAGAGCAGGATCACTCCCTGCACAGGGCCGCAAGGATTCGTCACAAAGATGGCGCCGCGTGGGCACATTTTTGGCGTGTCCAAATCCGTCCGGGTTCAGGTGGAACAGTGTGGATGTGGAAGCTCAGGGACCAGCCATTCACCCTGACTTCTGGGGGTGACATGCTCCTGGAATTCGGTTGGCAAACCCTTCCATGCATTTCCATGGCACAATGACTGCCCCCTTGCAGACAGCTAACAGTTTGCACCACAGACACGTCCGGTCCAGATGCGCTTCTGGTAGAGCTCTGCGTTGCTCGGTGCCTCATCTGTACAGAATGGCAGCCGTGAGTCAGTGCCGTGCGGTGGAACTGCCTAACAAAAACACATGACGAGCATCTCGGATCTTCAGCTACCATACACGGACCTGTGTCAAAAGAGTCGGGGCCCCATCAATTGTGATAATACAGAGACGCCAGAGACACCGAGGCCGAGGAGCATGGTAGACGTTCTCCCCCCAGAAAATGGCGTGAGCATTTGTGCCACCTGGCTCTTACATGCCATAAACGAACACAATGCGCAATAGACTCTGAAGCTCGGAATGTCGCTTCACTTTTTCCTCTCTGCACTGCTTCCCTTGCCTTCGCTGTGTCAGGGGGTCTCGAGCCATGTGCTTGATGAACCCGTGAACACACAAATCGCAAACGTGTTAGTGCCACCAAAGCCAAAGGAGGACACGTGCACGTTGCCCTGCAAAAGATCATATACAGAATGCACTTGTGCCAAGCAGAAGAAGATAGACATGCACCAAAACACGTTGACCAAACCTTCTCTTTCCAACCTGCCTGGGAGTATTGATAAGAGTTCAACTCGCTGTTGAACACTGCATTGAAGCCAGTCTGATCCAAGTGCCTGAACTGCACAATGACTACTTCCAGAACGAAGCCACTGCAAACTGCACAAGTTGGATCATGTTGGAGCTAGGTTCCGGGACGGATTAAGCTGCCGCAGATGACAGCAGGGAATCGCGGAGGAAGCCTTCACCTTGGGACAAGCTCATGGACAAGATGGGTGCGGAAGAACTCGTTTCAAAGCTGTCCCTCACGCACAGCACTCAAGATTGCTCATTAAGCTGCAGTTCCCGGCCTGAAACACCGCCGCAAGCAGCGAGGTCATGGCTGCTCCACCTGCACACGAACCCGCTGAAGCCATGAAAATGAGAGCACGGGATGCAGGCATGATGCAGGGGGGGGGGGGGGGCAAGGCCTTCCAAATGGCCAGTCTGCGACTTGTTCGTAACAACGAGCAGAGTCGTGTCGCGCTGCTCCTTGCACTCTGGATGCAACTCCGAATGTCGACTCAAGAGTCTATGTTCCCTCCACGCCTTGTTCTGAACTTTGCGGACGGCCCCAACTTCAATGGGATCACCTGCAAGTGCTCAACATCCTGAAAAAAACATGAGGGTCGCAAGATATTGCGACTGGAGAACTTGCCCGTCCCGTCCATACGTGACAGCGCATCAGGCAGTACACCTGCCTAGTGAGGTTCCTGTTCCGTGACAGCTCCAGACACAAGACCTCATTGAATCTAAGGTCAGATATAACGCGACGCATGTGAGAGTTGTGTGTCGTCGCAAGTTTCATTGAGAGGCACACTCGGTCGGCGAGATCTTGGCCTGGCAGTCCAGTGGAAGCCGGAACACTGAAACAATCTAAAACACCTGCTGCCTGCAAATGCACCGCAATACATTGCAACACACTGTAAAGCCGCCGATCTTTCTCATGACTTGAAATCTTGGCCTCGCGGATCGCCTTCCAAATCACCTCTTCCTGTGAGATGCCTGGCGCATGCAGTTCTGACAGCCAAGTCTAACAGAGTCTGACACACATTTTTCGGCGAACGGTTCAAGCACATCTTAAGGCAGCTCACTGCTAAACACGCGGAAAAGGCTCAGCCATGCCATGCGAAACTTTTGTCAGGAATACCGTTTGGGGCTGTCAGCGTTGCCGACTTGCCATTTTGGCCGACCTCCGCTAAAACGACTGCAAAACCGGGCACTGTCGCTGAACCGAACTGCACTTCTGAGCTGACGGCCATAGAGCCTCGCCAAATTGCATCCCGTTCATCTGGCAAGTCGCCAGGCTTCAATGTCATGCCAGAACCTCAACCGAGGAAAGGCTTGAGTGTCTACTTCTTGCCCTCGAGGTGCTAGAGTGCGGTCTTAGTGCCCCGCAACCATCACCCCGCATGTAGCCACCAGCTGTGGCATTGAACGTGCGGCAGCGCATCTGAAGACAAGACTCTCTTTGGGCAAAATGAGTTGGTACAAAGAGCCCTGTGCACCCCTGAATGGGGCGATGTGTTGAAGATCCCTTCATGGCTTGATATTCACCAGAAGCCAAGTTGCAGAGGTCATGTGGGACTGCGAACTGCCCACGAACGGGAAAGGCCTTGCACACACGGCAGATTCTCAGCAGCATCTGCCAGACTGCTACCATCGCTTCCGTACCCTGCTTGAATGCATCATGTTGCAGCACGTAGGATTTGCAGATTTGCATGAAATCTCCGCTCAGGCCCGTACGACAAGCACTGATGAATGCCAAGAGCGATGTGGAACTCAATCTTGTCGATCCTCAGACAGGCACATGAGGCTTAGTTTCATGTGGCCATCGCCGACGGTCTGCACTCTGAAACAACCTGGGCCGTGTGCGTCTGATCCCTGAGCATGAACTTGGCCTTGCAGCAACGACTCATGCAGCGGTCTCTCTGGAGCATTCTCAAACGAATGCAAGGTTGACGCCCAAGCGACCAAGCGCCCACTCGCCCTTTTCACTGGCTAGGCTGATTAGACTTAGGCTAGGCCGCAAGCAAGATGGGTGGCCGTCAGCGAGGCCGAGCAGGCTGTGTCAGCAACGTAGTTCGGACCTCTGCACTCAGAGCCATTTCCATCTTCTGACATTTCGCACGTGAGAATCAGAGAGCGGAAAGAATCGGCCTTTCAGGTTGAAGATGAAGCTGAAGCGATTGGCGATGATGGCTTGGACATTCGCCGATCCTTGCCTGGCCGTCGTTGTCACATGCAGGGCCCCATTGCATATGTGGGGACAAAACATAAGGGCGGCACAGCTCAGGAGTCTTGGGGAGCGAATCATAATCATCCTCAGGCCAGATGGCAAATCTGTAGAATTCAATCCACTGCGTGCACTTCTCAAGATCTAAGAGAATGAACTCCACACGTCCTTGTCCAAGCCCACGGACACGCCGGCATGGTGTGGAGTGCCTGGAATGTTTAAGCTGGACTAGCTTTGCTGGGGCCGCCGGGCTTGGTTGTTGGTCAAACATCTGCAAGGGCCAACCCAGCCAGCCAGACGGCTGGCTATGTCTTTCGTAATCCTGCAGAGCAGTTGCAGAAGGCGCGCTGCAACATGTTTGAGCATTTGTTGCAGAAGGCTCAGCCGTCTCAGAATAGTTGGGCTGCGAGAAGGTAAGATGAAGTGAAAAAAGCTCAGGATCGCTCCCCATCTTGAAGAGGTTCTGCGCGCCGACCTACCCCAAATGACTCTCCAAGTGTGCAAAATGGCTTCACATGGCTTCACTAAATGGATTGATGTGAGGCTTCTCCAGCCTCTCGGGTGGAAGCAGGGACGGGAGAGGAGGGAGGGAGGGAGAGAAAGAGCTAGAGCGAGAGAGAGAGCGAGAGAGAGAGAGAGAGCGAGAGAGAGAGGGAGAGAGAGTGAGAGACAGAGAGAGCGAGAAAGCGAGAGAGCGGGAGAGAGAGTGGGAGAGAGAGAGGGGGAGAGAGAGGGAGAGAGAGAGAGAAGAACAACAAAAACACGCAAATAAAAACAAAGAAAAAAGAGAGAGAGAGTGAGAAAAGAAACAAAGAGAGAGTGAGAGAGAGAGAGAAAGAGAGAGAGAGAGAGAGTGAGTGAGCAAGAGAGAGGGTGAGGGAGAGAGAAAGAGAGGAGGAGAGAAAAGGGCCAGAAAGGGTTTCACTGCTCAGAGCACCTCAAAGCAACCCGGAACTTCAGGGCAGCGCAAACCCTCCAAAGGACATCGCGCGAACGCAAAGGCAACAAAAACGAGGAATTCTTTCCTTTGACCATCTCCATCCTACAGCCAAGCGATGTGGGAGCCCAGCTACCGTTTTTCGAACAGGTAGTGAATGGATGCTTGGCCGAAGTCTGCCGAAGTCTTCTGTCGCGCGACTCTCCGCGGAATTCTCTGCGGGTGGGCACTCCAGGCCCGCGCTCAGAGGTAATGACAGGCGACTTCAGCGACAGAAGCTCAGGGCATTCTCCAGAGCTGAGCGCCAATATTTCCTGCTTTGTGTTCTGAACGCATGGCGAAACATAGTGCCACCGGTACCCAAGCACAGACGGGCCTCCGCACAAGTTACTCGCGGAGCCGACACCGGGCGAGGAGGCGAGGAGAATGGTTGACTTCAATCTAACAACGCGACACCAAGGGTGGAGAACAAGAGGAAGACGGATGACAATCGGCGGCGAGGGAGGAAGACGAAGAAGGGAGGAAGAAGGGAGCAAGATTCAACTTAGTTGAAAGTCATGAGTGTGTCCTGGGCAGGTGGCCCACCAAGACTTCTGAAAACACAGGTGCCTCCAGCACGTGCCGCTGCATGGGGTCCATTCCCCGTGCCTATGCAAAGCACAGGTTTAAACAATTTTGCACAGATGATCAGATCGTGGTTGAAGTGTTTATGACACCCAGATGGAAGTGGCACTGCACATCCCACAGCAAGCCCTTGCCTCGTTGATTGCAATCTGGAAGTACTTATGATCAAACAGCTCGATGCCTTCGACGTACCTGGCACTACATCACTAAACATTCGCTTCCGAGCTGCTTCCCAGAAAGCGTGTTTGCGATACGCAACAGATTCCGTCTCAGTCAACTTGCATTTGCTTGAGACAGGAAAGCTGCCATGGCTCTTGCGCCAGGTCACGATTGATGCTTCACCACCGATTGCCAGTTCTGACCGGGCAGCGCATGGTCACAAGCAGTTCTGCCAAGTTGGATTGCCAAGCATTGTTCTCCTGCTACCCTGCCTGAGCCTCGTCTGGGTCTTCGCAGTAGTATACGGAAATGTCCCATCGCGTAATGGGTATTTCCACCTTGAGAAGTTTCTTCATTGCAGCATGCATGCAAGCTTTTGTTATGTGCGTTGTTCATCCACGACGAATTTCTACCCCACGATTTATCTTTGACCCCTCGCCGCCTGCCCTGTGTCTTGTGTCCGCTGGCGCCTCAACACTCATCCTTTCTCTGGGTTTAGCTCCACACTCCAGGCCCAGCAGACTGTGTGGGTTCTGGTACAGTGGGAGGCTGTGAGGCTTCGAATCTTGAACCCCCCGGGTGCTTTTGCTGGCGGTCCTGAGTAGTCCTGAGTTGTGAGAGGCTTCTCATGGCTTATGGTTACAGCAAGGTTGGCCCTTTCGAAACCTTTTTAGCCCGCCTGGAGTCGTTGAGTGACTCCATCCTTCTCAAGCGCTCCCCGAAAGCTCCTTTGAGAGCACTCCACTCCCCTGAGCACTCCACCCCTGAGTCCGTGCATGCACTCAGGCCCGCCCGGTACCTGACAAGAGGCTTGGGGAATGGCTAGGACTAGGAGGAATACTTTGGACCCTTATGTCATGTTATGCCATGTTAAGTGCTCAGAATGCTAAGGCTGCTGGGGGCTGCTAAGGCCGCTACGGCACTTGTATTGTGAGGTGCAGCTGACGCACAAGTGGCATATGTTTTGCAACTCTCTCACACGATCGGCAGTATGCACAGCCCTGACTGTTGGTCATGGGCTGCTTAGCTGCCTGGTCTCAAGCCGAGTCTCAAGAGCGGGGATGTGGCACATGGTGCCAAAATCTCTACCCGCAAGAGGTGCTTGGCCAAGAGGGGCTGAAGCTTGGAGCCCTTCGAGCCGCTGTCTTTTCAAATTTCGCGCCAGCCGCAGCTTAGGTCTGGAACATGAGCACAAGTGACAGAGATTTTTCGTTCCAAAGATGAACCGGCCTGCGGCGAAGCGCAAAAATCGGATTAGACTTTTTAGTAAAGCATGAGAAGACTGTGGGTCGCCCTGGTGAAGCTCCAGCCAGATCTCAAGATGTTCAGACTTTTATTTCCCTGGTTTATATGGCAGCAGCTCTGGCAACATTATGGCAACTCAAGACAACCAGAAAAGTTTACATAGACGAGAAGAAGGATGCTTCCGCAGGTGGCGCTGGAATCCCGCAAAGCGAGCGCAACGCTTGCACTTGAAATGAAGCTAAGCGTGCTCATAAAGCGTATGGTTGTACACGTAGACAGATTGCTTACACCGCACCATCAGAGCAACATGTGTTATCACGAGCTCTGTCAGGCAGGATTGCAAGCTTCAAACTGGACACTCATTCGCCAGAACGGAGAGCCAGGTTTCGTCGGCGCAGGTTTCATCTCGACGCTTGGATTGGTGTGCACAGTCTGCACTGCCTTCGCTCAGGTAGGCCTCCACTCTGCGCAGCTGGACCACTCTCTGGAAACTCTCCGGCTTCTTGCTCACCTTCTTGAGATACATGTTGAGCTCCAGGACATAGAGATTGTGGGTCGCCTGGTCAGGGAGTAGGTCCTTCTGTGGAAGGACGCTCGCAGATTTCCGATTCTGAGTCAACCAAGACGAAGCTCTTGGCGACTGAGCCGATTGAGCCGACTGCGCACAACTCCCACCGCAGCCCATGTCTCAAGAGTGACTAAGCGCTGCAGCAGGGTGACATGAAATGTGAGCCACGGCCTGCAACGAAGTCAGACAACAGGTTGTTGCAGAATCTTCCATTGAGGCTCCTCTGAATGTTGCAAAGAGTCTGCAAGCTTTTTATCTGGCGAGGGCAGATCGATCTGTCGGCTGGATCACGCTTGGGCCGTGGAGGCGCAAACCTTGCTAACAGTTCTGCCAGCCCAGGTCTGTGACCTTCACACCAAGTTCCGCGAGTAATTGTGTAAGCAGGGACTCAGCAGTTTGGGGTGCGGTGGCGACTCGCCTCGATTCGTCGATCGATGCGCAGACGGCTCCTGGTGCTGACCAGCATCAGGAAACTCTTTGATACTCCAAATATGCGGAAGACAAACTTCAAACTGGTTACTTTGGTCAGTCAGTTCCTCTCTAAGTTCAATCCGGCGAGGCCGAAGGAGGGCGAAGGAGGCCGAACGAGGCCGAAGGAGGCCGAACGAGGCCGAAGGAGGGCGAAGCTTAGGAGGGCGAAGGAGTCGTGGGAAGGCGTGGGCGCTTCTCAGGCATCCACTTTTCTCATATCCAGCTCCGAAACCTCCTGTTGTACCTTAAGCCAGCCATCCTCCTCGCCTGGGCCTCCTGGCCACGATTCAGAGCAATCCTGGAGTGCCAGAGAATCCAGAGAATCCTGCAAAGACTGCCGCCGAATCAATTTGGCTCCTTATGTTCCTGAGTTTCACCCTGAGTTTGTTCATGATTGTGTTGTGGTCACGGGCATCGCAGGCCCTGACTGTGAGGATGCGCTGCCTTACAACTGGCCATTGCAAGACTCCACCAGGCTCCTCAGCAGCTGGCTGCTTCGGAATGGCAGGCCTGGGATTGCTTAATCAAGCAAAGGCACTGAATCCCATCACAGCTTACATTAGCCAATCTGATGCGACTGGTACGAGTAAGGTCCTGTCGGTGGAGCTGCTGGCGCTACCCGTGGGACCTGAGAGGAGACTTGCAAGCATAGTTGCGCCAAGACTCGGGTGTGGTCCGGTCAAACTTGTGCATGTTGCATGGCCTTGCATGGAAAGAATCCAGCAGCACAAGAGTCGAATTCAGAATAGGCCGGAACATCTCCGAGTGCCAGCTGAACAGGACCCTCCTTCAACATGTTCAAACATATTATAACATATTGGCGCAAGGACACAGCTTGACACGTATTGACACCTCGAGCACTTTCGCAATATCTTGTAGCATGTCAGGCCATGTCAAGCCTGCAGTCGTGGCCGGCACGCTCGCGCCAGCCTCGGCCAAAGAAGAGCCGCGAGCGTGTCGAGTCATGAAGGGCTGAAGGGCTGAAGGGCTGAAGGGCTGAAGGGCTGAAGGGCTGAAGGGCTGAAGGGCTGAAGGTTCAGTAGTTTGGAGATGTTGGGAGCCTCGGATCTTCTTCTCTGCCGTAAATCAATGGAACGGCGTCCGCTTTTTGATGACGCATGGGCCTGCACGAGCAACGGCCGTTGCTGTTTGTGTTGTGTACTTAAACCCTGCGGCACGTTCAGGCCAATCATGTATATTATCTCTTGTGAGCACCTCAAGCCTTAAGATACCCCAGACCTAGCCTCCAAGATCCGGATAATGATACGGCAAAGACATGTAAAAACCATGAAGCAAACTAAAACGCCTAACCTCCCCCCCCCCCCCCCCCCGGTATAGTACACCCCAACAAGCACATACTCCAAATCTGGGGCGCATTCCCGATGAGCTTCTCCACGCCTCTTCGGCAGGGAACGGCGATTGCGAGTGTGCTGGGTTTGTATGATGGTTTCTGGCGCTTAGCCTGCTTAGCCTTGGCATTCATGCGCATTAGTGGGCTCAGTGTCCGTTCGTGCCGTGCGATTTCAAGGTCTAGCTTTGTGTTTACGGTTTTATTGGCACACTGCTACCACCCACGGATCAGGGGGCCGCAAAGGGCCTTTTCCGAGCGAGGAGTCCTCTTCCGACGCAGGGGCTGGCCTGGAGCATGGCGTCCACACTTTACAGAATCATTCCAATCAAATCCAAAAATCTAAGTGAATTAGCACTGCCAGCCTCTTTGTGCGACCCCTGTGCCTCGTTGTGCGACCCCTGTGCATGAAAGGAGATGAAGGAAGCATAGTAGTGCCAAAAAGTGGTGCAAGCAAATAACAGCGAAGTGGAGACTTCGTGCCTTGCAGTTGTACGCCTAGGACTCTTGGGGGTGCCTGGGTAACCGGGACGTCTGAAGCTTGGGTCTGCTTCGCCCGTGCAACGCGCAGCATTGCAGCAAAGCCCCTGGCCGCCCTGGCCTGCAAGCACTCCAGAAGGCACCTTATAAGCAATCTCTCTCCAAAAGTGGAACGGCAGAAAAAAAGAAAGAAGTGGGCCCGTGTGTTCAGACTCTTTGACGGTGCGCTCGCTACTTGGGACTACTTGGGACCGCACGAAACCGGGCTCCAGCTTCAGCAGCCGCTGCAGCCTCCAAGTGGAGAGATGTGCTCTGTTTTGCTTGTGCAAGAATTACCACTTTTAACTGTGAGATCGTCTTACACACACAGAGACATTTTACACACTTACACTCTTTGCTATTAAGCACACGTTTTTTCTCTCTGCATTCTGGTCTTGATTTTGTTGGCACCTCGTCACAACTTGCCACATCACGGTCACGGCATGCACTAAGCTGTCAACTCGTTGGACCACGGCTTGTGCTTCAAACCCAGTGCCTGCCGAACGCTCGGACGAACTGACACTAGGTGATGCATTACGCCCCTTTCCAGCACTCCGTCTAGTTCGCGCTTCCCAGGCCACACAAGCTCACCGTGTCCCCTAGATCCTCCGGTCCCTGCTGTGAACCACGAAGCATCACGAAGCGGCCTCGCAAGATGCCTCGGGCAACCACACGATGTTCAAGTCCTGCGCGCTTCGAAGCTTCTCTTGAGGATCCCTGCTGCCACTTGACACAAACGCGCCCTTGCCATCCCTTGCTTACATCGTTCTCACTCGTTCTAGCATATCCCAGCCAGGTTTTGTTCAGAAGCCTCCCTGAAAAAATTGCAATAAACGCAAATGAGGCTCATATAGAACTACTTCAGGTGTTTGGAGCACCTGCTCTTGTGCTCGCACTGCAGTATCCACAGCCCGGTCCGAGAATGCGTTCTGAAACGCAGGGGCGCGTAACGTGTACATGCACCGCGGCCGTGTTCACGTCGCGAAAACAACCCGGTCCACAACAGCTGTAAAGGTTCCTGATCCTGGTAAAGAGCGACCCAAGGTACGGCAAGCAATCTGCCTCGCATGCTAATGCCAGGGAGGTTTGGAGCGGAGTTCAAGACATGGTGAAAGTCACTGAAAGCCTCTGCCTTCACCAGATTTGCGGAGTAGGGCACTGCCTTCCGTGCAACCTCTGAGCAGAATCAATCCCACTACCACATCCACTACTTTGCCACGGCCCTCTACGCTGCGCAGGCCAACTCTTCACTGAGTAGAGAGCCATGGATGATGCCTCTCTGGAGGGAGACCGGAGCCTGTCTAGCGAATCAGGTCCATGCAGTTGAAAGCTACTGGTATCAAGCTCTCTTTGACATGCGACACCCCCATGGCACGTTACAGGGGCCTTTGCAGATTGCCGCCGCAATACTGCCCAGACCGCACCTTCTAGCAGGCGAGTCCTGAAGTGAGTCACATGCACATATTATGCACGTGAACAGCAACTCTTCAATCCATCTCGAGTTGAGAATGTGAGAATGGACCATGTGTCCCCAAAGACATGGAGAACCAGCACACACACACACACACACATGCGCGGGAAAACAATCCTGCCAAACGTATCCGAGGATATCGGACATACACGGCCTCTAACTAAGAAGCATTCACAAAACAATGAAGAAGTCGACTCTTGGCAGTTTGCAAAAACAGGAGTTTTTTGTCAGAGTCAGCCGCAATCGCGGAAAGCCAACTGAGTGCTTTCAAGCGCTTTCACAGGCCGGTCGGCGAGATCTTGCCACTTGGGATGCTGAAGACCCCCGCGTTTTCGCACGGTTCGGTGTGGCTTGTGCGAGCATCAACACTGCTGTCAAATTAAGTTCAACCCTTGGGAGAACATGGAACGCGCAGTAGCTGCAACTGCATGTGAAGCACATTCTCTTTCAAAACCCAAAACGCAAACACACTATGCGCACACCATGAGGTTGAGAATTGGCCAAGAACCTTTTCTGGTCTATCAGCATGACAAGGTCTTTCAAGGAGAGCATCGCCTCCCCTGCGGCGGCAAAGCAGAAGGATGACCAAGCTGTTCCCCAGAGCAGTCTTAACAGCACCCAAGCAGCTCGGTTCACTACATTGCAATCACATAGTGAGCAAAAAGGTGTCGGCCTGCCAGCTGGTCGCTGAGGCTCTTTGTAAACTTTAAGCCTGCAATTCTGCGAGTTCACATAAGTTCACGGAAATAATTGCTTCCCTGTGCTTCAAAGTTGATAAGCTGTTGCTGGCGGAGGAGGCCCATGGCGATCCATGGCATCCTCGATGTCCCATCGGCTCTGTTTCTCATTGCCGGAAAGTGAACAGCGAGTCGCACCGGTGAATACGTATAGCTGCTACCAGGCCAGCCCAAAGCATGCGCACCGTTCAAGCTGGTGAGACTTCAATGTCCGAACAAGTCCAAACTGTCTCCAACATTCCCCCCTTCTGCAGACCTCCGCATGATCATCATGATCAAGATCCAGAAGGTTCAGGTGCATCACTGGTGCATAGCAACAGGATGGCAGCGGGTGTGCAGAGCAGGTTCGCAGAGCTCCGACATGCTCTGAAGCAAGAGCAGGACCAGGGCAGCAAGCAGGTTTTGGGGATTGGAGCTCCACGCTCTGCTCCGCAGCATCGAGTCGAGTGCTGAGACTCCCGACAGCGCAGTTGCATCCGGAAAGGAATGGCGCGTTTATTGCACCTTGCTGCCGGCTGTCTCTCACTCAGAGTGTATGGGATGGTACCAGGACGGATGTGGTCGTTGCCTTGGGTGGGCAGGGAAGTAGCTGGAATCTGCGAGATCTGAGACCTGGGTGACGGGCAACTTGTAGTTCAGCAGAAGCTCTTGTCCAGGCACGAGGCTGCAGATTGCCTCAGCGCGTGACACCCTTGGCCTTAGGACCTTCCTTGGCACACGAAGGCCGCAGCCTGGAGAGCGATCGTCGGGGGCCGAACTCCAGCGGGAACACGCACCTCGCCTTGCACTGTTCAAAGGTTCAAAGGTGGGGCGCAGCCGAACGGTCGAACCCGAACGGTCGAACATGAACCCCTGGCACCTGAACCACACATTGTGCATCTCAGTCGCTCCATGTCTGTGGATCCAAATACCAAAGCCCCCGATGCACGCGACTCACCATCAAGGAAGAGTCCAAGGGCCTCAGTGAGGCTCCTCTCTCAGGCTGTTCTCAGTCTCAGACTCAGACTCTCTGAGGATGCTTCGAATATATTGAGTTCCTGCCGAGCAGCTCCATCTGCTGCAACCTCACGTTGGCACGCTGACCTGCAAGGCCCCGTCCCCCCCCCCCCACATCCCCTTACTCTGTCCCACTCTGTCGCTGAGTCCAGCACCCTTAGGCGGGTGATTCACGAGCTGACCAACAGCGAAAGGGCTTCGCGCACACTCCTGGGTTTACGGACGTCTGCGCTCGCATGCTGCACACGAGGCTCTGGGCAGGCACGCGCCTAGCGCCTCTAGCGCAAGGGAAACTCAGCAAAGTGCGCACTTGAAAATTCAAGATGCAGATCTCACGCGGCAGTCTGCTCGGAACCCATCCTCGAAGACTACACGAATATTTTCAGGAGTTTTTCTTCAACGTCAACTGACATATATTCTCACCAAGCCAGGCATGCATCGAAGGTCCCGTCTCAAACCAGTACAACGTCAAGCTTCCATGATTCCACCATCGCAGCACAGGTGGTAGGACACCTTTTCACCAGCTTTGAGATTGCTGGAGCGAGGGCATGCAAACTCCAGACAAGAGGCCACATCTGCCCGTGTACAGCCGGTCAGTTCAGGATCAACCTTGGCAGGGCTGCGTACCATACCGCGCCCAGGCAAGCATGATTGCAAAGCATGTGCAAGCAATTGCAAGACGAGTGCTTGAGCTGGGCAACTGCTTCAGGGCCATGGACATCCAGCACGTGGGACCAGCAGTACCTGCACTAAGTGCTTTCCCTGGCCAGAAAATCAGCTTCGAGTTCTCTTCTTTCCGTGCAGGCCAGTTGCGGTTGTGTTTCTGTACCCCACTGAATTTTGTCCATGGGCAACTTAGATGCAGGATAATGGCGGCCATCAACTAAGACTGCGCAAGCCGCAAACTCAGCGCACGACCGAGGGAAACCAAACGCCCGCATACAGGGCCACAAGGGCTCCTGCTGGCACAGTATCACGAGCCACGAAGACTCCATTCCCACTGGACGGATCGTCGATGCCAGAAGGCCGGACTTCTACCTTAGCAGGCTGGCACAAGCGCACGACACGGCATGCTAAGCCTGCTGAGTAAAAATGTGTTGATGCCCGCATACGACCTCTACGACCTCTCTATCTCTTCCGACCAAGCGGCCGAAAAGCCATGCAAGCTGGCACCCTCAGGGAAGCCACATGAAACCACTTGCTGTCAGAAGGAGAAAATGTAACAGAATCTAAACACCCTCTCGTCTGTACTCGACATATCAATAGACCTGCAAGAAGATTGCAGAAACACTTTTCTGCTTTCGACGCCTTGGCCAAGGACGCTGCCTCTTGCATGAGCAAAGTGGGTGAGCAAGAAGACGCTATCTGCCGCATATGTTGCACTGCGCTCCCAGCGCGTTTCGCGATCATTCTTTGAAAGGCCGAAATCGAGAGCCATGGCAGAACTTGGAACCTGTAAGTTTCCTTGAGCCCATACTGCAGTTATCTGCAGTTCGAGAGATCAACAAAGTGCACAAGGTCACGAATCACAGTTCCGTTTGCCGTCCGCTTCGCCTAAAGCAGAGCCAGGAGCCAGCTTGAGAAGGTGTGGGAATTCCTGGGCCAGTTGCCGAGAAAAAGCGCCAAGAAAGCCAATCGCACAGAAACAGGAAGCAATGCCCCGAAGCCTCGACAAGGAGCGCAGCACTCCTTTCCTCTTCTTTGGCGCGCTGACCGGGCGTCATTGAAGCCTCCCGAAATTGCGCACCCCAATGCCTAGATGATCACGAAAAAGAAGCAGACATCCTGAGGCAGATGACACAAGAGTCCATTCGCGGAAGATCTGGGAAGATCCGGGCCTGCAAACCACCGGCGTTCAACTTGCACTTCGATCGGGCGCAGACGAAGGAGAACCGGACCACCACCTCAGAGGATCAGAGAGGGTACAGTGGGATGGTGCGTACCGGGCGCAGGTGAGAGTGTCAGATACTGTAAGACCGGAGTTTTTAACAGAGCAACTCTGAACTCTGCGATTGCTTTGGAGTTCTTACGGCAAGCACGCCTTGCGGCTGAGTGATGCAAGAGTAAGCTTGCTGCTAGTGTCTGGCAGTACGATCAACGCAGCAAAAGATGGGAGTAGCGACTGTGAGCAAGGCAGGCGACTACGGCAAGTGTTTTTTGCTGCTTTGCTTCCAGCTGATAGGACTTCGGAAATGAAAAGGCCTGAACCAGACGAGAACTCGTCCACAGCATCCCTCCCAGCTCCTGATCCTAGTGCAGAATCCTGAGGTCCGGTCACCATCCTTGTCGAAGTACCGAACCGACCTCTCCACGTCCTCGCAGGGTGCTCTTTGCTGGAAGTCAAGAGCACGGGCTGGCGCAGCTTTGCAGCTTCTGAGGCCGGCCTCGTGGCCGTCGCCATGTTTCAACATGAGGTCCTGACATCCAGATTGCAATTAAATTCGGAAGGTGGATGCAGCAGATGCAAGGGCTCAGAAATTCTCGTTGACGTTAGCACCGGCTGGCCTTCTCTTTGAGACAGACTCGACAAGACATCATCGAACATCATCTTGCGCCATATGTTATGTGATGTGCTCCCACTGTCAATGTGCGATCCCAATGTCCTCGGAATGCCTGTTGAGACAGCCTTGGATGGTCACCGAATTCGTGGCCAGGGCCGCAAAATCTGAGCAAAACTGCTGAGGCGCCCCAGAAGAAGCCATTGCAAAGGCCATTGGTCATCAAGACCTCTGCTTGCTTGCTTAACCGTGTTCACGACAGGATGCAGAATCACCGGCAAGAAAGCATGTTGACAGCAGAGCTTGGAGCGTGGTGCCGCATGAAGAACGGATTATCACTTACCTCATGCGGTGGACGTGCCAGCAAATGTGAACGGCACATACCATGCACCTTACAGTGCGCGAAAGCTGCCAGCAGATAACAAGGTGCCGACATTCAAAGACCAAATATAGGAACCCGAGCTTTGCATTGTCTGTCTGGCCTCGTGATCTCATGCTAGGTTTCGTGCCACCACAGCTCCAGGCTACAACAGTTGCCTGGTCAACTTTTGCTCTGCTGAGGAGGGCACATCGGCTGCTATCAGAGCCAAGCTGCCAGCCTAACTTGGTTGCTTCAGCATCAGCTGCAGCATCTGTTCATGCCAACTGCTGAGGCGCTATCCGGCAAGGGAATTCTCATCACCTCGGTCGTATTCAGCATTGGGCATAGCAAGTCCAACATCGCGTCGTGCGTCTTGGAGAAAAGGAAAGCTTTGCGGCACTAGCCGGGGTCTGCACATCCGGCGAAGGAGATTGCGAAAGCGGATCACACAAATACAGGTCCTGGCAGTCTCTCCGTCCAGGGCCTCACTCACACAACTGGAATGTCGCACCGAGCCTCCACGTCATCATCCATGGAGAGAACGTGCGTGCCTGACAGTCTTGGCGAAATGTCCGCACCCTCAAACAACTAGAAACCGACCAACAGCACTCGCAAGGCATCCTTCCGCGAAGAAGTGTGTGATGAAGTTGCGTTGCTTCCTTTCCATTGGCGACTTGCCACGTGCCACAATGTGCTGGCTCACACGCAACATTGACTCAACACGGTATCTCAGCAAGCTGCCACAAAGTTGGCACGCCGATCACGAGATTTGTCCATTCCTGACCTGTCTTCTTAAGCAAAGCAAGACCTGAATATTTGTAATACTTCTTACGCCGGCACGGCTACCCCAAGAGAAACGACCCGGCTCTTGGCATTTTTGTTCGCTGACATGCTGGGACACACTGGCCATCGGTGCACTTCCTGCAGTTTCTGGGATGGCTGCTGAGCGGCTACTGGCTGTCATGGACATTGACATTCAGTCAGGTCAGAGTCGACTCATTCTCCACTTGAGTGCACGGAGCACCTTTCGGCGTTGAGGGTGCTGTCGCCATTCGCCGTTCGGCCGACGTTCGGCCGGCATTCCGCAGTTGCAGCTCAACATGCTGGGAAAGCGGAAAGGGATGTCATTCGGGAAGTACGGTCTCAAACAGAGACATCGGTGCCAAAGAAGCAAGCAGGCTCTTGTCCTGTTCCAGCATCCTCAGGTTTCAGGAAGAGGCTCTCACGCTGAACAGCAACTTAGCTCCTGCCATCTACTGCCCCTGTGCATCTGGATCCAGCTGGGCTTCTTTAGGGTGTTCGCATCTTCCGAGGGCTGACACCAAATCGCCGACGAGATTGACGTGGGTTCCAAGCCATTCGCACCAAGCGATATCAAAGCACACCTTAGGGCGCCACAGAAAGGCAACGAATCATATCTTCTGGATGCTGCAACAACCTGTCAGTGAATGTCTTCCCTGGCTTCCCTGGGTTCCCCTGGTCCTCTTGGTTGAGCTCAGCCACTCCAGAGGTGTGAGACCTCCATGGCCGCTCTGAGTAGCCACCTGTCAGGAAGCCCCCCCCCCCCGATACCGTGCTCTCGGCCGTAGCATACAAGGACATCTCCGCCTCTGAGCCTGAGAAGAGCCCAGCCTGCAGAGCTGGCTTCAGCAAGAGTCTTGTTTTCTTTCTACATATATACATATGTACATATACATAGAGATGTACATGTATATATATATACATATACATATGTGTGTGTGTGTGTGTGTGTGTTTCGTCTGTTGTTCTTTCTTTTTTAGTGGGTGGGGGAGGAAACCTCCGCGTGGCATCGTCGCCCGCCCCTGTTTCTGGGCTGTAACTGCGGAGTGGCAGCGAGTAGTAGGGGGGGGGGGGGTACTTGGTCCAATATACCACTACACCTAAAACCCCACAACCCTCGAAGAAGGTCGTCGGACCCTCTGCCCTCTTTCTCTGTCTCTTTATGTCTCTTCGTCTGTTTCGACACTCTGCAAATAGAGCAGCTTCGACTGTTGAGGGAACTTCAGCGGCCGGCCGCATACCTCTATCCCCGATCCTCGCAGCCTTCACCTGCCTCTGTGAAGCTCAGCACCCTCAACTAGCCCTCAACAGCCATCCAACCTCCGTCTTCAGGGCGCAGCCCGCTGTCGGGCGGCATGTAGGCGCGTAGGCGCGCTTCTTAGCAGCAAGTCCAGACACTATACCACGTGTTTGCGCTCTCAGCCATACCTTGAGCACATTGCCATACGAAAGCTAAGCTTACATGGTCTTCAAAGTGCAAACCAAATCTCGGCAGCGATTCGTGCTGCGGAGGCATGAAGTTCCTGCTGGCGTGAAAGGCATGATGAAGTATGTTAATCGGGAAGGTCTTGTGATTAATCGGCCATGAAGATGGCATTTACGTGAATCAGCCTCCAGAGTCTCTCCAGCCAGGTCATGGTGTCTGAAGTTCGCGTGCCTGCGAGAGGACACTTCACCCACAATCACACGCTTGAATAGCTCCAGACTGCCCAGCAAACAGTTTTTTTGGGCAGACAAAAAAAGTGTCATCAACCTCGCCGAGAAGCTGAAGGCAATCACCGTGTCTTCCCGAAGTGTCTCCGACAACGTCACCTGAAAGCAATGTCTGCTGCGCAGGATACTTGCCGTGCACGGGGATCTGTCAACATGTCGCCCGACAAGCCCTCAAAGCTCTGCAAGATCAATCTTCCATCACACAAGTACCAGGTTTGCCGTGGTTTCGTGCACCGCAGCAGGAAGGACGATCGAGGATGAACCGCCAGTCTCAGGAGAAACTAAAACAGCAGTGCCAAGCGCAGCCATGCTGCGAAAGGCAGGGTGCTTCTTGAGCAAGCTTCGCCGAACGGGCTTTACAATGTCTCCGACCTGCACTGTAGCAACGGTCCGCGATAACCCGCTGGACGGTATAAAAGTATTCAGGAAGCTGCCACGTGCGTCCCCCGAGAGTTGAAACGGACAATCTTAAGTGTGACGCACCCAACTTACCCAACTCGCCCTCGTGTCTGCAACGCCTGGCGCGTTTTGTCACCCTGAACCGCGGCAGCGTGGATGGTGCGTGACACTGCCTCATGTGTGCAAGTGCGCTCATCGCTACAAAGGTCTACCAGCTCTATCGTCGAATACACTCAAGCACGCAGTCGGAGCCTCGGACTGTTCAGCTGAAGAACACAGCCAGCGCAGGCCTTCGTGCAGTGGCATTCAGCGCACACCGCACTATCGGAGAGAAGCCAGAGCAAGAAGCAACACGAGGGGAGCAGCAGGCTCAAGTGCACAGGGCCGCCAAGCGGCTAGAGTACGTTGCTATTTCCTCCAGCAGTTGAGATTCCTGCTGGCCAATGGACGAACCGAGATAAGGAGCAGCTGAGATGATTCGTCTAGCACCTTGGCACCAGGCAAGCTTGGAGATGCTATGGCGTCCTCGGTCCAGTCGCTTGCGAACTCGTTGCAAAGATTCTCCACCCGTCTGTGCACAAAGCGAAACTCACGTGGTGCGCCGTGGAACATGTCTGCATGCAAGTGACCAAACCAATCTCGCCATGTGAAAAGAGGTTGCCCAGAAGAACCTCGTGTTGGGGGAGAGCCACAAGAGCCACAACGGCACCGTGTTCACGATGGTCCCCAACCTGCAACTCCGGCCTGCTCTGAAGCGAGCTGATAAGCCCCCAAATCGACGGCCGGCCCCAAATACACGTTGCCACCTGAAGCGGGAAACTAACGATGGATCCCACGATCCAAGAGGGTCCTCGTGGTGGATCGTTGGGGGCATCCCTGTCGAATGCATCTACGACTAAGACTAAGACAGAGGAGACCCTTCCACTCTTCTTAAGTCTTATCAAGCACTCGCTAATCTGTGTCTTTGGCCAGTCTGTGCCACTGTGGAAATAGGAAGGTTTGGAATCAAGCTGAGGGGTCTAGCACGACAGAGATGGCAGCTCTAGCGAGTCCAGGAGTCTATTGTAAGATTGAAGGTTGTTCGACGAGAACGGCGATACACCAAGAGTAAAGAGTGTTGACTTTTTCTCCTGGCTGAGGCCGAGGCTAACATGTGCAAGGCCTGGGTTGCACAGTGATCTCCCCGCCGCCCAAAGTGGCTGAAGCACTCTGCATGTGAGACCTGCAGGCCTGCAGTGCCCAGATTAGGGTCAAGTGTCCCACCGAAGCCGAGGACGACGAGGATTCCATCAGCCAGCTGGCCAGCAGGATCAGCCTGGGTCAACCGTTTTCTGAGGCAAGGTTCTCCAAAATGTCTTCATCATATGCGAGGGTGGTCTTGCGAGGGCTGGGGGGGGTCGCGGGGGGAGATGAACATGATGACTGGCGAGCGTCGAGAATGTCGAGGGAGCTCAAAGGGCACTATTCTACACAATGCACATGATCTCGGAGGTCTAAAGCCCCATCCCCCTCCCCCTCCCCATGAGGATCACTGAAGTGGGGCACATTCTTTGCCAAGGTGCAGCGCATCGGTGCCAATGCCCAGAGCCGACTCAAGTGCAGCCCGACAGTCATTTAGCATCACCCAGGGCCTCAACAGCAACAAAAGAAAAAAGAAAGAGCAAGAGTAACAAGAAGAAGCAGAACCAAGAAGAACCACTTCATCAACTCAGAGGGATTCGAACCTGCAGCTTGGCCCTCACTCAGAGCGCCGCTTCCGGCGGAGCTGTGGCAGCAGACCAAGTTGCTCTGCAAAGGCTGCCATGTCAAGAGTCCTTCACCACACAAGCCGATGGGCAGTTACTACTTTTATCGTTCTGACTCGCATTGCCGCGTCTTTTTGCTACGTCGGCTACCGATATTACCACCGAGTCGAGCAGCTGTAGGGCCCTCGGCGTTGAAGCGGAGCTGTGCTGCAGCTTCCGCCAGATGGCATGGCCAAGACGCATGGCTCAACAAGCTACACAGAGCGTCCCAGGATGTCCCACATCCTTCAGCTTCATGCTCTTAATTCTGCAGCGCTTTCTCTTCTCCATGTCAACAAGCGGGACACAGGCAAGGATACATGAAGGTGAGCGAACTTCACGTTGCTGACAGCCACACATGAACACACTGCAATGCCGACGTTTGGCAAGCTAACTCCTGATTTACACCTTTCGCTTTCTTTGCTGGAGAGCTGAGGCCTGGACTCAGGGCCTTGCGGTACACCACGTACCTGGCAACCATGTCTCATTCTTGGTCGCACTGCTGGACTTTTGTGCTACCCTAAACCCTAAACCCTAACCCCTAACCCCTAAACCCTAAACCCTAAACCCTAAACCCTAAACCCTAAACCCTAACACGTGGACGGGCACTGAGACTGTGATGCCACGAAGATATAGACGCGGTGTTTTGGAACACCTTGCCTCAAGTGTGTTTTTGCTGTGATGCCTGCTGACCGCCTGCTGTGAGCGCTTGTGCAATTCCACGCCTCTCCAGCACAGCGAGCGTTTTGCTCTGAATCAAGACCCTCGGCATAGAGTGGTATAGAGGTTTGAGCAGGTCCGATGCACAGTTGGCGCAAGACAGTCCAGGAGCGCGGCTCGCGATCGTAGCTTGGAATTGCCACGTAGAAGCCATCATCAGCCGGGGGTCGCGGAACCTTCCAAAGGATGCAGCGACACCCACGTGGAGCACATGCGTTGGTGCCCAGCCTTGCAAGGCATGGCATCCGCTGCATCCGCTGCCCGTTCACATTTCGTGGGGCGTCTTCGGTTTAAAGATAAGGAAGCTGAAGGATGGCATGTTGGGGCCCTCTACTCTCACACTTGGGGCCCTGATAGGAGACGGCGCAGGGCTTCTAGCACAGCTTAACCCCTTTCTCGATAGAACAGAACTCTTGGCTTGAAATCCACACAGCTGCTTCTAACAACCAAAGGTTCTATGGGACGACGGGGCTACGGATTTTTGCATGAGGCATCATGAAGTATGGCTCTGAGCCATCCATTGCTGAAGCAGCTTGTCCAGCGAAATCTAAAGAGAAACAGGAACGGTACAACGTTACAGATCGGCGCACGCTTCGGGCTCATCCCACTTAGCCATAAGCCGGCTCGACAGATTGACCACCTCATCTCCGAAGAGTAGCAACAGGTATCTTCAATGAGATCAAGAGAGCGGCTCCGCATTGAGCTGAAGACGTTGATGGCATGACCTTCTGGGCCAGGTGGGCCTTCAACACATCGCAGCCAGTCGAGGTCCTTGGTGCAGGGACCATCAGAAACCGGAGAAAGCTGAGCTTCCGCCAGGTGACTCCGACTTCGTTGCCGGTCAAAATCAACCTGTCGGGTGGCTTGGGTGGCTTGGAAATGCTTCTCGATGCGACTCGAGCACAAGGTACGGAGCTACGCTCAAGGATGTGTTTTGAGGACCAGGCGGGTCCACGTGCTCCAGCAATGACGCTGAGAGAATCAACGTCTCCTGCAACGGATGCGGAAGAGTCGAAGAGCGCAAGGAGTGCAACAAGCATTGCTTGTTACAACTTGACGCGACTACAGAAAAACTATTCTCGTCGTCCTCGTCTGTCCGGCATTCCAAGTCGAACATGCAAGGGCCTCGTGCGTTTGCCGTACGGCTGGCATCAGAAAGCAAAGATCTGTAGGTGCGCATGTGTGTTGCGTGTGTGTGTGGGCGCGCGCCCGCGTGTGCACTTGCGCGACTCCGTCCGGGGCATGACGTTGAAGAGCCATCTACTACTACAGAATCAGGGCCCCTCCCTATTGTGATCGCCTCTTTCTTTGTCAGAGCCAACCTTCTACCGTGACTTGGATTCAATACCATCTCTCAGACCTTGGATTGAGCGCCTTCGATTCGCGTATGTGCCTGGGATTCATGTGCAATGATGTGTCATGTTCAGACTCCAGATATCAAATACAGTACCAGATAAACCAAATCTTCATCCAGAAATAAGCAGATTCTCAACCAGACAAAACCACATAGTAAAGTCGATGGCCCTGGCCCTTGCGGCGTCTGGGTGAGATTGTTTGCTTGTTTGTTTGTTTGCTGCCTCGGAGCCTAGCCCCTTTTTGCAAAGGGTCGCAGGGCCAGCTTTTGAGGGTATTTGTTGCCCAAGTCGCTGTACCACACACCAGCTTCAAGCTCGTGTGCGCAGTCCTAGTACTGTGGTTACACAACAGCGGGATGTAGATATGCAAACGCTGAAACTTCACCGCTGCGTGGCTGTAATGCAATGCAAAAATGCTGGTTTGCTTGATTGCTAGCTTGTTTGTTTGTTTGTGTGTATGTGTATGCGTGTATGTGCGCGGGTGGCATGTGGCAAGGTTTCACTGAGAGTCTGAGGGCCGGGCGGAAGATTAGCACAGTGTTTGATCCGGCAGACATACGCACCGGATCCTGTCATGCAGCTTCATGACGCTTCATGCCCGAGTCGAGATTTGAATTTGATGAAGAGCATCAGTCTGATCCTGACCCTCCTCCCCCCCCGACGCAGACAGAGATTGCAGACACGAAGCCGTATCTGAGGCATCTGAATCTGTTCCGTCGCGCACCCCTGGACCTTCCCCGGAGACATGTAGCGCAGTTCGCGCGATTCACCGCACGAAGGCCTACGGTACTCCGCACCCCCTCACATACCCCTCGCCCGTGGTTTACGGGTTCATGGTGAGACGTAATGCCCTTGCCTCACACAAACACTTCTGCGGCCTCATACGGGCGATGTGAGCCTTTTGGGGCTTGACAGTTTGGATTTGATCGCACCATGCGCATCTACCCGTCTGAGAACAGCCAGCCCCTTGTTGCGGCACCGCTGCTCGAGCAGCTATCACCAGCACAGGGAGCTGAATTGTGCCTGTTGCCGAAAGATCCGAAGGTCCGCTGACAAGACCCCTATAACCGAGAGGATCCCCGTTCGAGGCAACTCGGCTTACTCTTTGAATTAGCGCTGTGAGTTGACAGCTGAAGTTTCAAGGCTCTTACCTTGCAGCGACTACAAACTTGCTAGGTCAAGTTGGCACAAGCCAGTCGTGAAGATAGCAAATCAAGTTGGACCTCGGCCAGTCGAGTGAGGTTCTTTGCAACACGCTGTTGGTTTTGCGCCAAAACCTTGGTGTCTGTGTCCTGGGGCAGCCACCCTACAAGACTTCCAATGTCCCCTATGAAAAGCCAGTATGAGATTGCGATGAGATTGAACTCCTGCAGGTCAGCACAGCAAAGTCTTCAAAGACACCTTTGCTGGTCAAGAGAATACCATCCTGGGGCACCGCAGAATCCACGTGGCGACCTTGAGAAAGCACACAAGGAAAACACAAAGCTCGGAGTACAGCACGGAGTAGCTACGGAGTACGGAGCCTGAAGCACTAGGAACCCGCGCTGATCGTTCCATAGATCAAGCCATCCCCGAGCATCACCTCACCAGCATTCTCAGATATTCTCAGGCTCGGCTGGACTTTCGAAAACATGCACAAGTTGAATTACACCATAGTCACCGGGGTCCACGTTCCAGTGTTTGAGTCAAGGCACCAGGAAAGCTCCCAACGGAGCCAACACCTGGATATAGAACACCAGTTCTTGCTTAAAAGGAAATCTGAGGAGATCTGAGAGGCTGACGGGCTGCAGCGACAGAAGCAGCAAGACGCCCAAAGTGCTGAAGCCTGACACTACCACACTCCCCACCCCATTAAAGCAAAAAGAGGTTGGCAGCTAACCGGGTTACCAGCCAATGCCTACATAGATTGCTGGATGTCGCGGAAGAATTCGGTAGCTGAGCCATCGTCCAGAAAGCCCTGTCGCACGAAGACAATAGCTTAGACCGTAAGTTAGACGGGATGACGGGATAGCTGAGTGGTTGCATGGCGCAGGCCTCCCAACATGTTGGCTGTGTTGTAGAAGGCAAAAAACCTTGCAATGTGGAGCACATGACATGGACCAGGCAGGTGCAGGCAACTGATAAGTCAGGCACGTCTTGGTTGCCATGGCAAAGCTCCCGGTCAACTGCACCACTTCCTGCGCATTCTCTGGGTTTCGCGGGTACGGGTATGGGGCGGCTCATCGGAGCTCCTGGTCATAAATGTACAAAGACAGGCCAGGAGAGAAGCCAGCAAGCGTAAAGGTGTCAACCTCAGCGTGCGCTCAGACGCCGGAGGCCGCCGATGCAGACGTCTTGAACATATGGAGTTTTTCACTTGAAAGTTGAATCCTGAAGGGCTTCTGAATAAAAAATCTTTCGAAAGCTCCCAAAAACCAAGCACAAAGCCCCCGATTTCCATCTCAGGTAAGCACAGCAAAGGCCAGTGGGTAGTGCCAGACACGTGGCAGCCACTTCCTGAGAAAAGCCGCGGGTGCAACGATGGCCGCAATGCAAGTTCGACGTAACGATCAGCAACCTTGGGGCAGTATCTTTTTCTGTGTTTCTTGTGTCGAAGATGGCCTGCAACCCTTGCAGTCTGCCACAATCTCGCTTGCACCACACTGGCCTGGCCCAATGACCACAGCAGCAGGACAGCAAGGATCAGCCAGCAGTTGCCCCTTATGACCCGCAATGATTCTGGAAAGGCACATAAGCCTGCAGCATCGCACGCTTACCACCAGCACCTGCGCTCCTAGATTGCAAGTGCGAGCCTTGCAGATTGCCTGACTCATGCTGAACGCGTGGGATTCGTAGAGCGAAGACTAGCCTCAATGTATGCCGTGTCGCCAAACAAGATGCACATTTTTCTGATTTGATGCACGCCGGACGCTGACAACTGGGTGCCAAGCATTCCCATCAGGTTCAAGGCTGCCACAACGGCGAACACTACCGTTACTGACACCTGGGAAAGCAGATCAGTGCGGCAGCAAAGGCTCGCAGACACGACAACGGTGAGAAAAAGACCCAAGGACAGGTTTCCGCAGCCTGGAGAGGTGGCCCCATGAGGTAAAATCCGCCGATGAGTATGCTGTTGATGCCAAGCGGTATCCCTTAAGGGCTCAAAATGACTCAAAGATGCTCACCGACGCTTTTCGACTCTGTAAGGCTTCTTCCCCCAGTCTGGGGTCGCCGGCCGAGGATGGCGATGCTCTTGGTGCGGTTGCCCAAGGGAGTGAGGCAGGTGAGCAAGTTGGACTCAAAGGATCCAATGGCCTCAAAGCTCATGCTATGCTGGAGGAGATGCAAGCAGATTCCTGAGATGTCCAGAGCATACAAGACACTGCACCACCCAGCGCGTAGGCAAAAACGACCTCAGGGCAACCAGAGTCTGCCGTCCACGGAGTCACGGCCGACGCAGTCGACGAATCCAAGCCGTCTGCCCAGCGGAGGCTGTAGCATTCAAGGGTGAGGATCACAACCGCCATCACCAACCTCAGGCTCGTCGCAGCAATTGTGATTCTTGCCGTCGTAGTTTTCATACTACGTCCTGATCCAAGCAACATGGACAGCATCATGAAGCTCAGAGCAACCTCGCAGCGAGAACGCAAAATGAACGCGACATGCAATGCCGGCCTCCTCATACTTCGTTCCAACCCTGCAGCCGGAGAACCAGCACCCGAACTCGCGGGTGTAGGCTGGAGAATACTACCTGCACAATGTCCAAGCTCCGCTGTTCATGCTGCAATCTCACCCCTCTTGAACCACGTGAACCACCAGCGAGTCCTTTGTGGGTACATGCCTTGTGGCCGATCCGGAAGATGAGGCCAAAAAGGTAAAGGCAGGATCTGATCGGATGTCCAGACTTCAAGTTGCCATCTTCCCAGCTGCGCTTCTGCTACACGAGACTCACGCTTTTGCATTTCGCAAGCAGGCTGAGCATGTCACACGGCTGCACCAAAGCTGTGGGAAGCATCCGAGCTGTCATCTGCGATGCGGAAGCGTGCCTGAACATCTCTCTCTGACCCACAAGTTGCATCCTTGACATTGAGGGGCTTAACGTCTCAGAAACGCCACAGCCTTGACTTCGTGCTGCAGGCCGAAAAGTGCCGCATAGCCGGAGAAGCACGGAAGAACTACCAAGATGGCTTCCCAGTGCACGGACTGGGCCTTGGCCGAGAGTCTGACAATCTCGCAGAATGTCATACAATCTCATAGAGTCATAGAACCTCACAAGAAACAAATAGGGCACAGACTGGTAATGACAGAACAGCTTTCGGACTAGAAACTCCTTTTGGGGGGGGGGGGGTTACTTCAGTGGCTTCGTTGGCTCTTCAAAGGTTTCATCGAAAAAATGTGTAGTACAAGATACTATTAGACGATTAGACCCCAGCCCGACATGGACGACTGTGATCTTGGGGCTGGGCAAGGCTGCTGTCACCAACGCCCATCTGGAAGGCACAGCGCCGCAGAAAGGTGGACAGGACGCGAGGAACAGAGAGAGTGTGAGCCAGCGAGGGAGAGTTGAGAGATACAGTGAGACCGAAAGATGGGAGACAAACAAACGCAACAACAGAGGAATGGAGAACAGTAGTAGGGTCCCATTGCGCCTCCGCATGGGCGTGTTGTAGAAGCCTTTCTTGCAGGCTGCAGGGAACCGCCTCGGCAAGACAATTGCCCAACACCCCATCCACTCGTCAACGGCCCCAAACTTGCTCGACCTGCGTTTTGATCATGAGCCCCAAGAGATTCAAAGGAGCCCCCACACTGTAGGTCCATACAGGCCTAAGGTTTAGGTCTGACCAACAGGATCATCACAGTCCTCAGCCTAAACAGAGAGCCTTGAGTCAAAGTGATACATGAAACTCAACGCCGACCCGAGAAACCTTGAGCCCAATGCCAGTGGCCGAGATTGGAAAAGAATACATAACAAGTGTATATATATATATATGTACATATGTTCAGAATATGTACGTATGGGCATTATACATATATACATATATATGGCTATATTGATGTGCCAGATGGCCTCGGAAGCGTCCTGGCGAAACGGATGCGGACCTCGGCAATCCCAAAATTTCGCTAACGCTGTGAAGCTGTCACCTGAGGCTAAACTTGAAACCCTAAACGAACCCTACGAAACCCCAAACCTCTGAGCCTTAAACTGTTAAACCCCAACCCCTATTGAAAATACTTGCCAAGCCGAGGCGTTGACACTCTGAAGACGGAGTCTCAGACCAGCCTCAGAATTCATGTCTTAGAGAGGCTGTCGCTCTCAGAACCAGGCACAGCCAGGCACAATCAGGGCAGTACATGACTTTGGCGGCTCAGTGCTGGGTGTTGCGTTCGTGGAATTCCACAGGCTGCACCTGCTAGGCAGGAGTTGGCACAAGGGCTCGCAAAGAATGGCAAATGGCAGCAAATGGCAGCACATGGCACCTCTTCTCTGGAGTCACGGCGAAAGGCAGCCCGGGCCCCAGCATTATGTAACGCTGTAACGGACTACACAGTATACCCCGTATGCAGCGTACAACCGGAGATGCACCAGACATGCATTGGCTCACTGGGCGAGTTGCCAAGTGGGCTTCGAGAAACTGCCGGAGTGAACAGTTGTATGATGCTGTGTATCCGCATATACGTTCTACTTGCGTCATCGCGCCATAGCGCTTGGGCAAAATTCACGTGGTTGCAGATACACTCGTTCACAACAGTCAGAGGAGCATTGCCGTCTGAACTCCTGCTCGCATGCCCGCACCAAAGCAATCATCGAATGTGCAGAGTCCTGCTGGCTGGTTTCCTCACCAGCCTCTCTCGGTGTTCCAGCAGGCTCACTGCAAGGCACAAAACCAGAAATGCAGCTAAGCAGCTGCGTCATCCTCCTTCGGTCTCAGCTTCACCTGAGTCAGTCGAGAACTGATGCTCACATGAATTGCGGATACTCCCGTATACCTCGCATGCCCCGTCATGCTCGCATTCATGCCCTGCAACCTCAAAATATCACACATCCCAACCCCGAAACGCAGTTCTTCCATTATTTCGATGCTCAGATATGTTCGCGATGGTTTGCATAAAGCAGCACATCAAGATGACTTTGAGTGTACAGGCTTCAGCAGCAGGAGCCATTTTTTTGAAAAGCGCTACCGGGCCTGAGCAGCACCGGGTCCAAAGAAGTGCATCATCTTCAGCTGACTGCATGCAGAAAAGGCTGCGCAGGAGACTTACAAGAGCTGCATCAGAGCTGCACCGGCGTGGTAGTGCGACACCATGCGACACCAACGCGCCTTCGCCTCCAAGTGGAGTAAAAGCTTGCCAGAATGTAGTCCTCCGTAGGCTGGGGCTCCACATCCTGCAAGAGGCTTTGCATCTGCCTCCAGCACTCGTGCAACTGAAGCAACAGCTTTGGCACCGGGTCCTCTGAAGGTGGGAACGAAAGGCTGACCAGGCCAGGCGTTCTTGCATCTACTACCTGCAGCACAAAGTTGCTGAAGCATCAGGTTCGACCTTCTCTATCACAGAGCTGATCCCGTCGCTCCAGCCTTTCCCAATGCCTCTTCACAGTAGGGCTGCAGCAATGCTGCCATTGTTGACCTCACACCGGGCATACTCAGCGCACTGAGTCTCACCCCTTTTGATTCGACAGTGTGTTGGGCTGCTGGCACAAACTCATCGCTTTCCTTCAGAATCTTGTCCTGACATGGGACATGGAAACATTCACAGCTGTGAGCCTTGTCGATGGCCCTTCGTCGGTACATGCCCTGCAGAAAAGGCAATGTTGTCAACGTTTGTTTTCTGCCGAAGCTGTCTGCGGCTGCACGTGACCCACAGCTTCTTGGACCTTGGAAAGCTTGAAGGCGCCGACACCCAGAAATCAGTGAAACAACATTGTGCAACCGATGCCAATGCCGCTGGCTCGCAGATTTCTGCAGCCCCCCAAGGTAGCAGCTTTCACAGGGACCCATGCATCCAGCGCTGCGTACTGCATCCGCGCCTTCAGAATTAGGCAGAGACTCGGGCATACAAGTGTAGGTCACAGACTGGTCACGGCATGTCATGGCCACGGATCGCCTGCGACAGGGGCCGATGGGTCCAATCCCCCACCTCGACATGGGCGATGCCACATGCAGGAGTACTGCAGGAGTGCTTAAGGAATCTTCAAGAGTGAATAATCCGAGAGGGACTTGAATTCACTTGAGGCCTGGAAAGCTTTGTCCAGCGGCTTCCCCAGATACTTCTCTGCCTCACCAGGATGTCTTAACACATTCTTAACACATCTCGTCTCGCAAGTGAGAGCCGAGGCATCTGAGGCTCATGCAAGGGAAGAGAGGCTGGTCCCCTCTCGGGCCCTCTTCTTTCCAAGGCCAGACCTTCACTTAAATGGCTCAGAATTGGGGGGTAACACTCTTTACATTAAATGATATAAAAAGAAGCAAAAGAGAGAGCTGCCAACTTCACTTCAACTCGGCCAAAGACTCCAGGGAGCGGAGGTTCGCCTGCCAAAAGCTTCCCCCAGCTTTCTCAATTTAGCCCGCCCCAAAAAATAGACTCCCTTTTCACTGCAGAATGAAAAAAATAGGAAAAATGTGCGCCAGGTGTTTCTTTTTTATGCCGCCGGCCTCGATGTCCCTCAAGTCACTCAACTGGGCTGTGCAGGCTGCAGGCGCCAGGGATGGGAAGCTCTTCGAAAGCTTGCCTTCGACAGGGTGGAGAAGAGTGGGGCATGCTCGCAGCGCGCACACTTTCAGCTGACTGGCCTATGTCTTCCGCAACTCCAAAGCCGACTTTTTGCGAAGGGCTGGAGAAGACATCCTCGCAGCAAAGAGCAGTTTAAGACTTTGCAGCTTCGCAATGCAACTTTGCAAAGGCATCGATCAAGGGATCGGCATCCTGCTCCAAGCCCCCAAGGTGATGGTGCGAATCGGTCGGGAGGCGATGTTGGACTTACGCCACCAATAGTGGTGGTACGTGTCATAGCGATGAGAAGAAGAGTACATGGTCGTAACGTCGCTCCACGATTGACCAAGATTGGTTGCACTTTGTATTGTCACAGCCGTAGCTTTTGAAAGGACAATCCGCCCACCACGGCGAACGGAAGACACAGAAGACAACAAACTGCGAATCACCGAAAGCAAGGAAAAAGAAGAAAGCCGAGAAGCTGTCACGTCCCACGGCCCCAAAAACACGTTGGAGACGCCTCCAAGCCAAAAAGCCAAAGTAGACAAGAGGTCACCAAGCCAAACCCACGGATTCGGGACCAGGGCGGACCGGTGGGCCTTAGGCGCTTAAAGGGGTGGCAATTCAGAAATAGAATTTTATGGCCAGCGGCTCACGAAGCGGGTTCAAGACACAATCATCGTAAACACTCCCTTGTGCTGTCGTCTCTCTCTTGTTCCAGTGACCGTGTAGAAACAGTGTTTGTTGCACCTGCAAACGCTAGCAGCTTCTAACGTCGTCCTGCATTGCAGCCGTGAAAGTCGGCCAGCTGCCAACGACCAGAAGATCCACCTGGGTCGAAACAGATACACTGTGATACGCTTTACCCGCGCACTGCTCTTGCAGAATCGTGTCAGAGGGCCAGCAAAACATTCGTGAACGTGTGATTCGACGATGCGAAAACAAACTGAGTAATAGAACATTTCCAACAAAAGCGAGCGTCCCTCTCGGATCAGCCTACTCTAGGTCTCTAGGTGGACTCACGGAACATTCTGCAGCTTGCATGCTCAGAAAGCCCCCCCCCCAAAAGAAAAAACAATAAACAAACAACAGTGGAGAAAAAAAAACACACAACACAAATAAATAAGCTCACATTCGCGGCCTCTAAGACGCATGACGCATGAGCCTTCTTGATCCCATGCACGTCGAGGTTGCGCAAAAGTTTTGTTGTGACGACGACAACCATGGCTCAGAGGGCAGCACTTTGAGCTGGCACGGACCTGACCTCTGATGAAGGTTCAGTAGTATATGTTGGGTTGTAAGCCTCGTCAAGGTGGACGCGGCCAAGAGCATTGGTAAATCTGAAACCCCATTCGGGGGAGGAGTCCGCCGATCACAACGAGGATTGAACCTTCTCTCTGTACCCAGTACATACTGCAAGACGACAGCAGGACGCGACGACTGATAAGACTGAGGTGACTTCTGCGCTGGAGCCATGTCTTGATGCTTTGCGCTCCCTCTGGATGCAGGCACGCTAAGATGGGTCTGCGGCAACTGCGCCATTCTGATAGAGAGGAAAGAGGACATGAGCTTGCGGCTTGCTATGGCTTGCTGGTTCATCTACTTCGAAAGATGCAATGTCGGATTGATGAGCCTTCTGCGGCGACGCTACTTGACGACCCTGACGCGGTGGGAGAAACTTGGCTTGTCGGCCCATGTGGGTGCAGCCCCACTGTCAGCGTCATGCTCGCCATCCGGGCCATCCGCTGTCGTAGTGGATCAGACAGCAGCAAAGAGCACAAGGAGGCAACAAGGAAGCTTCCAAGCCCCAGCCGGTTGTACTACTGCATGCATTGCGGGCTGTTGGGTCTTAGCCGGCCTACTTGTACATCCTTGAGCCCGCTTCGATAACTCCGGAAGCAGCTGCCGCTTCTTGTACCACTGGACCAGACGAGTGGCCAGGAAGACTTGCCGGACATTGGCAAGCTGAAGAAGGACGGGCCTTAACGGCAGGTCATGCGTTGCATTCAGCATTGGCCTGTGTGCACCAGAAACAGCTCGCCAACGCATGAAAGAATTGAAGGATTCACACAAGGCACAGGCGCGCCCGTGGCCATGCTGCACTCCTGCACACGCGCACGAGAGAGACAAGGCTAAGGCGAGGTCAAGATAAGCTAGCGAGTGAAGCATGCTGACACAATGCTAAACCTGCTTCACAACACTGAGTGTCCAGGTCTATGCCGATGACATTTGCAGCCAGGAGAGCGACGCGCATGGCCTCGATAGTTGCCTCGACCGGCTGTGCCCGAACAGAAGTGCTTTCTGGTGAGTCTAGCATGCTCCCGCAGCATGCACAGGCCGCAACGCAGCCTCTGCGGAGACGACTTGAATGTCAACATCAGCAGGAAGGCAGAGGTACGCCTCTGGCAAACGGAGCATGTTTCGCGCGCCTTTGTGCGTGCGTTGCTTGCTTGGGCTGATCTCGGCAAAGCCGGCCTCTCCTTCCCTCTCTGCGCTCTGCCGGACTGTCTCCGGAATGTTGATCCCCCAGGTGTCTGCTAGGTCAACTGCCAGCTTCACCTCGGCTCAGGAAACCAGAGTTCGATGGAGTTCTACAGTAAAAGGTGTGCAGGTTGTTGCAAGCCGACCTCGCCACATTCTAGCAGCCCGTCGACGCACCTGCTGTGCAGCCGGTCATCCTGACAACAGACACGATTTAGCCGCTGCAAGAGCATCTTTCATTTACAATTACTTACAATTCTTTAGACAGCCCACAACATCCCGCAACTCAAAGCTGCCTCAACAGAAAGCCCGACCATCGCCTCGCGCCGGCCTCAATGCTTGCACGCTGTTTCGTTGGGCTTTTGTGTCAGCAGTTCAAGCAGAAGGGATTAGTGTAAGCATGCATAGAGAGTCAATAGAGTCTTACCTACACAGAGGAGGAGGGAAAGTGGCTCGGCCTTTCTTGATGGCGGCCTCCAATGCCTCGGCAAGTGAGGACAAAGTGACCAACGATTGCCACAGTGTCCGCATGGGCCCGTTGGGTTCTTTGGCCTCCTGGCGCCACAGATACTCTGCATCTGGGAATTGGTCCTTCAGGTCCAAGGCCTGCGGATTTGCGGAGATTTTGCGGATACCCAGAGCACTCGCGCGACTCACATGGCACTCGCCACCTCGACGGCCTTTGCAGCTGCTTTCAAGCGGCCTTGCTCCTGCTCAAGGAGAGAAGGCTCCGACTTGCACTTCCAGACTCTACCAACAGACCCCGAACTATCAGCAAGCAACGAAGGAACTGCTGCGAAAGAAGCGACACACGCTAAAACAAAGCGCATGAACGCTCGTGCTCCCTGACATAATCCGCTGAGGCCAGAGACCTGAGGCATTTAAATCCATGTGGAGGGAACCTTAGATAGGTTGCCCACCTAACCCCATCCCCTTACCCCCGGTCCCCCTCCTGCATCCCCCCCCCGCTCTCCACCTCGCCTCCCCCCTCCTAACCCACCAACCCCCCTCTTTTGAACACAACAGCATCCTGAACCCTTAATTCGCCTCGGTGCCCTTGCGAGGCGGCTTCGCGTTAGCGGTTAAATTACATTCAGCAAGAAGAAAAGAACTCAGTCATGACTTTTGTCCAGCCCTCCATTTGCAGCTGCTAAGCTCCAGCCCTGCCTGACGAAACTGCACCAGGAAGCGATGGACGTCGGAATCCAGGCCTGAGGGGACCAAGTCAGTCACAAGAGCGCGTTGCAACAGGGAGTGTCAGGCGAACCTTTGGCCATTTGAAGAACCGCTTCATCACGGCTGCCATCATCAGCCGCCGTGATGACTGACGCACAAGCCTAACGAGAGTGACACAGATTGCTCGCGTGGGTATCCTGGCACGTCAGGCCTCGCCTCGTTCGTCAGCAAGCCTGCTCAGAGATCAAGCAAAGGAGCACGAAACAGCGTAAACAGTGCATCTGCAATATCTTTGAGTATGGCAGACGCTGTGTGCATCTCCGAGCCACTCTGAGAATTGGCTTCGTGTCTCTGCACTACTCTGAGCATGGGGTTCTGGGCATTTCTGGGCTACTTCGAGTATGGTGTTCTGTGCATCTCTGCATGTCACTGAGCAACTTTGAGTACGATGATACGAGGTTTGTGCATCACTGACGTACTGGGAGTATGAGGTTCGTGCATCTCTCACTTTTCACTTTGAGAACGAGGTTCATCTCAGTAAGCCTGGCACCGAGCCGAGGGTGACAGCAGCCAGGGCCTCTGTGCATGCTAGAACCTAGAACCTAGAACCTTCAATACCTTCAGACGTCGGACATCCGATTCGATCCGCAGATCAAAGTGCCATATTTACTGTGCAAGGTCTGTGTCATCGGAAGTCCTTGGATCCTCACCCATGCACCTGGCAGCGCCGAATCCCTCAGCACAGCCCCAGCGATGGCTGCATGGGCCTGAGCTGCAGGAACGCAAACCGATCGTGAGCTATGTCTGGTGTAGAATGCACCGCTCGGGAGAGAAAGTCTTTGCGGCCTCCTGGCTGAGCAGCTCGGCCCGAATCGTCCAAGCCTCACCCCATATTCCAAAACTTTCCTAGAAGATTCAATTAATTGAATACGAGTCGGAGTACTCAAGAGCCTCACCTGCTGCACGATCGATTTCCCATTGAGCTGCTTGCATTCATCACTCGGGTCAAGAGCTTCAGACCGCCCATGGAGGAGCTGAGGTCGCCTCCGAGATGCAGTGCAGAACGATGGGCAGAATACTTCGGAGACTTCGAACTCCGAACACTTGGCCTCGGCCTTCGGCCGAAGGGCGTCTAGAACTGACATAAGCAGACCAAGATCTGCATCCACCCCGCCCTCCCGCCCTCCCCGCTTTCCTGTGGGAGCTGCCAAATCTTGCACAGCATGCTGACCACAAGCCTGTACGAAGATCCAGGCATTCACGGGTCCTCAAGCAAGCCCAAACGTCCCCCTGGTCGCTTTTCGAATTTTCGCATCGGCAGCCCGATCGCGGACTGGAAACTCCGAATTGCACTACTTGGATCAACGACGTGCATGTGCCGTGGCTTGGGCCGTCCCGGCTGGCGAGGCGGCGCGTGCAAGGGCTTACAACTTTCGATGAACTCGCAAACCGGCCAAACCTCCAGACGGAGCAGCTGCAAGCTTCACCAGCGACCTAAGCTGCGTCTCAAGATGTCCTAAACCTGCACGTGCAATCTGTTGAAACCCAGTGTCTGGGAGACCGGCGCCTGCACGCCTGGTGACAAGGTCTCAGTGGCTCCTGGCAGTGCCAGTAGGCATTAGTCGGAGTCAGAGATTCAGAGGTGGAAAACTTGATGCGAAGGGAGGTTGCTGCTACCAGTAACCCCAAAACGACACCCCACACACGCATACACCAACATTTATAAGGAACCCCATACACAAGCCAAAATAGCAACCCTGGTTCATGTAGTTTCGCGAGCTGCAATAGAGGCCTCGACCTAGATCTGCCAACAGCGCAGCTGCTTGCGGTCTCCATGGCTCGACCTTTCGAGCAACTTTGACTCACACGAGAATTCTGCCCTCCCCTATCTGCACCGCATGCATCTCTTTTCTATTGCGCTCACAACCGAGCCATGCCCTTGCACGAGCATCAAGTTGCATATCGAATTTGGGTAACCTTTTAGCTCACCCAGGGAATCACGGCTGGACAATGCCATTCACCTTTGAGGCCTTGCGACCCTATCACACAATATGAATCACATGCACTGCTCGCCGCTGCTGAAGGGCCCGCTCGGCCCGACCCAGGGGATGCAGGAAGCGACGTGCATCCATGCGGAGTGTCCGAGGTCGGCAAGTGTATCGGAAGTATCGATTCCGACATATTCCGACACACAAACAAACACGAACAAACCGTCAGGTCAAAAGGGACAGCACTTCTTGGCTGACCTCGCCGGCTTGGCCGGCTCGGCCGGCTTGGCCGGCTCGGCCGGCTTGGCCGGCTTGGCCGGCTCAGCCGGCTTTGCCGGAGCCTGGCTTGGCCCCGCGACCGTTTCTGTCTTGCCTGCCTCCTGTAACCGTGCGGTTTCAACAGTCGGGCTGGGCATCTCAGGGGTCACTTGACCGGCCTGACACGTAAGACAATTCAGCGATATGGGGTCAACAACAAGACATGAACCTAGCGTGTCGCTTTATGGTGCGCTCTCCTTTGCGAGGTTTCCATAGAAGCCCTTGCCTGGTAACCACATGGAATGGAACCCTTTTCCTGGACAGAAACAACGATGAGGAACAGCACGACAAAGAAACAAACAAGCTAAAGGGAGATCCCGACAGGTTCATGCCACCAAAGCCCTGCATACACGACGCGCCACGGTTCCTGCAACCGCTTCGCAGTCAAACTACACCAATCAGGTACAGAAGCCGTGACAGCACGGTCTGAGATATCATTGGCTTAGGAAACCAGCACCTCAACCTGGGGATTCCGGGGCGTTCGTGCAACATCGGTGGTAGCCCTTGGCTGCATAGATTGAAGACATCCCGACCCTCTTTCTTCTTTGAGGAGCAGGGAGCGGCGAAGGGGAGGATTGAGGTTGGGAAATTGAAGGTTGGATCTCCCAATTTCAGGAGCAGGGCTCCAAATTAAGTCAAGGGGCCAGATCTGGGGGGGGGGGGGGGGCAAATTGAGAAATCGAGAGCTAGATGGGGCTGAGTTTCCTGTTTGAGGGTGCTGGAGGCGGGAGGTCAGGTGAGGCATCGACCTCAGAATCTCCCAGCCGGCAGCTCGAATCCCCCGACAAGAAAGTGAGGGAATAGATCTCTTGATCTTGAGAGATGAAGGCCGGACTCTCGAAATTGAAAAATTGGTTTTCTAAAACTCAAGAAGCTGTGGGGCTGGAGTTCTTAATTTCAAGGTGTGGGTGAAAAATCACCAGGCGCTGGCTTTTCAACTGAAGTGGGTTAAGATATCGAGGTACCAAACAGGCTGGGACGCGCTTGCTTGAAAACATAAGGCGGGCTCCGTAATTGGGACATGGAGGGTGCCCTCGCCGAACACTAGACGTTTCTGATTCAACGCTGTCGTGCATCTCTGCTTGAGAGCCTCTTCTGGGCCCTCCTCCAGGATCGTCTCCCTTAGTTGTGACTTCTGGAGTTGTTTCTGGTCCCATGGCATGCTCCCAAGTTAGCAGTGCCAAGCTCAGTGCAAGCTGGCATTTGTCTTGAACGACACTGCCTCGTCCAGCCTTTGACACAGGGTATCGTACTTATTATCAACACTGTCAGTAGACATTCTACATGCCCAGAGCCTCAGCTCGTCTTCAAGATCAGCGCTTGCAGCGCAGCAGTTCAACGAGAAGGAATCTGGCACACAAACACATTGAATCAACTCATAAGACAAGGTCAGTTCGAAATCTGAAATCTCGGACCTTCAGTGGCAATTTCAGTTCCCAGGACCAGCTCAGCCTCATGCGCAGCCATGCATGTTTCTTGACAAGCACATTGACAAGCATGCTCTCAAAACTCGCGGGGCCACATGTGCTTGTGCAGTTTCATGCCGCATGCCACACATGTCACATGCTTGTTCTGCGCTTTCTCGCCTTGATGAAGGGGCCGCCCAGCATCCTCGTCGGATCCTTTCATCTGTTCGCTGCGAAGTGCGAACTGCAATTCGGCAAACAAATGATCTGCGGGGGCACTGCTAGGAGAGAAGCCACGGGGCAAGAATCGACGCAGAGGCGGGAGGAAATCGAAAGCATGTGCTGGGGCCAACGCCAAGTCCAGGCGCACGACCTAACAGAAAAAACAAACGAACCACAAAAGCAACATGTGTGTGTTGACTGTGTGTTGACTTTGTCTGTGTGTGTGTGTGTGTGCGTGTGTGTGTGTGTGTGTGCATGTGTGCAGTTGTGTGCGTATATATATATATAAATATGTATACACGGAAAGTATGTGATGATGTTGATGATGGCGCGGAAGGGATGTCGTTATGTTTGAGCTGCACGTAGCAAAAGCAACCACTTTGAGAATCGACTGCGCCACACGCATGGACGCATGAAGTGATGAGAAACATAGGGGCCTGTTCCGGCCACCCACGTGCAACAAGACACCAAAGCGAGCTGAAAACACGTTGTAGCGGCTAATTTCAGGCGCACGCGGTCGCTTCGAACCGCACAAAGCGCGCGCAAAATAAACGGAGAGGAAGTGGTGGCACATGCACGTATGCATTGCCTGCATGAGTATTTATATATATATATACTACAAACAAATATTATATGTTCTTATGTCGTTTGCGTGGATGTTGATCTCTTTGTACCTGCTCAAAACAAAGCAAGTAACAAGCCGAAGAAGAGTTGGGGTCCCGATGGCGTGAGCGGGACAAGGGCTTTGGGGCCCTTTGGGGCTCCGGACTCCGCAGTTGGGCAGCTTGGACTTGCTGAGCAGTTGGCCAGTCTCTGATCTCCTACAATCGGAAGAGTCATTCCCTGATCGCTTAACACCGTCAGAGACATGCGCTGCTGCGTTTTTTGAATTCTGGGAGGCTGCATGTAGCTGCCAACGCGCCTGACGTCCTCCGACATGAATTCGCGCATCAGCTGCTGGAAAAAAAGCGAATGCCCGAAAACGACCAGACACTCCTGAGACCTCGCAGGCTCGAGGCCTAGTCCCAAGCACAGCTCACCATAATCACAACACATCCGATGAAGCAAGCGCCCCACGAGAAGAGAAGCTGGTACATAAACTCCTGCATGCGGGCCTGTGTTACAGTGTTTTCAAGCACCAGCCACCAGCCGCCTGCCACCTCGATTGTAGCTCGTGATCTTACAAGGTCTTCCGTGGCGCCTTCATCTGCGCCGTGGACTCCGCTTGGCCTTCTGGCCACCATCTCTCCTGAACCTGCTCAAGATCCCGGTGAGGACCCTACATGCCCCTTCCGTGCGCGCGGTCCTCCTCCAAGTCGAACCGCAGTTGCCGGAAAGAGTTGATAATGAAGGTGTCCTGCACCATCGGCACACTGACCAGTCTGGCTAAAAGAATGAGAGAAGACAGGGGCAGCCAAGAGGCCCGACTGATCCAAACAGCTCTCCCCAACATCTGCCGGTTGCCTTCTCAAGGTCCGAGTAGAGACTTTTGAGCCTCGACTCACAAAGCGACAATGGAGTGAACCAGAAGCAAATAAACGATGCTGTAGAGCCCACTGGCACCCCACAGTGTCAGTGCAGAGTGTATCACTCAATGTGCTTGTGTTGGCATTTGCTTTGTAGCATTGTAGATGGCCAGGCGCCAAGTCCCCTGATGGCAAGACTGGCACCACTGCATGTTTGTGAAACCCAGCCTGGCGACCACTGTCCTTTAGAGCTTTCATGAGCTTCCAAAATCCCTCAGTGCCTTTGAGGCACAGGCTCTTCTTGACTTGACTGAAGGATCTCCTCCGGATCTCTAAGGGAAGGTAGCCCTTCGCATGGATCGGCTGTCTGGCCAGAGCCTCTCCCAGCTTGGTGCAGACCGTGTCCAAGCCACCGAAGTTCTGCTTCTCCTGTTTACAAGCCGCAGGCTTGCATCTGGCTGTCGAAAAAGCGGTGAGCTCAGCTACAGATGTCGGACTCTGTCGCGGCACTGTCGCATCCTTGCAGTTTGGAACCAGCACCATCCTGTGCCGCCCCGATCCCGCAGCAACCCATCCCACAGCCACAATCCGAACTTTGTTCATGCTCTGGGCTCGGAGCTCGTTCTCGTGCGCGTCTGCCTACATGGACAGTTCGGTCTTGAGCAGGGGAACATGGAAGGCATGCACGGCCAACCTTGTCAAGAAGTGGGCCGTACGTGATGACCGCAGTTTGCAGCGCTCGGCCGAGAGGTGAGGCCTTGACGTCGATGGCACGTGAGTTTTCTGCAGAGTTGCGAAACTGACCACACTGATTCAGGTCGTTGCCAAAATCAGCCCAGGCTTCAGCATTGGAGCCACACTGGGGCTGGCTTTGCCAGAGCGAGCCTGCACCCGCCGGGCGGTGGGCGGAGGAGAAGGAGAAGGGGGGGGAGGGACGGGAGCCGAAGAGGGGAAAAAGGGCGAAGGGAAGGGGAAAGGGGGGACGGGCTCTCCCTCTCTGTCTATTTCCCTCCCCTGAGCTCGTCCTTGTCGAACTCAATCTGCAAGAGATGTCTTAGTGCCTCCGCCTGGCAACTGCTCTCTGAAGTGTGTCACTACTCACAGAGCTGCGAAGCATTGTGAAAGCATGCAGGCAATGCTGATGACAACATTGCAGCAACATCATGCAAACTATTCGATGATGAAGATGATCCCTCGAGGTTCGTTCAGGTCTGAATCGGAAGCATCACAATTGACGAGCTGGATAAACCGCTCGGCCAAGCCATGAATAAATTTACCATTGCTAGACAAACATTGCTGGCGGCTGCAACATGCTGCAACACACAAGGTCCACGAACCCACATCAAAGCCACCGCAGAAGCCAACAGCGAAGCAAACTCGGAACAGAACAGCAACACACGGCATCTTTCTTTACCAATGAGACATGCGAAAAACGCCTGAGAGAAAGCTGCGGGTGAAGAAAGCTGGGCAGGGCGAGGCCTGGTCGCGGCCCTTGGCCGAGAGCGGATGGTCTGTGGTGCGAACCATCCCGTGCAAGTTTAGGCTGCTCTGCGCCTGAAGCATATGCTTGCTTCATTCTACTGCTCACATTGCTTGGGGCTTCGTGGGTTCATCATTTCAAGCTCCATAGTTGGCTCCATCCTCTTAGTCTCAACATCCGGTCCACACGGGCCTTGTTCCACTCACTTTCGCCATGTCGAACCAGATACCTGCACCCGGCCAATATTGGGCAGGGACGCTGAAGAAAAACCACAGATGAACATCGCAATCTGTGCAGTCTGAGGTGAGGACACCGTCCTGGGTCTCAGAACTGCCTCACAATCACCAGTGGGAGAACGTTACTTGTACCGGCCCATACCAGTCCGGAGTGTCCAAGGACTCTCACGGCAAGGTCTTGGAGCGTGGCTTGGCAGTCGAGAATCTGAAAGGACACGGAGGATTTCGGCACTCCTGGTGCTTGCCGCCGCTTCTGAAGAGAAATTTGACTCGTGGTTCAGTCAGTCAGTCAGTCTGTGTCAGCTTCCATGGCCTGGCTGCACATCGGCAGCAAGACTTATTCTTTGGTGCACTTGCAAGTCCTGGGAAGGACAGGTCTACAAGCAGATAGCACAAGGTATATGATCTGCGCCTTCATGTCCGTCTGGGCAGAAGCCAGTACAGTGCTCCCATCGCGAACCCTCAGGTTCTCGTCGCTTGTGCCAACAGCATTGATGCTACTAATATGTTCGTCGAAAAGGTTTCTGCGGCACAGAGAGTTGAGAGCGAGCGAGCGGCTCTATCCGCAATGTCGCCGATGATGCGGCAGCCTCAATGGAAAATCACAGCGACCTACCCCGGACCCGGCCGTGCACTGACCCGTACAGCTTGAGACGACGACCAATCGGAAGCCTAGCTTTCGAGCAGAGAACCTCGGATACTTTCCGGCAAAAAACAAGAAGCATATGCATTCGACTGCGCACCCTCATGAACCGTCTTAGACATCTGCCATGTCGGCTGGCTGCTTGCTCGGGCAGGCCACTGGGCAACCTGACAGAAACATGCGCAGATCGCAGCAAAACTGATACACGTTTCCCAGCACTTGCCTCTCCCAGGATCTTGCCACCCCTCTCGGCCCATACCCGAACAAAGGGCCAGCGACTGGATGCCTGGGTCTCCCCAAGCGTTACTTCATGTGTGAGTCTAGAGTAGTAGATCCTAAGGCCGAAGCAGGAACACAGCCAGGGGCCGGGTCCTTGATGCCACCGGCGCTTACCACCTCCGAGGACTGTTCTTCTTCAGCTTCTTGTCAAGCTCATGTTAGCAACATCAGCGATGGGCTCTCAGGGCTGGGAGGGAACTGTGGATTCATAACATGTACAGCCCATTGATGACGATTCTGCGTACCCCACCCGCGACGGCTGAGGCACGAATCAGAAAACGTGAGTCGGAAAGCACGGAGCGGCGAATCGGACGACACCCTGCGCTGAGTCGGAAAATGTCAGGTACGAATAGGAAACTGTGCTGGGCTGAGTCGCAAAACGGGGGCGGTTGAATCAGAAAAGGAAAGCTCAAAAGTTTGATCCTTAGGTCGCGCCGGCAAAACACGGAAAGCTTGAATTCAGCTTTGCGGAAGCTCGAAACAGACCCTCCCTTAAAGCCTATTCTGCGCCGCAGCAGCCATGCGCCATGCCTTGTCTAAAAGAGAACATGGTTTGAATGTTTGGTCATTTGGTCGTGCCGGAAAGCAGAAAACACGGAAAGATCCCAATCAGCACCGCGGAAGCTCGAAACGGACCCTTCCTCAAAGCCCATTCTGCGCCGCAGATTTCACGCCTTGTCTGAATGAGAAAACTAGAAAGTTTGGTCATTCGGTCGCGTCGGAAAGACTAAATCATAAGACACGAAAGCTTGAAATCAGCGCAGCGGAAGCTCGGCAGCAGCCACGCCTTGTCAAAAAAAAACTGCAAAGTTTGGTCATTAAGTCACGCCCGAAAGACTGAAGCAGAAAACACGGAAAGCTCCAAATCAGCACCGCGGAAGCTCGAAACGGACCCTTAACCCGAACACCCAAAACCCTTAAAAATCCTAAAATTTAAATGCCCTAAACCCTAACAAAACCCCAAACCTGAACCCTAAACCCTCAAAACGCCTAAGCCCTAAACCATAAAAACCCCTGAGCCCTAAACCCTCAAAACCCAAACCCAAAATCCCCTAAACCCTAAACACCCCTGAGCCAACAACCCCCTAACAACCCTTGAACCCTAAACCCAACCCTAAACCCTAAAACCCCTAACGTCGAAACCCAAAACCCCGAAACCTTAGAAACCCCTGAGCCCCAAACCCTGAAAACCCCTAAACCCTAACCCCCAAAAGCCTAAACCCTCCAAACCCCTAAGCCCTAAACCATAAAAGCCCCTAAACCCTAAACCCTAAAGACCCCAAAACCCTAAACCCTAAATCCTAAAAAAAAAAAAAAAACACACCCTAAACCCGAAAAAAACCTAAACCCCAAGCCCTAAAAACCCCAAAGCACTATCCCCAAAAACCATCTACATAAGAATATAGATCGATGTGGCATAGGGGTCTATGGTTTTCCGGCTAGAGGCTATTCAAAGGGTAGTGGGGGCCTACGGTTTCGTGGGACGCTTCGTCGTACAAGCTTCAGAGTTTTCACGGTTTCAGCAAATCAGATCTACGACTGCGAACATAGTTTTCGAAGCACCTAGCACGCGTCATGTTGGAGCCTCGCGTTTTCATGTTCAGCCCTGACCTCTGTCAGGTTGGATCCATCCGGTTTTTCGAACACAGCCTAGCGTTTTCCGATTGGAGCCGGACCGTTTTCGGCTCCACGTTGGGCCGATTCCGGCCGCCGTTTTCGGATTCACGCTTCACTCACCCGCCAACCCCCCCTCCCCCAAAAAAGAAACGACAAAAACATCTTGTGCACTGGGCAGCACAGACTTCACATCACAACTCCATCAGTAGAAGATACGGGAACATGCGAGATGTAGAGTTAAGACGGTCAAGATAGTCTTGGACATCTGGCACAGGTCATGAGAGGCACGGACATAATACAGAAATCATGGAAACTACATTCAGACATCGTAGACAGCCGGCTGTTGCGTATGTGCGGCCTGAAATGATTACACCGACCATCTGTTACAAGCCCTTGTTGAACCAGGGCGTGCTAGAAAGCCAGTGCCTCTGGCTCGCAGTCTTATACTCGAATACACATGGATACACATCGGGATAATAGCACACGCAGGTAGAACGTCCCAGCTCAAAGCCTGTTCCAGGAAGAATGCGCATTCTTCAGGTCCAGAATCGTAGTCCTGGACCTTTGCCACTTGCCGAGTCGCGTAGCTCTCAATGCAATGAAGGATTTCCCGGCAAACATGCCATGAGGCCCGGACCTTTGCTTTTCCTGGAACGGATGGAAACGTCCTCGCCTGGCAAAACCGCAGCATCTCCGGAGTTACAGCACAGCGCAAGTGAGCGAACATGAGCGAACTTCGTATCGTTTGCACACGATGCAGGAAGCCTTGGACAAGCAGGCCAAAGAAGCGGCACCACCCTTCAATGGGAAAGGATGGGAAAGGCTAAAGCAAATAAGGCTCTTTCAGCACACTGACTGTTTCAGTATAAGCAGCAGCGTTTGCGAAACACAGCTGCTCAGGCGCAACTACGTCGAACCATCCAAGCAAACGAGCCGCGACGTCCTTCCTGGTAGCTAACCCTACCGTATGACCCCCATGGATGATAGTGCCTCCGGCACAAGCCCGTCAATCCCGTCATTCCGCAGGTCCACGCTGTGGCACTGGCCCATGGCCTTTCGCAGCTGCGCGGATGGCAACAAAAGAAGAACACGGAAATCCACCAACGCAAGGCCATGAAGGCCTAAAGGTGTCGTCCACGACGTGGACGATGGGCATGCACGCTGCAAAAGGACTGGACTACTTGTGGAGTGATGACTGGAGGCTGCAAGGCTTTCAGGTCGAGTAGAGTGCTCTTGCTCTTGTTTGCAGAGGCACTACTTGAGATGTGGCTATGTCGGCTTTATGTCAGAATGTGCACAAGCTGGTTGAGATTGAACGGCCCAACGTCCGGCCGCGTAGCCAGTGATACCACGTTGCATCAAATTGCGACATCGAAGGTCTTCACGAGTGGTGGTCTTCAGCACTCAGGTCGGTGCCGGGGGTATCGTTGGAAGCGTGACCAGCTTCACCAGGCAGCGCAATGCAAACCTGGCTCATCCGGCCCCCCTCCCTACAGACCAAAGCAAGGGCCTGAACTATCTGAATGCATGTCTGAAGTGTATGGATACGGTGATTCTAAGACACCGCTGGCGGCACTCTCCAATGGCCGATGCAGATTTCGCCTTGGGCACAGCAAAATACAGTTCAACAAGTTGATTGGCAGCTCGCCTTATATCCATATACAGCAAAAGGCCCTGCAAGCCCAATCCACACAACTGAGCCTCGTGCTTTTGCACTGTCCAAGGTAGCGCGTGCCTGAAATATGCTGCTGGCACTTGAATTTGCCACTGGAACGAGAATGCCTGGAAGCCTTGCCCAAGTTTACCTGCAAATCGCCTTCAAAATCCGGTCAACTCATATGTTAGACATTGACATTTGCAACTGCCGGCCCAAGGAAGCCATGACCAGGGAGACTGCCAAGAGGAGACTGGGCGCAGAGACCGCCATACACATGCTCCTTGCTCCCTTTTCTGTATTTCACCCATGCACGAGATCGTACACACAGCATGCTCCCTGCATTGGTCTCTGCGTGCAACAAGCGGTTTGCTCAAAATATGCTGTGAATGATTGATCCTACGGCCCCTGGGATTCTACAGACCATGCGCGCGCCACTCTCAAGCACATGAACGATTTGTGGGGATGGAAAAGCAACGCGCGCGGACATGAGGACAACTATGCATGGGAGATATGTTCAGCTTGCAAGCAACCCGAAGACCTAGCCCGGCACGGGCCCCCAAAACATACGGAAACTCGAAAAGCCCTCCGAACTAGAGACCGAAACCTTTACACCTGAAGCCCAGTCGACTGTCAGCGACTTAGTGAAGTCAGCAGCTCCTAGTTTATGTGGCTATGCCATGTCATGCGATCAGTCCCAGGAGTCCCAGGCACTCGCAATTTGTCAACACCTGTCTCAACTTGCAACCCCCAGCGCATGTTCGGCAGCATTGTCATGCTTAATCGTGAGACGAGTTGCACATTGAAACCCGTTGGACAGCGCCATGTGTACTTCCTCAAGGAATCCTTCCTGGTGTTTGGGCACGTGTTGCTGCAATCAAGGCTGGCCTTCACTGCAAAAAAAACCACGAGTTGCAGAATCGAAATTGTGCTGAAGCATGCTGAAGCGCCACCTCATCATCTCCGTCGCATGCCTTCAGGCACTCCATGCATGAAGCGTCCCCCGTGTCAATTATCAACAACAGCTTCAACAGTGTACACGGACAGTACTCCACTGACTCATGTGACTCATCTTGACCGATAGAGCACAGCTTTAATGCCATTCTGACAAGCCGCATGCAGGAGCTTCTCCGCTGCAGTTCCAGGCAGCTCCATAGGCTTGGCTTCACTGACATATTCCGCAACAATCGCGAATGCCCTGTCCGAATGACTTGCAAAGGCTGCGTAAGGAAGATACTTGCAAGAATCTCGAAGCGCTCTCTGTCAGCTTGGGGAGCAGGAGCAACTCGAGATCGTACGAAAGCTAGGCGACTCGCTTGTTGACTTAGCGTGTATGTGGGGCTTGGGGTTGAAGGTTGCCGGAGGAGCAACTTGGCGGTCCAAAACGATGTCTGCTGCACAGTTTATCTAAATGCAGCGAAAGCAAGTCGAAGACTGTGGCATGTCAGGGTAACCTGAAGAGTCGAGAAGAGGCAAGTTGTATCAGCTTGGGCAGCAATTCAGAGCATTTTAGAGCAACTAAGTATGCCCAAACGACCGAACCGTGTGTGTCGCACAAAGCCGGAGGCTTGAACCATCGAGCGCTTAACCCGGCTTAACTCAGCTGCCACAAGTGCAGACGTGAATGCACAAAATGGCTTAGCCAGGGCAAGCGTGAGGCCATCAAGAAGCGATTTCTAGAGCTAAGAGTAGCTTTCCTGCTTTCCTCCTGACAAGAGGCAGACAAAGACAACAAAGTGCATCCTGCAATGAGTTCCGATCGCTCGGGTCCATCCACGCGACCCGTGCCCTGCAATGATGACGGATGTGCCAAATGGCGCCAGTGCTCTGCCAATGCTCTGCCAATGCTCTAAGGCCTCGCCTGGCGCCTTCGCCAAGGTAGCCTTCCTCGACCTCTTCGGGCAGGCGGTCGAGCTTCCCTGACCTCGGATTGTATGCAGTGTAATGCAGGAAGAGAATAGACTTCGAGGCCCTAATAAGGCTGTGGCTTCCGAAGCTTGGGCCCAGGGTGGCCAGTCGAGGCAGGGGCGGGGGTTTCGGGCATGCCGCCTGTTTGACAAATTTATGAACAGGAGGGCCCCGAACTCCCTCCGGCACGTGCCACTATCATTAACAACTCGATGCCCTTCAATGTGTCATACCGACAAAGCCTGAGACGGCACTGCTTTGCAAACCACCATGCCCTACGCATATTTACGCAGAACCTGGCGACAGATCGAGACTTCAGACACAGGAGAGAAACGAGAGAGGAGAAACGACAAATGGCAAGCTGACAAAGGGGCAGCCCTACTGGCACTTGCCCACATCGCGGACAGCGTGCGGGCGCAGAAGTGCAGCCGGACGCACTCGCACGACGCAAGCAATGCAAGCTGTGCAGTGACCAACGGGATTGCTAAAGACGCTGACATGCTCAAGGCTTACTATTGCTGCATTTCACCATGTATAAACGCGGCATATCCGCCCAGGAGTGTCGGGGAATCTGCACACTCTAAAGGAACATGAAGATTTGACACCCTCAGTGCAAGAGCCCGTACAACGGGAAAAGACATGGGAAGACTGAGCAGCGGACTGCGCCAAGCTCTTCACGTAGCTAACCGCCTGTTCGACTTCCTGCACTGCGCGGCACTTAGAGGATCTGCCCAGCCTATGTGTCCAGAAGCAAAGCCCTAACATCCCCAAACCCTCCCAGGAAGCCGGCACATCGCCCCCACATAGGAGCCCGCAGCGACCCGAGTACTAAAGAAGGAGACTCTACTCTCTGAAATTCCTGGCCCACTGCAGGTATCCGGGCAGCTTCTCGGTTGAAGACAGTGGTACAGTTAACGAACAGCAGAACAGCAGCGGGTCGGGTCCTGCTGTTGCTGGCACATTTTCACTACCTCGGCAAATCCTATCTCATCAGCGCACGAGCAGGAAGATCCTGCAGGCGACACAAAGCTGGCATCTCAGAAGCAGGCACAAAAGCCCTTTTCCACGAGACACGTAGCGACCTGCGGCTGCAGTACCAACGCTGACCACCAACAAAAAGCAGCACGAGAGTGCAAAGATCGTCAGAGCATCGTGAAAGCTCCGGTGCACCGCACTGCGCCTCTTCTGCCAAGAAGTCTTGCCGATGCCTCCGAAATCGCATGTAGGAGGACTCCAAGAACATCTAGCATCTCCAGCTGACAGTGTAAAGTAGTGCAACGAAATGTGTTTCTTCTTCCGTCCTCGGGCCCAGCAGGACATCGAAGCTATCAGGGCTTTGCCCTGGCCTTCTGCCTCAACGATTCAGCCCATGCCCGCACACAGATGAATCGCAAAAGGAGCCGGACCTTCGGACTGCCGCATCTGGTCCGGCTTTGCCTTTCAAAGTCATGCTTCTTTTCTCGGTGGAATGTGGGGGAAGGGCGAGGAGGGGTTAGGGGGTGGGGGGGTGGGGGGGTGAGAAGGGGAGGCGGGGTGTGGGGAGGGGTAGGGGGGGGT